GGGAGAGGGAGAGGGAGAGGGAGAGGGAGAGGGAGAGGGAGAGGGAGAGGGAGAGGGAGAGGGAGAGGGAGCAAGTGAGCTAGGGAGAGGGAGAGGGAGTGAGTGAGCTAGGGAGAGGGCAAGAGGGCAAGAGGGTGAGGGTGAGCAAGCTAGGGCAAGGGCGAGAGGGTGAGGGTGAGAGGGTGATGGTGAGGGTGATGAAGTCGCAGAGGGAGAAGCAGTCAGAGAGGGAGAAGGTCAACAACATGTTGCTGGGTGTGGAATAAACCATTGATCTAGGGTCTGCAGACAGCATCATTCAGTAAATCACTACATGATTGAGAGTGGGGTGACAAATGATTGGTTGGGTACACACAGTCCCCTTGCTGGGCAACAGTACTGTTGTGAGCCAAGCAGTGATGGCCACATGTAGAATCCCATTGCTCCGAGTAGGTGGGGTAAGTGGATGTTGACTAAGTGAGGTATAGAGTTGAAGTTGACTGGATGGGCTCATTTGTTGTACAGGATCATCAAGTCCTAAGATTCCAGTGTTTGACTCTGACATACTGTGATCAGTACTATGGACAAAGAAGTTAAGTATACTTACCAAGTGGAACTTGACCATGTCAAACTTGCCAGACACCTGCATATCAATGATCACTGAAGATAAGAGCAGGTGGAGGTTTGAAATACTGTGAACTTCATTGATGAGTTGCTCCAGAGTGGTTCAAGCCAGTAGACAGGGCAGGGGGTGTTCAATGAGATCTTCAAACATCTCCTTGACTTCACCAACCATGAAATGGTTGTGTGAATCCTGATCTGCCTCACTGGGTAACCCAATGCTTCTGGTGTTGAGGTTGAGGAGAGGGAGGCTGATGCTACTGTAGCTGGTCATCGGACATCTACGCCAGGCTGCAGGTCTTGCAGGGGGTTGCTGGGGAGAGGAGGAAGGACAATCAGGCATCTTGGGACAAGGTCTCGCTTGCTGGAGAGAGGAGGGGAGAGAGGATGCTGAGGCATCTGAGGACAAGGCCTCACTTGCTGGGGAGAGATGTGGGGAGGATATTGAGGCATCTGAGGACAAGGGCTCAGATGCTGGGGAGGGGGGGGGGAGATGGCAAGGGGATATGGAGGAGGGAGGGATTGGTGGCACTGTGAAAGGGATGAGCATGACAATGCCTGGAACATAGGAAACAGACTCTACAGGGGGAATGGAATGGCACATGCACTAGATCAGCTGCAATAGTTTGTTTCCACATGATTGGTGTAGTGATACTGTCCTGCTGAGATGTAAGACAGTGTGGATCTGACTGATGGTTGAATACACTTAGGTGAGTCTGAACTCAGCATAACAGAGATATTCCATGACACCAGAGTGAGATGGCACCAGAATGAGTTGGCACCAGAATGAGTTGGTGCCAGAATGACCCAGTGAAACTTGATGGTGAATGAAAAGAGTCTGACAGGAGGCATCAGCACTAGGCTGTATGGAGCAGAGGACATACTGGGGAGGAGTTGGGCCATGAGTAAACCAAAACATGGAAGCAGGGATAACATATCATGAATTGGGATATCTACATACAAAGCAAGGTTTAGAAGGGAACAGTGGGCATGTTCCTGAAGACCTTTGTCCTTGAGAGCTGCTTGGTACCTTTCACATTGATTAACCCCTCATAGTTGGGGGCATTCCAGTTTTCAGCTGGTAAATTCCCAGGCAAATCCGACCTGCCTGTGAACCAATGCTGCTTGATTAGTGAGTCAATAGTATCTTGAGGTTGTGTCTTGTTGCTGGGTGTGTTGTGATCAATATACTTACATGAGACTGCATCAATCAGTCAGCAACTACAGGATCAGGGAGGATTAGACCATACTGTTGGCATAGGCATCATTCTGAAAGGCACATACTGACCCTGGGTGCCCCCTGCAATGCACACAGTGCATGTCTTCCCACCTCTGGCACACACAGTTGACCCCCTTCCATTCACCCATTCAAACTCAGCAACCATGGCAAGCTCACTTGTTGGTGCAAAGCTGGGAGGAATGGAATGAGTGCAATCCTAAGAAGATAAAAATGAACTCACTACAAATGCTGGACCATTCTTCTCAATTTCCACTCTGGCTGATCAATGTTCTGTAACAAATGCATATGAAGGAAAGTTGGGCAAAGTGAATGTCTTCATAAGCCAGAAATGGCAGGTAAGCAGGTACCTCAGGAATGCTTGGATTTGTGTGTCCTTTGTACGTTGAGATCAGCAGCCTTTAGTGTTATGCTCTGCCTTGCTCTCAGTTGCAACAAGGTCCTCTTCATTGTCCAGTTGCTGGGCAAGGGTATGGCTGCAAGCCAAGCAATGTTGGCCAATACAATAATCCCATTTCTCAAGATCCATGGAGTGTTGAGAGGAAGAAATGAGCTTAGCACGAGTGAGAGGACTATTGGGCTTCTGAATGAAGAAATGGCCAATGTGGAGGGTGAGCTGGTTGACAAAGACACAAGGTATGAGTTTGAAGTCGAATGGAAGGTCCCATTTGTCATACAGGATCATCCAGTCAATGACATACTGGATGATGCTGATGATCACTTTTGCAAGATCTTCCATGTATGGTGTTTGGCTGGCAGCATGAGCTTCAAGAGTGCCAGTCTGAGACATGGTGAGATGGGACTTGGTAATATGTTGAATCCACTTACCAAGTGGAGCTTGACAGCATTGAACCACCCAGTCACCCATTGTTCATTATTCACAAGAGGGGGGCACAGCTTATTGACATTGACAGCCTGTAATATGCCATGAATGAAGAAGGAGGAATAGTAATCCACAGGAGTTGTGGTCAAAATAGACCAATCATGAATGGATTGACAGTGATGATCCCAGTGTAATGTGGGAACTATATGGCAGCCAGGAAGGGGATTGGGGAAGTCCTCCAGAATGTGCCAAGTGAGAAGGTACCACCCCTCAGACAGTATGATGCCGTAGGCCTCTTCGAACATAGACATTTGGTCATTTGTTCTGAAATGGGGTCCTGCCAATGATCAAGAACAAGTTGCTGATGTCCTTTTAGCATGGCCCAACAGAGTTTTGGGAAGAACTTACAAGGTGCTGCCCACACTGCGCCAAAGCTCTCTGAATGTTGGGCCTTGAGAGCAAGCTGTATTCACCAAAAGGTGGCAGCATGATGGAGCGCAACACCAAGCAACTTCATCAATGAGTTGTTGAGGAGTTGTACAAGCCAAGAGATGGGGTAGGGGGGATTTGGTGAGATATTTGAACATCTCCTTGACTTTGCCTACTATGAAATGGTTGTGCAAGTCCTGATCAGCCTCTCCAGGTAAGCTGAGGCTTATGGTGTTGAGGAGGGGGGGGTTGGGACTACCATTCATCTCATTTGCGGTGTCATAAACTTGTCTCTCTAGGAAGGCTGTAAAGTACTCCATGGTGCAAATATCCCCATGATACCAGTTTCCCAAATGAGTCTTAACTTTGCATTAGCAAAGCAGATTTGTCTAGAGGAAAAGTAACTTGCCTTTACACAGCTAGCTGCAGCAACCCATCATTGTCGGTCCAAAGGAGAGCTTGAACTTGATGGCATAAGCATGATGAAGTGGAGGAGGCGCAAGGTACACTGAAAAATGGGACATTTGCATCCCTGTTGCAAGTCTGTTGGCTCAATGTCTCTTGCCTCCTGGTATACCCATGCCTGCCAAGGGATTGCAAGATTAGACAGAGACTGCCAAGTAGCTACTATTGAGCCATCTTCAAGGGAGTGATCTGGGTCTGGGTGGGGAAAGCAGTCAGGATGATGCCTCACTTGCTGGGGAGAAGAGGGGGGACAATGCTGAGGCATCTCAGGACAATGCCTCACTTGCTGGGGAGAGGAGGGGGGATGATGCTGAGGCATCTCAGGATGACACCTTGCTTGCTGGGGAGAGGAGGCCGGAGGATAGTAAGGAGGAGGCACCCAGTCAGGATGGCGCTTGGGTGGGTTGGGTGTATGCTGCCATGGCTGTTGAACAAAGTGGCGGTTATGATAGTTTTCCTGTACCTTGCAGGCCTCTTCTACACCCAGTAGAGCTTGGGGGTGACCTTTACTACAGGCTTTGTAGTCCCTCTGCTCTCTCATCCTAATGCAAGGGGAGGGTGGGAAGCAAAAGGGTGAGCCAGGTGGTCCAGATATAGGCTGGAAAGGCTCATCACAGAGAGCATGGGACAATGGCAGAGAATTGTTTCAGAGATGAGAATGAGGCAGGGAGGAGCAGTTTGCTGGGGGTTAACAAGTCCCTCTGACCACAGGTCAGAGTTGACAAGCTCTTCAAATTCTTGTGACATCAGCAGCCTCCAGATGTTGTTGATTAGGAAGGGGGAGATGGAGATGGTGTGAGGGCAACACAATCCAACAATTGTTGATGATCAAATAACTGAACAGGCGACAAGCAAATTGGAGAGTAGTGAGTCATACATCAATCAATGCCTCAATGTTTGTTCACAAACAGAGGGATTGACAGGGGTGTTATAGAGTGAGTGGGGATCAGCAGCCAACAGGCACAATCATGTGTGTGTTGTGTGCACATTTGGAATGATTAAAGCTTTGTGTTTAGAACCTAATGACCTTGGACTGTGGGGTTCCTAAGAATTAGCTCTAAGAGCTACAGGGGCTATACCTAGGGTTCTATATATGTCTGGGTATGGAAGTAAAAAGGAAGCAAAGTCTGTGGCTGACCATGCAGCTCATTTAGGGCAGGCACCTCATGTCTCTGGTCTGGTCAGTCCTGCACAATCTATGACTGATGTCTCACATTCTGGGATCTGTCCTTCCTGGAGTTGGGTGATTGTAGTATCGGCTGTCATTTGGGGTGTTGTGCCATGTGACTGTGCTCTGATCCTTGTCAATTGCAGCTGTTCACAATTGATTTTAGGGACGTCCCCTGACATCACCCCCTTCTTAAGGGACATTGTCTGCAATGACATGTTGTGTGATCAACCAGGGTGTCACCCATCTGTCCAGTCAAAGAGGACTCAGTTTGTTTCAGTGTAGTTTTCGAGTTGTTGGAATCATAGCTGATCAAAATCCATATGTGCAATTTGTTTTGGTGCCTCTGGGTGTCACCGGTGAAAGTCGCGGATTGCTTGTCATGCACCTTCAAGGTTTCCGGGTGGTTCCCATGTGTTTTCCATGTTTGAGTAGCCTTTCCATTTGACAAGGTATTTGAATTGGCCATTCTTTTGTAGACAACTGTCCTCAATCCATTTGACTTCCCAAACATTTTCACCATCTGTGTCCAGTTCAGGTGGCAGAGGTGGTGTTTCTTCATGTCCAGGTATGTCACTGTCATGATAGGGTCATAATTTGGAAACATTGAATACTGGGTGTATTTGCCACAAATCTGGAAGATCGATCTCATATGCATTGTCATTAATTTTACATGCAATCACAAATAGTCCAAACCATTTGTCATCCAATTTCTTTGCTGGTCATTTTGTTTTGATGTCTTTGGCATCAAGCCATACCTTGTCCCCTATGTTGTACATTATTGTGGTTTGTTGGTGTTGATCATAGAATCGGGCCATATTGTCTGCTGCCTTTGCCAATGCAGCCTTGCATTCATTTTTGATTTGCTGCATCATTCCTGTGAATTCTTCAACTCCTGTGATTGTGACCTCTCATATTGGTTTGATGCCCATTCATGCATTACGCCCTGTGTCAGCCATGAATGGTGAGTGTTGCGTTCCAGCGTGTATACAATTGTTGTATGCAAATTCAGCACATGCAAGCCAATCAGCCCAATTGTCTTGTCAATGGTTTACAAAGAGTTGGAGATACTGTTCCAGTTCCTGGTTAACATGTTCGGTCTGTCCATTGCTCTGTGGATGGTATGCTGTTGATGCCGATATTTTGACGCCTAAGAGACTGTTGAGTTCGTGCATGTATTTTGATATGAATTGTGTTCCACAATTGCTGATGATCTCATGAGGTAGTCCATGATTTTGCCATACATTGTCACAAAAGAGATGTGCAATTCCTGCTGACATTACTTCACTTTGTGTTGCTGCAAAGTGAGCACCTTTGGTGAGTCAATCAATGGCAACAAATATTGCATTGTATCCTTCGCTTGCCAGGAGTTGTGTTATGAGGTCAACTGTAATGATTTCCCCTCATGCATTTGGGATCTGATTTGGCATGAGCTTTCCAATGGGTCATTGTGGGTACATCTTGGTATGATTGCATGCATCACATGTTTGAACATATTCTCCAATGAATCAGTTCATGTTTGGCCACCAGTAGCTATGTGCGACAAGCTCCAGCATTTTCCAACGTCCTGGGTGTCCTGCAATTTGCAAATCATGGTGTAGTTTGACAATTTTGGCACAAAGATCATTCCATGGAACATATACTTTTCCACAATAGAGCACCAGTCCCTGTTCTTTGCTCCATTTGTTTGCAACAATCATAGATGTTTTGTCATTGGGTAGTGCTTTGAGTGCCTGTACCACTGGTTTGTCCATGTCATGCATCTGTTGTATTTCATAAAGGAGCCTGTTTTCCTCCCCCGCAATAAGGGTGTGTCCCCAACACACAGCTGCAATCATGAAGATGTCTGGTTTGAGCAGTACAACATTCTCATTATTGTGTGTTCCATGGTCATGGTTGGCACATTGTGATAGCGCATCCGGTTTTCTGCTGGATCATCCTGGTTGGTGTTCTAATGTATAGTCAAATTGTGACAGGTAGAGTGACCATTGTGCCTGTCATCTTGTGAGTTTCTGTGATTTGGCAAAATATTCTAGATTCCGGTGGTTGGTAAGGACATGTATCTTATCAGGGGTGCCTTCTAGGAAGTGTCTCCATTCTTCAAAGGCATGTATGATTGTTCCTTGTTGTGTATTTCATAATTATGTTCCACATCCAACAGGCTCTTTGACATGAATGCCACCGGATGCCACTCATCATCTGTGTTCAGCTGCAATAGGACACTCCAATTGCATAGTCCAATGCATCTGCTTCGACTTGGATGGTCTGTCATCCTGTGGTAGTGCCAGTATTGGTGCTGATGTTATGGCCGTTTTCAGTGCCTCAAATGCTTGATTGTGCTTTGCTTCCCACATCCAGACATTGTCTTTTTGTGTCAAATTGTGTAGTGGACATGCTATGTTGGAAGACCCACATATGAAACATTGGTAGAAGTTACAGAATCCAATGAAACTTTGGATGTCTTTCACATTCCATGGTGTCGGCCATTCAGCAATGCCTGCAATCTTGACTGGGTCCATCTCAACATTGCCTTGACTGATAACGAGTCCCAGGTAATTGATCCTTGTCTGCTCAAAATCGCATTTTTCAGCCTTGAGGTATAGGTGGTACATCTGTAAGACATCAAGCACATGTCTTATGATCTGTTGATGTTTGTCCAATGTTTCCGTGAGTATGAGGATGTTGTCCATGTATACCACAATGACTCCTTCATCAATAAGTTCTCGAAATATATTGTTCATCATTGTCTGGAATGTGCTTGGTGAGTTGACAAGTCCAAAGAACATGACAAGTGGTTCAAATAGTCCACTATTTGTGTGGAAGGCAGCTTTCCATTTGTCTCCCTCTCAGATCTGAATGTTGTTGTATCCCCAATGTATGTCTAGTTTCATGAAGTATTGTGCATGACGTAGTTTGTTTATGAGGTCCAAAATGAGTGGGATTGGGTAACAATTCTTGATCGTCATCTTGTTCAGTCATCAATAGTCTTATACCAATCATAGCATCCCATCCTTTTTCTTTACAAAAAACACTGGTGATGCCATGGGCAATTTTGATGGTTAGATATGTCCACTTGCAAGGTTTTCCTTTAAGAATTTGTCCAATTTGTGTTGTTCATTGGACAATAGTGGGTACACCTTTGTGTCATGTGGCTCTGATCCTGGTTTCAGTTCAATTGCATGATCCCACACCCTTGTTTCTGGTAGTTGATCAAACAATTTTTTTTTCGAAACTACATCTTTGTAGTCATGATAAGCCATCAGCACCATATTGTCAAATGTTCTTCCCCTTTGGTCTTCATCTGGTTGTGCTGCTGCAAGACATGTTGAGATGCTTTTGGCAGCACAAATGATTGTTTCATAATCATCATCATCTGTGCCATCATCTTCCTGTGCTATTGCAGGCAGAGGTCATTTCTGTCATTCTGCCTGTCATTTTGCCATATGTATGTGTATCAAGCACTGTTCAGGGCATTGTGTCATTGACACCTTTCCTGTTGTCCAGTTGATGTCCAGGTTGTGCTGTACAAGCCATGGATGCCCAATCAATACTTCCTTGATTCCAAGTCCCATTATGTGGAATGTTGCACATTCTGTATGTTCTCCATATCATATGATGAGGTCAACTGTGTGTTGGATTGCTCCAGCCTTGTTGGGCATTCCATCAATGTTATAGACTGGTTGTGCATGTTCCAGCAGTGTTGTCATTAAGTTGTATTCTTCAACATAGCTTGTATCAATGAATAGTCCTGTTGCTCCTGAATCAAGAACTGCTCATGCCTTGAATTCTTGTGATGTGTCCAGTGTTTGCAGTTGTATACTCAGTTCCATCTGTTGTTGTTCCTGAACCGACATAATCAGTTGTGGAGGGTCATCTCCTCATCTTGTATTGTCCAGCACCTTCTGCATTTCATATGACACATGTCCCATGATTGGTTGTTTTGTCAACAAATTGTTATTATGGGAGGGGTGTACATAAGGATTGCTTTTACCAGTCACATGAATCATGCTCTCTTTCATGGACCATTCTAAAAATCTTCTTTGGATGTCTTGACCAGCATTGTTGGTTCGTCTGCATTTGTCGGAGGACAATGCTTTGCAAACTCTTCAGCAATGACCTTGCATATGTCATCAAATGCAATCGTCTTGATGTATGTCGATCATTTAGGACATTCAGCCCAAACGTGGCCAAACCCTTGGCAGCCATAGCAGTGGATGGTGGATGTGTTACGTTTTGCTTGGTCAATGTCCATTGCATTGTTCATCTGTATGGTGGAGGTTGTTGCTGTCATGGGTGTTGTGTTGTGCATGGCATCAGTTGCTTTGGCTTTCCATTGGTTGGCCATTGCATTGGTCATTCCCTTTTGATGTGCATCCAGTCGATGCCATTGTTGATCAAATTGGGAAGCATACATATACCACCACTCTTCAAGAGTTGTGGGCATGTCCGGGAGTGCGTAGATCCTGTTGACCAGTACTCAGTGCAGGCCACATTTGAAATGTTCAACATGTGCAATCTCATTGTATTTGGTCCATGCTGCAAGTTCATGGAACAACAAGATGTACTCATCTGCTGTTTTCATGCCTTGTACAAGTTTCTCCATCTGCATATGTGCAGTTGCACCAGGGTCAGCATCACAGAATGCCTCCTTGAATCATTTGGTGAAATTGCTCCATGATGTGAAGTATGGGAGCAGGTCATTGCTCTGTTTGTTGATGATTTGATTGGCCTAATTGCCAGCCATTCCACCCTTCATATATGACAACATGAAGTTGATACAATCCTGGTCATCTCAGAATTCATGAGTACATCCTTGCAGGTACAGGATGACTTGTTGCTTGAATGACTTGGCCTTTGTGCAATCACCATTGAAGGTGTCCAGTACTGATATCTTTGGTCCACAATGTGTGACTGTTGGTCTTGGCATAGCAGGTGGGGTCATATTGGATGATTCAAGAAGCCCAGCAAGTTTGTGTAGGAGAAAGGTAATTTTCTCATCCTTTGTCATATTATCATATTCCAACATGGTGGACATTTCTTGTTCCAGGTTTGTTTGGAGAGCTAATCTTCTGTGAGGGCAACATGATCCAACAATCATTGATGATCAAATAACCAAACAGGTGATGAGCAAATTGGAGAGTAGTAAGTTGTACATCAATCAATACCTTGATGTTTGTTCACAAACAGAGGGATTGACAGGGGTGTTATAGAGTGAGTGGGGATCAGCAGCCAACAGGCACAATCATGTGTGTGTTGTGTGCACATTTGGAATGATTAAAGCTTTGTGTTTAGAACCTAATGACCTTGGACTGTGGGGTTCCTAAGAATTAGCTCTAAGAGCTACAGGGGCTATACCTAGGGTTCTATATATGTCTGGGTATGGAAGTAAAAAGGAAGCAAAGTCTGTGGCTGACCATGCAGCTCATTTAGGGCAGGCACCTCATGTCTCTGGTCTGGTCAGTCCTGCACAATCTATGACTGATGTCTCACATTCTGGGATCTGTCCTTCCTGGAGTCGGGTGATTGTAGTATTGGCTGTCATTTGGGGTGTCATGCCATGTGACTGTGCTCTGATCCTTGTCAATTGCAGCTGTTCACAATTGATTTCAGGGACATCCCCTGACAGATGGTGGGCAAGAGGAGAGGGAGAGTTTGGAGTGAGATGAGAGAAATAAGTGAGAGGAGAGGGAGAGGGTGAATAAGAGGGAGGATAAGACGGAGTGGACATGGGATAATGAGGAAGCATCACAGTAGACAATACAAATAATATCAATATTAATATTGCTAATGCGGATACCACGTGTGTCCGCTTACCTTATAGGTGGCAGTGTCGGCTACTGTGCAGCCGCACACCGGACAAGATCGGAAGATGCCCCCGAAAGGGGTCATCGGAGGAATTACCTCCAGATTGGGATAATCGGGCCGACGGTGTGCCGAACGTAAACTCTCAGCCCGATCGTAAACAAGTCCAAGCGGCGTAGTTATTATTATTTATTGATGACCTAAGCTTGTGAGAATCCACCGGTGGTGTCTATTCACATGGGGACATGATTTTGTGAGAATAGAGCGTGTGCTCTGTATAAGATTAAAGCCAATAGCCTCTTCGAGAGCGACACACTGTCCGGTCTTTCCCTTCCCCCCGTCCAAGAAAGAATTTATATCATACTTGGGCACCTCTCGGGTACGCCCCTGACTGGCCGCTATAATTCTACTGTTGCTGTCCATACTGCCCTCGCCCAACATTGGTCCCACCGCTGTACCCATATCCGCCACCCTGTCCCATGCCTCCTGCTGGCAAAGGCACATACGCATGCTGTGGAACAAAGTGACTTGGGGCAGTATGACCTTGGCCCTGCTCGCTCATGGGATATGTGGCCCAGCCTTTCCCGCTCTGGAATTCCGCAGGCGGTGCCCGTGCATCATACATCCACAACGCGCTCGTCCATATGCCCGTATGGCCCGCCCTGAGCGCAAACACCAGGAGGACGATTTCCCATACGAGGAGTGTGGTGAGTAGCAGCCATGCGATCCATGAACAGCCCATGATGGCCTCAACCCATGAACAGATTGCCTCCGCGTCGGCCATGGTGATTGTTCCAACGACCTGGTACTCAGCGATGACGTACCCTGAGTTGGGGCCGCACGAGCCGAGGTTGGCAGGCCTGAAGATCGTGGTCGTCCATCCTGCAGAGGCGATCCAGAGGATCCAGAGGAATCCGAGAACACTGAGCTCGACGGCGGTCCAGCTGACGAATGTGGTAGAGCCAAAAACTGCGACAGTCACATAAGAGGTGATGGAAGCGAGTTTGGTGAACAGTGCTACGGCGAGAGCTATTCCGCCGGATTGAGTTTTCGGACGGAGAAGCGGAAACATGGATAACCCACCCATGCCGGCCCAGGGATCTCTTCCGCCCCCTCGCACCCCCCCAAAGAACGAAAGGATCCTCGCGGCTAAAGCCAGCGTTACAGGCGAGAACAACGAAGCCAGCCCTACACCGGCGTCAATTCAATCCATATGTTGTAGGTGAACACCATACCAAGGATGATGAGTCGAACGATGTAGAACACCCTGTTTAACCTTGCCATCTCGAAATCTTTGTCTTGATGTTGTGATCTGGACGGCGGAGAACAGACAGGGCTCAAGCCGAGATGGAGGGCAGGGTCGTGGGAGACATTGCACGGCTTGGAGCAGCCTAAGTACTTGTTCTTGGGGCGAAGCCACGGGTATAATACCCGCCGACCATTGAGTGCCTCTGTTCGGAGATATTCTTAGAAACGAAGCAGGCCAAAGAATGTCCAGGGTCCAGATGTCTGTGCAAATCCGTGCCAGCCAGGCACGTTGTGTCCGATTTCGTAAAGAGGCGCCGAAATTTTTCGATAGCGGAAATCGCCGACTGGCATCGTACGTTCGGGCGGTGTTTATATTCTTGAAAAGGTATCGCACTGTGTGAAGCTCACGCAGCTCCAGCCGGTTGGATGATGGGCGCCTATTTCATCCTACGACGGAATACGGAAAAATGTCGGTATTTTCATGCACATTTGATACACGTACATCTCTCGACGCCACGAAACTCGCTCTCTGGAAGAGTCCATAGTCTCCGTGTGCTATTCTCCCCTCTCGAGGATTAACTTCGGCTACACCTCAGCTCGACCATAGTACCCCTGCTGACCCCTCGGCGCGTATGGATTTTGTGCTGGTCCCGCACCTGGTGGAGAGCCCTGCATCCCCTGCCCACGCTGACTTTGACGACCAGGTGGGGGAAGCGCCCGCATCGTAGAGGGTGGACTAAGACCAGGCGTTTTCTGGCCGTATGTCTGAGCGAGCTGGGTGTGGGCCTGGCTCGATCCCGCGGGAACTTGTTGGTATTGTTGTTGAGTTTGTTGTCGAGGTTGTTGTTGAGGCTGAGGCTGAGGTGGTTGGGGTGGCGGCGAACTAAAATCTGAGTGGCCGGAATTGGATGCCACCTGTATGTGAAGTTGGTTTTCCAGCTGAGAAGAAGGCTTCGGAGCACCGTAAGGATCCTGTTGCCCACCATAACCACCATATGGTTGGCCCCACTGGGGCTGGTTGTACATGCCCATTGGCTGCCCCTTAGTCTGTAGCCCTTGTGGGCCATATGGTCCCTCATCGTACCGCTGCCCCCCCTGATGGGGGTGCGGCTGACCCCAGCTCTGCTGCTGTTGAGGGACGAAAGGCGCGTCATACGCCTTCATCTGGTCCATCCCATAGTCCTGAGCTCCCACGCTGGCATATTTGCCTCCTGCGCCGCCTACGAGATCGGGTCGAGAGCCGACCACGTGCCTCCATCCCTGTGCCAGCCAGATCCCGGGAAAACCACGTTGGTGGGCAACGATGGCGAATACAAGCTCCCAGGTGAAGAGGGCACCGATGCATAACCAGGTGAGCCAGGCCAGCGCTTGCACTGCTTCGGCTTCAGAACAGAGCGTGGACCCTGTACCGTAATAGTCGGCACAGTTACCGAGATCAAGTAGTGCGAGGAGCGAGGTGGTGTACCCTGCGGTGGCTGGAAAGGGAATAAGCAAGGATATGGTGAGAGGAGGCGTCACGGACCCATCCATAGTACCCAGAGGACACCTAACCACGACAACTCGACTACAGTGCGAGACAACCACGATTCCCTCACCGACCAGTCACAGATACGCACGACAGAGATCGTCAGTACTGTTATTATTCCTGCCGCGAACACTACTCTCATCAGCATGGGAATTACAGATGATATTGGACAGCGTACAGAGACCGAGAAAGTCGTAACCCCTTATCGAGTGCTCGAGGGATGCAATAAAAGCGAGCCGGTACGCCGAGAGACCAGCAGTAGCGGCTGAGAGTATCGATATGATCGCTAGGTGGTTTAGAAGTGCTATCAGAATTCTGGCGCGGAGACAAAAAGAGGAAAACCTACATAAAAACACGATGCGTCCTATTCCAAGAGGAGTCATTTTGATTACACAACAAAGATGAGGTTTCAGTTCTTGTGTGATATTTTCGGCAGTAGAGTAGTAGTAATCAGATATTTGTGAGGGAAGAAGCACGAGGAGACGTGAAATAGACAGATAGAAAGGCGCGGAACCTCGAGGGAACAAGCGCTTGATCTTTATACATCTGCTAATCTCAGACGACGCACCCGCTCCCAGCCACACGTCTGCTACTCGTGTTTTCCGAGACGTCTGGACGCGAATGATCGGTCTGACCCTGCCAAGTTCTCACCCCAGTCCTTCTTGTTCGGGACAGGTAGGACCGCCTGGACCGCATGGACCGCCCCCGATTTTGGATAGAAGCTTTGCATCCTCCCTGAGTTCATAGCTGCCTGTTTTGATGGGCTTGAGCTGAGGCGGAATGAGAAAATCCGACTAGTTGAGCGCGACAGTTGCGCTTACAGAGGCGCGGAAGTGGGAGGGTCGGGAAGATAAAACCCTGAAACCCTGGACAATCAGGGCACAGCATCCCGCAACACGTGATAGGAGGAATCCCTATTTTTGGACAAAGGGCGGTGCCCACAATTTGGGGAAGGGCAGTGAGTGTGGGCTGAACGCTGAGTGGGTTATTATCGCGATGAGTATGTTTAGGGCATTTACAATCTCGGAAATGCAATGCTACGTCTTTGTTTCGGGAAAGGACGAGAGACACGGTGTTGACTGGGTAAACATTCGCACCAGGAAGGACATTCTGATAGATAACGAGTAGGAAATACAACAATTAATCTGGGGTCAAGTCGATCACTTCTGGCTCGCGCTCTTCCGACACTGGGGTCCGAGCGTTGGAACCCGAACCATACGCCTTGCCAGCCTTCCAGCCATATAGAGTCCCTCTAGGTATGAGCGCAGATTCGTTTGGTTCGTCTCCGGGCGTGGGCAATTGCATCGGTTCTTCCTTGATATTGATGTCTCGATCTTTCAGCTCCAACTTGGTGGGTAGTAGTAGTCGACCAGTGCTCTTCTTAAGAGGGGTGATTGAGTCCATAATTATATCCTCATCATCGCTGTCGACGTCCTCGACTTTGACGACGCCATCTTCATCTTCTTCTTTCTTGGCAACTTCCTCCTCTTCCTCCTCTTCCCAATACTTGTTTTCATACTCGTCGTACTTGATCACGGGGTCTACTTTACAGTCGTTGCAGCGTATATAGAACGCGAGTGACTGGTTTGTGTACCCGAGGCCAGCGCTACAGAAACAAGTTGAGTGCCAGCACCATGTGGGGATACCTCGCACTCACAGTTGGGGGATTGTATCGCCGATAGCATCCAGCTCGCCCTCAGGCAGGCAATCCTCGCAGAACGCATGGGAGCAGGTCGCACACCGGAAGAGCATGCCTCCCGCATTAGCTGTTGATCGGTAACACACAGCGCAGTTGTGCTGAGGACATTGCAGGCGTGATGAACGGGCCGCAACGTCATCGGGCACTCCATGGCAGGCGGAATGAAAAACACGAGGACAAGTAGCGCACGTGTAAAGTTCACCACCGTCTTGACAATAAATACACCATTCTTCATGCTCAAACTCTGGCGCCTTCTGAGCTTTAGGGGGCATGCTGGTGATGACCGATGGCTGAGACATGTTTAAAGTGGTTGAAACGTGAAACTAAGTAAACTTACAGATACAACGATCGTCTCGATGCCGTTAACCAGAACAAGACGGTTTGCACGAGCCCGTTTCTTCGATGACGGCGGCTGCTCGGCGAGCGATTTGATGGCCCTAGGCGTCAACTCTCGTCCTTCGAAGAGGCGACATCGGACAGCCGCGACACCATCAAGAAGCCGTCCCTCCTCCTCTGCAACATCCGCCTCCATTCCTGCATCCATATTCTCGCCATCAAGCTCCTTCTTCAGTTTGGCTTCACGTGCATTTTGATTTCGGCGGCTTTGAAGTAGTATGTCACTAATGGACGCAGCCTTGAATTGCTGGAAATCCATCCCAGCCGCCTGATCCTCTAACGCGCTGCTACCGTTCCGAAGTATGGAGAGCAGCTCGCCTTTCTTCATACCAGCAGCATTATTGTCTGCTGAGGGCCCTCCATTGCTCATAAGCTTCACGGAGAGGAATAGCTTTCGCCGAATTCGATCCAGCATTTGGTCTTCTGCGGAGCCTCGACAGATCAGTCGGTAAACATTGACCGTCTTGGTCTGGCCGATGCGGTGTGCCCTTGCGATCGCTTGAAGGTCGTTTTGAGGATTCCAGTCGCCATCAAACATGACGACGTGCGTGGCTTTGGTGAGATTAATGCCAAGTCCGCCAGCCTTGGTGGAGATCAAGTATACATCATATGGTGATTGCTCCTGCTGGAATAACCGTATGTCTAGCGCTCTCCGAGGTCGAGTTGTGCTTCCATCTAATCTCGCAAAGCGATACTTGCGTAATTGCATGAAGTCCTCCAACAGGTCAAGCACGCTGACCCATTGCGAGAAGATCAAGACGCGTTCGCCTTTCGGTATGACATCTTTTAGCAACTTGTCCACGACCATCATTTTTGACGACGCATTGACTATGTGTTCGCCAAGCTCGTATGGCTCAGGCTGGGCACCAAGAATAGTATATGGACTGCGGAACCGTGAACCCTCGCTCTGCACGATGTGAAGGGCCGCCCTTACTGGTCGCAGCACATCCGGAGCTGAATGAGGAGATTCATCAACCTCGCATATTCTTTGATACTAATCAGAACGATCCGGTTTACTACATTAAAGTGCTTACGAGTATCGTTCACCTGACTTTCATCTCCATCTTCGGTCTTCAGGGAGGTGTTGAATATCTCGCGCATATCCGCAGCACTCAACCTTGTGAGCAGCTTGTACGTCCAATACCGTTGTGCCTCTAATAAGCAGTCAACAATGCCGCTGAAAAGCTAATACTCTAGCATACCCGTAAAAGGAATGAAGACGGTCATTTCCACTCTTGGTGGAACAGAAAGTTCAACTGCATCTTTTGTTCGTCTGATCATGATGACTTCAAGCAACTTCTGGGCGCTCTCTAGATGTTTGACGTCATATTTCCCGTGAGTCATGTCGAATGCGTCTTGAAACAGTCCTTCCGTTGCTACGGTAAATATCGTAGGATAAAGCCTGTGAGTCTGTCAGGTAGTTTTCTTCCATGAAACTGGAAACGCACCAATGAAGCAACGCCCATAGTTCGACGAGATTGTTGTGCACTGGTGTTCCGGTTAATATCAGACGAAAAGCACACCCAAGACCGCTTAGAGCCATGGTGGTTTCGGATTGAGCATTCTTAACTCGATGGCCTTCGTCAAGGATGCAGTAACTGAGGAGAGATGGGTCAGCACCAATGATTAATGAATGAGATAGTAACTATTCAACTAACTCCCAACGGCGTGTCTTCATCCACTTGTGCTCCGCCTTATAAGATTCATATGTTGTAATGAAGAGATCAAACTCGTGCCCTCGCTTGATCATTTCTTTGAGGCGTTCACGCTCGGCTTGGGTTCCATGGAACCGCACAACCTTCAGAGAGGGCACCCAGTGAGCGGCCTCGGACGCCCAGGCGGCAATGACAGACAATGGGCAGATAACTGAACGGTTCTAAGAAGAGCATGCAAACATCATTCGAAAGTCATACCGATATGTGGATCTGCTTCAAGATCGTTCTCCTTAATGTATGCGAGGAGAGATAATGCTGCAAAAAAAAAGTCTCAGTGATACTCATGATAATACGCTGATCTGCGCACTTTGAAGAGTCTTTCCAAGACCCATCTCATCACCCAATATGGCATTCATGCCATTTCGGTACATCCCGATGAGGTAGGAAAGACCTGCAAGCTAGACTCTGCTTAGCGGAACTGCTGACCCGGTCTGAGCCAGACGAAGCTCACCTGATAGTCCTTCATTTCCCCTCCCTTCACGAGGTTCGGTTGCGCGTCAAGTTCTTCCAGATCTACAACTAGATCCTGAGATTCTAGCTCCTCCAGTTCCCTCTTCAGGTTGTCTGAGAAAGTGCTCCTGCTGCGAGAAGGAAGGAGAGCAGTGAAGAGATAGCGATGCTTCCACAACCATCGAGTTCGTGCCGCTTCGAAATCAGCCCGCTTGGCATGACGAGTAACGCTTTTCTGTGTCTATCTCAGACCCATGCAAGTGACGTGAGAAAAACACTGGGCTTACAGCCATATTCATATTCCTCTTTGACGGTTTCTCGTCTTCCTCGACTTTGAACCTCTTGCTCACCGGTTTCTCGTCTTCCTCGACTTTGACCCTCTTGTTCGTCGGTTTCTGCCCTAGAAATGATCCTATACGTTTCAGAGGTTCGGGCGATGGTCGATTCTCAAGTCGAACGCGAAGAACGCGCGTAGAGGCAGAACGGTGTAAGTGCATCTCTTCCTCATCCTCCATATCGGCGAATCGGTCCGGAAGGCTATAGCGCGATTTCTTGCTCATCTCGTCTGTCAATGCTTCTCCTATATGATCCACAATGTTGCTGGCTATTTCCGGATATGTTTGCAGTAGATATTGAGCTAGAAGCTGAACGTCGTTTGTATACCGGCGTAAGCTTGAAATGGTGGGGCAAGAAAGAGACCAAAGACGTGGGACGCGTCGCGTCTCTGGTGCCGCTAATGTCGCGACGCGTCGTTTCATTAGACAAGGACCCTAATTTAGAGTGCGCTGCATGTGAGCAAGGCATTGAAGGAACATGTGTGTGCAGCTGAATTCCATATGCTATATAGGTACAAAGGGCAACATGAGTCGACTGCTCTGAATGTTTGCAACTGTGAAGTCCCAATTTTGGGGGACAAAAATTAGGCTATCAGCTCATGTATGCACATGGGTCAATGCAGTATATAGCTGGCCATGAGAGAAGACATCAGTGCAACAGTCTAGTACTGTCTTATCAAGGGTGAGCCCTTGACAGTTATGAAAAGTAGTTGCATAAGTAAGACAAAGTGGCAGTTGTGTGTGAATCACTGTCCAGCTTGAATGTTGTGGTTGAAATGCAAAACGGATGCAGGGAATACAGAAGAGCTCTCTGCTCAGCTCACCATTAGGTGCTAGCAGTTGTACCTGAACAAAGTGTTGATTGAGTTTTTCAAGAACTACTCTGGCATTCTTGACCAAGTGCCTTGCCACTGACAGGTTCCTCATGAGCAGGCAAATTGCCCCCACTTTGAATGTGAGGGCATGTGGAGGAATCCCTGGCATGGTGAGCATGTTTAAGTATTCAGGCATTTGTTCTTCATTATCCAGGTCCAGGGCTTCTCCATCTTTGATTGAGTCAAGGCTAGTGTAAACTACTGCAAAAGTTGTGAGTGTTCTTTTTTTTTGCTTTGAGTCAGAAGATGCACCTTCATCTGATTGCAGCAACTCCAATGTCTGTGCATTGAATGTATCCACCATTGCATTATGGGGGCTGAGAAATGCTCAAGTTAAACACTGGACAGGGTCTTGCAGAATGTGTGGTGGATACAAAAAGTCAAGGACCATGTCAAGGTTAGATACTGGTTGAAGTAGAGGGAGCCTGACTTGTTCTCCAGAGGTGTCTTCTCCAATATAATCCATGAAGGCTGAAAATTCTGGGTCATCTCTATTGCGCACTGGTGCATGGAGGTGGTGAATCTTAAACATAGGCCAGAGTGGGCTGGAGAGAATAGAGGCTTGTAGGGCTGCTGTTTCACCTGTTCCCTTGACCACTGGTGCTAGCTGACAGAAGTCTCCAAGGCCAAGAAATGGAAGACCACCAAAAGGGATGTCACAGCTTGTAATATGACGACAAACCATGTCAATAGCTTCCACTGTTGTCCTGTTGGCACCTGGCATCTCATCAAAAACAATTAAGCTGGCAGCATGAATAAGATCTGCCCATCCAGAGGGTATTTGGATTTCAGAGAGAATACCAATGTGGTCCTAGTAGTAAAGATGAGAACACTGCAATTGTGAATGAAGAGAGACATGAATGTCTTTCACTGGAATGTGGAAGAGAGAATGCGCTGTCTGGCCATGCTCATAAATGGTAGCTGCAATGCCTGTTGATGCAACCACCAAAACAATGTGTCCATTGCTCCTGAGCCAGGCCAAGAGTGTGTCCACCAAAAATGTCTTGCCTCATCCTGGTTTACCTTCAAGAAAGTAGGGGCCAAATGCATGGTCTTGATGTTGCACTGTGAGTAGAGATGCATGAAGTTCATCATATACCACACGTTGTTCTTCTGTCAGCCATGCATAGCCAATGCAAGCAGCCTCAGCCAACCACAGCTCCTGACCTGCAAATGCAGCAAGTTCTTGGGTGAGCTCCACTGAGTGCCTTGCAGGCTGCAGGAGCCCATAATATGATAGATCCTTTCCCACATCAGCAAGAATATCTCCAATAGAAAGAAGAGCCTGGTTATATGCTGCAACAGGTTGTGGGAGGTGCCAAAGAAAATCAGCTGAGAGATCCTCTTGAAATGTATCCCATAAGGGTGGAGCAGGATACCCTTCCAGAACCACACATGCAAAGAGAAAGCATAGTTGTGCTGGAGTACAAAGATCTGCAACAGCCTCTTGCAAAGCATAGTGTCCTTCGTTATCATTATCAAAGAGGCCTTGGGCATGTGCTGCCTCCACATATGAGGGATATCAAACACCATTCACCCAGTATAGCTCTTCATGGCTTTTTGCAGCCTTGTGTTGGAGTAAACACCAAAGGTAGAAGACATCCCCTGAAGATGGTGAGATGCTTTGCAAATGGGCATGGTGTTCTGTGGTTCTTCATTTAATCACTTTCTGTGGCATTCCTGGCTGCACTTCTTCAAGGAATGCACCAGGAGGGAGGTCTCCTTTCCATGCATCCAAGATATATCTCAAAAAGTATTCTGCATATAGCAAAGGGAGTAGGGCTGGATGGCATGAACATGCAAAGTATTGAAGTAGTGGTGAGGCTGTTGACTGACCACCATTGTGTCAATATAATTGGCCCTAGTTTTCTCCTTCTAGATGTACAGAGAGTCATGTGATGCCAGGGATTTGTTTTGATATAGGAAAGCCAAGAATTCTCCAAGAAGCCTCACAGGCTGAGAGGTATTGACCTTCAACATAGTCATTGACCTCATCCCTAGGAGGATGGTTTGGATCCAGAATATTGAACATTGTGTTGTCCAGGCCTTTATAGAGATACTTGTAAAGGTAGATGAAGACAGATGTTGAACTGACAATATCAGCATGGACATGGCAATCAAGCTCATCAATGAATAGAGGCATGTGTGATGAAATCCATTGGTCCCTCTCAGTGAAGCACTTGTACACTGCATGACCTTCTTCATTGATCCAGGTATGGTCAGCAAGTGGTTGGGGGAAGTTATAGATGCATTTCCCATCACAATTACATTGATGGTATGTGTCTGGGCAAAGATGGTCTCTTGGGTGTGACATCCACTGTTTGATCTTGGCTGCTAATTGGGGTTCTTCTGGAATGTGACCACTGATTATGCAATCTATCTGATCTGGTGGGAGCTCAGGGTGGACCTAGCAATATATTCAGGCTTCCATTAAACAAATACCTATACAGGCATGGTGTACCTTGAAAACTATATGTGCATGGGGTAGGCCACGTTTCTGAAACTCTACCACTTGGATAATGTAGAAGAGTTTGCCGAAGTGCTGCTGTAATAGGTGATTGAAGTGCTGCAGTCATGCCTTAAAGACTTGTGCAACAACCACAGGAATATCTGAGGCATCCTGGCCCCCTCTGCAGCATTCTCTAATCTCTGGCCAGTTGGGATTGCATGTCATTGTTGTGAAGATAGTGGCTTGACCATGAGCTTGAGCAAGGGCAAGTGCATCTGCAGTTTGCTCACTTGCCCATTTGCATGATCCAATGAAGCTTGCAGGTAGGTCAATATCAATGGGCCCCTTGTCATCTTCACTATCTTCTTTGTCTTCATTGCAATCATCAGGTGGGTGAAGTCCTTCCACATGATGTTCTCTTGCACGTCTGATATAGTCAAGACATTGTTCCTCAATTCTGGAGAAGCTGTCACAAATGTATTCATTGGCCAATTGACCAGAGCATAGGAATTGGTCCTCAGTTATTAGGTGGGAGAAGTACCACCGACACTGGGTAACACCATATGCATTTACATAGTGTTGTTGTATTCTGGCCTGTTGGCCATCATTCTCTATGATGCCCCATCCCGGCATCCCATGAGGAAACAGCAAGGGATACTGCAGTGGCTCAGAATGCTGGCTCAGAATGCTGATATATGATGGCTGATCATCCCCTAGAAAATAAATGAGCCAAGTTTCATATGTGAAAGGAGCAACATACCCAGATGCCGTATCAGGATGGTATGTGGATTGACCAATGTTGAATTGTTTGCATGCATGATTGCTGCAAAGTCTTCAGCTGCAGTGAACTCAGGGAGCTCTAGCATAGCCATATCTAGTGAGGAATCATCTTGAAAGTAAAGAAGTTCATGGATGTATGGGTTATGGCATTCCAATGCTTCTGAGACTGCTGCAAGCCAATCTGGAGATATGTTCATCCTGTGCCCTCTATCTGTTCTCTCCTGCTGATTGTAAAGGAACCAATGGATCGAGTGTGTTGGGTCTGCCACATCTAGCATGCAATGATAGGTGCGACCTGTGAGAACCACATTGGATGGGGGCTGGAGTCCTTGCACAAAGCCCTCTGTTGTCCTGATTGCAGTCAATGCAAAGAGGCCATTGAGTTTTTGAGACAGGGCAGACAGACAATTGCTTTCCAGAAAGATGTTGTAGGAAGCAGGTAGCACAGGTAGCCATGGTAACACATATGTCCCATTCTTGCAGCAAAATGTATTTGCCTCAGCACTGAGAATCCAGGGAGAGTCTTAGTGTTAGACATGTGTAAGGGCTCACTCAATAATAGGACTGACCTGAGGAGCATTGCACTGCAGTAAAGACAGACCCTGTTCCACTGTGAGATAGCACGCTGCTGGCCAGCTGCAGTGGAGGATTTTGGGAAGAGATGCCACCACAATTTGACCTGTCTGGGTGGTTGGTTCATTTGCTGTGTTCTGCTGCCAGGGAAGTCTTGTGGCAGTATAGGCAGGATACCCTCAACATGGTTAGTGCCCATGTTATTCTGAGCTTCCAGATGCTGCTGTCTCTGCCGATTTCTATACCTGGCCTGTTGATCTCTTCTCATAGCTCGATACTGGTGCCACTATTCTTCTGTCATATTCTGTTCTTGATGTCAATGTTGTTCTTGCTCTTTTTGGTGCCAAAGAAGGTGGGCTTCTTCTGTCTCCTGTTCTCTTCTTGCACAATGCCTTTGGGCATTGGCCTCTCTTCTATGGATGCCATGTGCTCCATGTGCCTGAGGAAGGTGCTGTTCATCTTCTAGGGGCATCTCAAGCCAGTCATTGGGAGATGGGAGCTACAAAAGCCTGCCATCTCTATTTGACCTCTCCACAAATATGTCTCAGTGGGCCTCTCTTGCCCTGACCGGTGTGAGGAAAGAAACAGGGTACAGTGTGCTCATTCAATGCAAATTCCAAGAGCCAGTTCCACCTTGGACAACCATACAGAAGGCAACTATGTTGATGTGCATCAAGGATGTCTGGTCCACTTTCTCAGTGAACCTGTTTCACCATTGCCTTGGTGATCAAGGCTAAGCTCTGTTGCAGCTTTGATTCCTTCAGCCAGACCATTTTCTTGTCTTGAAGGTATCTGCCCTATTGAGGTGGTTTGTGATCCAGCTGGGAAAGGAGTGTTGATCTGCAAAGCAGAGCGAGACCACTGAAAGGCTGATTTTGATGGTGTAGCTGGTGCTGGTGATGGTGCTGATGATGTGGTTCCAGAGAGATAGTCATAATCAAGAATCTGTAGGATAACAATTCAACAATAAATATTAACTGTGGAAAACTGTCTCTTACCCAGAGTGAGAATCGCTTAGAAGCCAAAGTCAAGTCTTCCTGTGAAAGGGATATGCTGGTAAGAACTCCAGTCACATGCAAAGTTGCATTTGAAGTGACACAGGGGGTTGATTTAGCAAACTGCCCTTCATCTGGAAAGTAGCACCAAAAGCAAGAAGCCTTCTTGCCAGTGGAAATCCATGGCATGGCATCCATATTGAAGGTGCAAGCATGAACATTGAAAGGACATGCTGCAATGCAGACTACAGGAGGGATCGGCAGTTTCTCATGGGAGAGCAGAAGAAGCTGGCCAAACAATCAGCACCTGCCATCATATTAACTCAGGAAAACATACCACCAAGCAATCCAGCTCAAACTCAAAATCATCCATATTGAAGCCATCACCAACAACCATAGAGGTTGTCCTTGATGCAATCTTGGCTGTGATGCTGTATACACCAACTAACTTCCCACTCCAAAGCTCCGCTGGGCAGGAAATAGTGCAAGATGCCAACCACATCATCAGTCGTGAGGATGTTGTCAAGGTTGCCAGCTACAGGTGCCATGGGTAAGGCTATGCTGCAGGTTAGAGTATGTGAGCCAGCTGCAGATGGATGCCAGTCATAGCAACCTGCAATAGCAGTGAGGATAACTGACATGGCAAAAGATTATTGAGGGGATAGAGCAAGGGAGTTCCTCCAGTTTGCCATCCATCTTTATGCAGTAGCCGGTAAACACTTGACTCAGTATTGTGAGACAGGGTACATCTTTGGCAAACATCAGAGACAGTAATCTGTACCACCGCAAAGAAGGACACACAATGAAACACCCCCCACAACAGGCAAGACATGCCAAAGTATCACATGTTACCCTCCCAAATAACCAATCATGTGTGACACCTTCAGACATCTGATGAGATGCCAAACCATGTCTACTATTAACCATACCAAAGTTAGCACCATGGCAATCACAAAACAATCACTGAGAACTGACCAAAAAATGTGAAAGTCTACACTTAGGGAGGTGATGGAAAAATAGGTAGCATGTATCATCAAAGAGGACCATAACACCTAGTCACTATACTAAGCTACTGTCTTTCTATAATCTTTGCAAAGATTGGCATCCATAAGGCCAGAAAACACATACCTAGTTCCCCTAAAGTATGTGGTGTGATGTGCCAAGTGCCTGGTGTTGATAAACAGCAACTGGCCTGGATGAAGTGGGATCTGAATCCCTAGCTGAGGGAGGACCAAATAGGCAGTGGTGAAGTTGCCAAGGACAAACAGGATACTGTACTGATTGCCATCATCATTCAAATTGATATGGGGCACAGGGGCATGGCCCTCTCTGAAGGCCAGCATGTGCCAGGCACATTGTTGAAGCTGAGGTCTAACAGCCAAAGTATCTGCCAATGCTGGGTGAGAATAGGTCCAGTCCAGGATCCTGCTAAAGTGTTAGGAGTAACCCATCTAAAGCATGTCAAAGGACAAACCTCTTTCTCTCCTCATATACCTCAGGTTGATGACTATGCAACAACCTCATAGCCCTTTTGCCCACCACCATGTCCATAACCTCCAAAAAGACATCCATCCACCTCTTCACCAAAGGATTCTGGTTAACCAAATCTCTGCTAAAGGCAGGCACCGGGCTGGATCTTCTCCAAACACCCAAGTGGAGTCCTGGTACCAATGAGTGACTGAACTCTTCCTCCTGTCTTAGGTAAGACTCGGGAAGTTTCAAGTAGAAGTCTTTGGTGAGGTTGAGCAAGGTGTCCAGATGCTGAGACGGAACATCATCATGAACTCAAAAGAGAGGACAATTTAGTGTCACTCCCTTGGGTAGAGGCTGGGCTGGATTGACCCTGTACACCCAATCACCAGTCTCAGGAGCACAGGGAATGGGTGTAGGGAGGGGGTTGTGCAAGAAGGCAGCTGTGAGAGAATCCAAGACTGCTGCATTGCTGGAAGGATGTCTGATGAACAGGTCCGGGTAGGAGGGAATAAGTTGAACATCTATCCATCATGTGAGTATACAGGAGATGCAACCCAAAGTATAGCAAGATGAACCATTATCCCCCAAGCCCCTGGTCTGGCACCTCTCAAGCCAACCCATATAGCTGCGCAATTTCATTGCATCACTCTTGTGCTTTCTCCTCTTGTTACGGGGCAAAGGTCTGTCCGGAGCATCCATATCAGGCACCAGAAGGGAAACATGGGCTGGGTCAGACATGCAGTCCATCCAGCGCACCCAGAAAACAACAGCGAAGCAAGGACAAATGAAACCACATTGCACAATGAACAGCCCAAAGAGCGGCAGCAAAAAGTTTTACAGGGGGAAGCGCCACCCTAGCACCCTGCCCTGGAGCGGACTGCGTCGCCGGCCTCCCTCGTGACATTCTTTCTACTGCCCACATTCCAGATACGCTCAGGATCATTCAATGCCATCTCTCAATTTCCTCAATTGAAGATCATGCCAGGATTACAATCACTTGCAGTAAGGTGCGGATAGTGGTATACATTGATGCGATCACTTTGATATGATCCTTATCTCGTTGTGAGCCTGCGCAACTCCCATATACCGTCTCCCCCCTGCACTGCTTGCATTTCCAAATCACTGAGCTTCGATAAACCAATGCGCACAAACGAGAAGCCAGACTGCTGATCCTATATAACACCGCGCCAGTTAGAAATTAAAGCTTCAGGTTCAATGACAAACTCGCCGAAGACACCGCCGAAGAGGGCCAGTGAGCCAGGAACGCCATAGTCAACGTACAGCAGGCGCACTGTTGCCCATATGACGAGCATAGGGAGGAGGGCGAGAATAGCTGCATTGCCAATGTCCTGAATGACTCACCATGCACGTATATAGGGGAACTTACCGCATAATCGAGGATATTCTCGTACTACGGTATCCAGAGGCATCGCTGGCTCCCACCAAGAGTACCCTGAAGGTTGCGATGCCAGCAGCGGCTGTACATGCCAGATATACACAGGTGGTGTTCAGAGGTGTGGCTCCTCTCACCAAACTTGGGCTTCGGAGGTCATTGCGGGGCGACGAAGCGTGTGAGTTCCGATGAAATCGGACGTATACCCTCTTTGCACAGCATTTCGGCAGGCAGAACTTCAAAAATATTTGCGCACATGACAGCCATCGCTAGGATACAAATCCATAAACTAACGAAGTAGATATGATGACTTGACACCCTTCTTCACATCACTCACTCTCATACTTCGGCGATACCTCGATATCCGTATTGTGGCTGAGAAGAGGGTTGGGCCGGCATAATGTCCGAGGAATGCCGTTGACCTCCACTTGACCCAACTGGTACTTGCCAGGTTTAAGGACCTGCGGACGCAGCAATTAGTACCAACGGCGCTTCCTGCGTTACTGCGATATTTTCTGTCGTGGTTAATGGATCCCAGACGTTGGCCCCGGCCTTCTTCATCGGATATCATGATCGCCCCTCATATGCATCTTCACGGCATATGCGAACAAGTATACAAAAGAGGACAGAACTTCAGGAATAGTCAGTGACCAGGCCACTAGAGGAACGGGCGATTGAGCGAACCGAAGACCCAATTGATCCACGCCAATGCTTCAACCGCCTTCCATTCACGACACATAGCTTCCGCATCAGACAAGGTCATCTCAATTGTCCAGTTCACGATCTGGCCTGCAGCAGGCTTGTAGCTCATGATTAAATTATCAGCAACGCGTCACTTACTGGAAGATTCATCGCAGTTGCCCACCCCGAACGTGGAAGACACCTCGCTCGTTGTCCAGGCCGCCGACGCTGTCACATGGTCGACACCACGAATAAACGGAAGAAGAGGTGGTGCGTACCAAGCCACATAACCCATAGTAGACCCACTACACCGAGCTCGAAGGATGTGGATGCCAAGAAGCGCAATCGAACGAAGACCTCCCCCAAGAGCCTATAGTCTGTTCCTCAGCTCCTGCCCATATGCCCAAAGCTGCATTCTCCTTACACGAGAAACAAACAAACCAAGCTCACGACTGAGGACGCCAATGCTAAGGAATGGTCAAGTGGTGTTGTCTAGACACTTACCAAACTGTGCAAATGCCTCACCTGCACCGAGGTCCTCATTCTCTAAGCTCAGCAGGGCTGCAGAAACCCCCAGCTCCGCGATCGAAGCAAGCAAGGCGAGCACTTCAAATGCCTATGTCAGCTAAAAGCAATGGGTGTGATGTGAAAGCAGATTACGATAAAAGATTGTGCGATACAGAGCTGGACCGAGCACAGCCATGGTAAGGATATTCCGACTTTGCCTTGCGATTGTCATGTCTTCTGTATTATTTATACGTGTGGATATTCATCCTGTGACTTGACTTGACAAGCGGTCGGGTTTGCGGGGGGGGATGTCCTTCAGTGAGATACAATGCCTTGACGTTGTAGCGGTGCATGTGCAGCAAGTAATGGGACTTGCCCATTAGCTGCAGGCTGCTATGTCACCCAGTCAGCAGAGCTCAGCCATGAGAGAATAACATGGGCATACGCCACGTAAGAAAAGGCTCTGATGGTGTACTGGTCGGAAACAATACGTCCGTTCTCTCACGGAACCCAGTGGAAACCGTTGACCGAAGCACTGCATATCGAAAGCAACACGTACAACCACGTGACATTGACGATTGAGCTTTTCCCTCCCTCTAAGCTAGTCCACGAGCAACCAGAACGATGCACTGGGGGTGCTGACATCCGTCACAGAGGCTCAGCGATACTCGGGTAGGTAAAACCACCTTGGGAAAGTTCTAGGAGTAGCGCCCATGGTCAATAATCCCCAGTACGATCGTTGGAGTGGAGGACAGCCGTAGAGGGTTGCCGCCTGAGGGTGCACGTCCGTGGGTCAGCGGATGTTATAACAGCTCGTGGCACGTTCCTGTTTGGCGGCGTGCTCAAGATCGCATCGGAAGGGAGGCAGTGTCCTTGTCAACGCAAATGCGCAAAGCAGAGTCGTACTGCCAATACAGGAACAGGGTCTGATGCTTGTGACAGAGAAGCCGGAACAAGATGGATTATTCGATGACCTACAACATGTGAGAATCGACTGGGTGTACCAGCACCATCTTGACCCTGCCTCGCTGAGTGTTCACATCCTTCTCTATCGAAATCTCGACATCAACTTCGTCGAACACAGATAGGGTTACTTCGCCAGTAGCTGATGGGACCTTGACGGAATACAATTCAGGATCAAAGTTGATCTCGCGCTTGAAGGTCACGAGACCTTCTAGACCAAGCCTGTGATAGTGTCAGCACGTGCGATCCAGATCGCTACATAGATAGGTGCACTCACTTCGAGACGAAGACAGCTACTCCATTCCTGAAAGCCCGGATGATGAAAGCCTTCTCCCTAGCAGGCGCGCCTTCCCGCTCCGCCCGACCTTTCAGAGCGACCGCAACGAAGAACTCGAGGCTGGCCCTGCTTGCATTTTGTGCCATCCGATGCCTCCGGTTGACGCCGTTCAATATCCTCTCCATATGCTGACGGGAATGGAGCGATGCGTGCAAGGGGGTGTAGTTGATCGCAGCGGCCAGCTGGCGATGAACGAGCACGTCTGCAAAACGCCGAATGGGACTCGTGAAGTGTGTGTAGATCGGGCTGGCCAGACCATAGTGGCCGAATGTCTCCCGCGAGACAGAGCCGGCACAGAAGTACTCCGCAGGACGCATACATCTGGTCGCCATGATCCTGACGAGTATGTTGAAGTCCGGTTCGTCAGCGATGACACATGTGTCTAAGCTGTTGGCAAGTGCTCCGGAGCTCGAGATATCGAGTTTCATCCCCTTGCGCTTAAGTAGCACATCTTCTAGGAGCTCGAAGTTTGATGCCGGTGGTGGCTGATGCCGGCGCAGCACCGCGGTCTGGGGGAACGTCTCCTGGATCTTGGCGGCAACGCTGATATTAGCGAGGAGCATGAATTCCTCTACAAGGCTGTTGGTTTCGAGCTGCTCTTTTTGCTCTACGTCGACAGGGTCGGATGACTCAGGAGACTCCATCTGGATGCGTACTTCGGGGGAAGCAAGGTTAAGCGCCCCCGCCGCCATACGTGCTGCTCGTAGTTTCTTGGCAAGCGCGTTTAGTAAGCGGATGCTCTCACTCACGGGATCCGTTAAGGCTCTGCTTTGGGTAAGAACCAGCATACGCCGGGCAGGCCTGGAAACTCACAAGTTATCCTTCCTCGTCTGGGCCTCCTTATACGTGAAAGCCGCTTTGCTCGCAATGACTGACTTTGTAAACCTGACATTGATTATCTTGGCCTCCGGCGTCAGTTCCTACATGGGCATCAGCGACCATTCAGTGTACGAATCCCTATAACCCACCCAAATGACCGAAAACGCTAGCCTCTCAACATGTGCGCGCAAGGAGCACAAGTTAGTTCCCAACAGACTAGGAAGCATATCAATCCGTTTATCCACGAGGTAGACCGTCGTTCCCCGCGCCGCAGCCTCAGTGTCCATGGCGTTATCCGGAAGTACGAAATGAGATACGTCGGCGATATGCACTCCGGCTTCGATGTTGCCGTTCGGGAGACGACGAGCGTGCAGGGCATCATCGATATCCTGGCACCCTGCATTCCACTTTAGGGCAGATTCAGTGTTAGGGAAGAAGGCATACCGGGCGGATCTATGCTACAGATGATCATCTCCCGGAGATCTTCCCTGTCCCGCCAGACGATACTGTCCTCCGTCTTGGGTGGTACCACCCAAGCGTCTCCTTCCTTCGGCAGACAGTCCAAAATTGCTCTCCCAAACGCGCGGTATGGTACCTCCCACTCAAGCAACAAACTCTCCTGTTCCGCCTCCTTACTTCCTACTTGCCCTAACGCACGGACGAAATGGCCTTCTGGATAGCGCGAGTCTACGTCCCACTTGTCGATGCTGACGACTATTTTCTGGTGAACGAGCTGGGGGGCTTGGCGAGTGCGTAGGCGGATGCGTGGGAGGTTAGGAGAGACAGGGGTGGCGAAAACGACTTGTTGAGACTGGGAGGTTGTGGCGGAGGAGGAGAGAGTCGAGGGATCAAGGTGGCAGATATAAGCGCGCCAATTCCGCTTTCGGATGCCTACCACCCGCCCGGTAGGGTGTTTTTCCAAAGGGTTTCGCTTGCCAACATCCCGAGCATCCCTTTCCTCTTGAGCGGCAAGTCGGTGCTCGGCCTCCCCGCCCTCTTCGCCATCAGAGTCGTCCGCGTCGTCGGCTGCGAGGGTTAGGTCCTGGTCAACAACTTCGTCACCAGGGGCTTTCCATTCCGACTCCGGGTAAAGCTCTACTACAACCAAGTCACCTGCGACGGCGCGGTTGAGATCTCGACGGCCTATGACAAGAATAGGGCGGACAAGAGCGGCGGAGTTGATGAACCCCTATTATCTATCAGTCACATACTCCATCAACCCTTGCATGGACGTACCTCAAGATAATTATACTGATTCGGGTTGAATCGACCTTCATATAACTTTCCTCCCGCTACCCCAGCATCCAACGTACCAGCAGGCAAGTACTCGTCATATATCGCTCTCCTCTCTGTTGCCTCCTTATCCTCCACCCGTCCAGGAGCAGCGAGCACGTCGCCCAGCTCATTAGCATTCGGCAGGCCAGCGACGTACGCTCGTACGGAGAGGGCTGGAATGGATAATGCAGACGCAAGCTGACGGCTTGCCGTATCGTCTGTTAGCAAGAGGACGGTTGGAGCTGGGGAGCTAGCGGCGTGTGCGAGGCCGATGTGAGAGGCGTACCACGCTGCTGCTGTACGGATCGCTAGCGCCCAGTCAGCCCTCTGTGAGATTACAAATGAAAAACGTACCCCGATCATTCATATCATTTGCGCTCTCGCCCTCCTTCCTTCCCACAGCGGTCTCTTCCCTAAACTCGTTCCAGAACACCCATGCTCCTCCCTTCACCCACTCATCCGCGTTCCGAACCAGATTCCTCACCCGATTATAGAGCGGCAAACTCCTATGTCTGACCTCATCCATCACTGTTTGGAGGAGGATGAGCGAGCTTTGGAATGAGGGGTGCTCGAATAAGTCGATCTGATGCAGGAGAGCGTTGGTGTCGGGCAGGAGGTGGTGCCCGGCTGGGAAGGAGGGATGCGGAGTGCCTTGGACGGGGAGAGATGGAGACTGTCCTGTAAAAGGTGGGGAGGCGCATATAGGGCAGAGACGCACACCGCAGCCAATGTCATCTCGTAGGTATCGTTCCCGGAGGACTACAACATGTTAGAGAATATCGATGCTTCGAAGGGTAATGCTGCACACCTTTAATAACACGTCCTTTTCTGGTCTTTCGAAAGAACTTTTTCTGTGGTTGTATTTCCTCTTCTCTCTGTCGTTTTCTTATCGTGATCTCAACCATAATTACAAACGTGTGTGTGTGTTGTTGCAACAGCAGAAAAGTGTACAAGTAAACTATCGCTCAACAGCAGACCCTTATCCCAAATCTCGAGATTATCCGGCATTATCTCCGTACCAGTTTCTCCCCCTTCTGCCCCATGCTCTCCTCGTGCCACTCTCCTGCAAAATATGTCCATAACCTACAGACCATATGCGGGACCATCCGACCTACCCGCTATCATTCACCTAGTAGAGACAGAGCTCAGTGAGCCGTATGTCATCTACACCTATCGGTATTTTCTTGATGGTTGGTGCGTACGTCCTGATGAGTAGATACATGCACGCTAAATGGAAACAGGCCACATCTAGCATACATGGCCGAAACCTCCTCTCCTCCCGACACAGAGACAGACACAGAGACGCATATACCTACCAGCAAGAGCGCTCCGCGTGCAGTAGGCTGCGTAGTGTGCAAGCAAGACCTGCACGGGCCGCTGCAGACTATGAGGGGGTATATTGCCATGCTCTCCGTTTCCCCGCTGTATAGACGAAGAGGGGTCGGTGCAGGCCTAGTGAGACTTGCTGTTAAGGGGATGAAGTTTACCGGTGCGGATGAGGTGAGTGTTCCTGGTGAGAGGGGTTCTGTACGTAGCGCTCATGCTAACCCAGGTTATGCTTGAAACGGAACATGATAACGCATCCGCTTTGCGACTGTATGAGCGGCTCGGGTTCATAAGAGAAAAGCGGTTGTTCCGATTTTATTTGAATGGGAAGGATGCGTTCAGACTTGTTTTGGCGCCTGCTGAAGCTGAGAGGGGTTGGGAGGGGGTTGAAATAGAGGGGGAGGGTGATGATCTCCCTAGTTAAGCGTTGGCCATGTTGGTAATAGGGAACATTTAGGTCTGTATTCGTACTTCATACATGAAACTGAGCAAGCTGTACTCTGTATTCTAATCAAACAACAACGCCTTCCCTCAAAACCAGATCCTATGGGTCGAACACTGATACCCATTGGGGTTCTTCTCCAAATACAACTGATGATACTCCTCCGCATCCCACCACTGTCCAGCCTCCACGATCTGCGTGACAATCTCCTTGCCCTTCGGTGAGAAGTGTTTTTCCTGCACCTGGCGGGTCACTTCCTCCGCGGTGGACTTCTGGGAGGGAGTGGTGTAGAAGATCGCGGAGCGGTATTGGGTGCCCATGTCGCCCCCTTGCCGGTTGAGGGTAGTAGGATCATGCGACCGGTAGAAGAACTCTGTTGTTATAGATGTCAGCGTTCTACTCCCTACGTCTATCGGTATAAGCAAAATCGAACTCACCAACCAGCTCAGCAAAGCTAACGAGCCCAGGATCAAACTCGACCTTACAAGCCTCGGCATGTCCCGTATCGCCCTGACACACCCTCCTATACCCCGGATCCTTCACATCCCCACCCGTGAACCCGACTCTGGCATCCACAAGCCCTCGACCATCATAATACTGGCGGAAGATGTGTTCCGTACCCCAGAAACAGCCTGATGCGAAGAGGGCGGTCTCGGTCTTCCCTGATGGCTCGTGGGTGAGCTGTGACTGCGCGGCGATGGTACTCGCGACTGTGGGAGCCAGGAGGGGAGGTTGGACGTGCGGCATTTGGGTGGTGAGGAACTTGGATGCGTTGGAGATGAGGCGGTTGATCATACGTGGAAGGAGAGAGAGAGGCAGTCAGCAACTTGGCGCTGCCAGGTGGTGGCAATGGAGTGATCGACGCGTTGGAGGGCGTCATCGATCGTTATCACGTGACATTCATAATCGTCCATGTAACCGTATTCCTAAACGGGTTTCGCCTCCCAGAATTGGAGGTATCCACACATATTTGCCCCTTGTCAAGAATGTCTGCCCCCTTATCCAAATAAGGCACTTGCGGTGCGAGGGGAGGACGCCTAGTGCCTAGTGGAGCTCGTGGAGCACTGGTGTGCCGCACGAGAGGCGGGTGGTTGGGTAGATACACCCGCCTTTGATGGAAGAATGGACGATTTTGAGAAGAGGAGTTGGTGGCATGGGCGGCATGGACGCACACGACCAACGTATCCATTTAAGCTCGACATCTGCGGATGCTCGGTTCGGACAAATGACGAGCATGCACAAGAAATCCATTTCTTAATTTCAACTCCTACTTCGCCGTGTACTTTCAGTACCGAATCACATTCGGGACCGTTCTTCACCGCCCAGTCACAGGGCAGCGACATAGCGGTTGTTCGCCTCCTCAAAGTTGATAATGTTCCATATAGCCTTGAGGTACTACGTGCGCAAAGAATTCAGTGAATGCACTTCGACTCGAAGAAAGGAATTGCTCACGTCGGGCCGGACATTCTTGTAGTCGATATAGTACGCCTGCCCCATGTCAGAAGTGGACGGAACGAAACATTATCATCAAAACTTACATGTTCCCAGATATCGATACCAATGATCACAACATGAGCTTGAGGAGAAACATAAGCAGGAGTACGACCACGAGCGGGTAACACAGCGCTAGACTGGACGGGACGCACTTAGCAGCGGGTCCTGGTTTGGCGTCGTAACGACCTCCAGCTTCTTCGTGTGCGTATTACATCCCTACACACATGCGCATGTATCCCTGCATCAGCTCTCCTCAACAGAATTCAAGTTCGAAGCGACGCACGAGCCATCCCCAGCCCGAGCCACGGATCGCCGCTGTCGTACTGTTCATCTCGCTTATGAGAGCGTCGAGCGAGCCAAAGTCTCGCTCTATGGCCTCCTTAAGCGGGCAAGGGCCCAGCTTTGAGGCGGGTGAGTTGGCAGGAGTGAGGTTTTTCCAAAAGAGGGAGTGGTTGATGTGCCCTATTGGTGTTTGCTATCCGTGAGCTCCCTGCCAGAAGAGGGATGCGGACTGCGGGAGAGGCAGCGAGGGAGGACGCACCACCCCCATTGAACTTCAACGCTGCCTGGAGCCTGATCTTGTCCTTTATATCCTGCGCGCCTGCAAGACTAGCCTCGGCCGCGTTCAGGCCGTTCACGTACGCCCGGTGGTGTTTATCATGATGAAGTGTCATGATCTCCTCGGAGATGTAGGGCTCGAGGGCGTTATAGGCGTACGGCAGGGGTGGGAGAGTATAGGCCATGTCGAGGTTAGACTGAGCGAGGAGTGCTTAGGAAAGAGCAAGGCGGAAAGAGATCTGTTGGTGCTATTGGGTATATAGAGACGTCTGTATCCAAGCTGGCAAGAAGAGACTGGGAAGGCACCGCACAGGTCATGATACGGTAGCCATAGGCGAGGTGGGAGCCAATAAGAGGGAGAGGTCGGGCAGGAGTAGCACAAGAGGGGCTTCGTCAGCTACGCATTGGACGGATGATCAAAAAGTGACAAGGTTGGGATGGGACGGGAGTGGGACTAGGAGTAGGAGGATAGAGCGTGATTCGAGAGAGATATGTAGAGGAGCAGACTCCTCCAGCAGATTGGACTGTAGGTTGTCAATAAGCTCTGTCTTAATAAAGCCAGGTGGAAACTCGCACTCACCAACCATCATACTAAGATATCTCTGCTTTTCCCACTCACAAACACATATGTCGCAGCACGAAGAGGCAGGAACAAGCATACACCAGAAAGGCAACGTCTTGCGTTTGGGAAGAGACGCGTGCTCAATTCACCCCACCAGAGTAAAAGGACTATGCTGTATACCACGACAAGGCGGTAGAGCAATAGGGTTGGTGGGGAACGAGGATCTTCAGTTAGCTTGGAAGAAGAGCCATGGGATGAGGAGCAGCAAGTGAGTGATCGCAGTGCGCAGTGGGGGGGCGGCATTATTTGGTTGATTAGCTTTCTATTCCTTTCTTTTAGTTTCTCCATCTCCTTCCTGTGCACGGTAAACACTTTACAAAGAAAAAGGTACTACTCTATTTAATCTTGACTACAGCATTGTATCATTCGGCGATGGCAATGGATACCTCAGATTGGTATGCTTCTGCCCCGGGTTACGATGTTCTGCAACCACCATCTCTCGTCACGACAGAAATCTGCCCTTGTACATCTTCTTTCCCGGGCAACTTCTTTCGCTCCGTAGACTGGTACGTCTTGAATTTACCATTAAACCAATATGTCTAATTTTCTTTAGGTGCCCTGATGGTTCATCCCTGCTAACGACATCCGAGGACCACGTATTCCGAATATACCATTTCGATTCATCAGCAAACTACGTATCCTCTCACTTACCTCTTCTCCCTCCCACCGAACTCCCCCAAGCAGGTCCAATTACCGCCCACATCTGGCATCCACATGCTTCTCCCACCTCTCAAACATTCTCAATCCTCAGCGCTGTCCGCTCCCAGCCTGTACAGCTCATCTCCGCCTCTGACAGTCAGCGTCTTGCGAGCTACAGGATAATCGATCATAGGGAACGTTTCATCTCCCCTCTCTCGCTCGCCTGGGATCCTTGGACTCTCCAGTCAGATGCGCGGTTCTGGGCAGGGACAGACGGCGCGCTCGAGCAGTTCACCCTCTCCCGCCCTGGGGAAGGGAGCCGTTTCCCCCTTTCCGGCACACGAAAGTCCAAAGAAGGCCAGCGGGGGCTCATCAGCGCACTCGCTTTCTCCCCTTCCGGACTACTAGCATGCGGCAGCTTCTCCCGCACGGTAGGGCTGTACGATCCGCAGGACCCGAGGAGCACGCAGGGAATGGTTGACGTACCCGGGGGAGTGACCCAGTTGTCTTGCAGCCCGCAGGGGACGCTGATTGCCATGTTCCGGGGGGAGGAGGACATGTGGGCTTGGGATAGCAGAATGTTCGCTGAAGGGAGACATTGGCTGCTGAGTCCGCGTGTACCTGCTGAGGTATCGGGAGGGGCGGGGACACAACAGAGACTAAGGCACTCGCTCGACCCCTGGGGGAGGTATCTTTTTGCCCCCTCAGCAAGAGGCACGATCAGCACGTACGACCTGCTCTCCTCTCCCCTGCCACTGGCTTCCGATCCCTGGGGTGGAGAGCGCGGAGTGCAGCAGCCCATCGGCTCGTGGTGCGCACATGGGGACGCGGTGGGATGTGTGGCGTTGCATCCTAGTGTGGGGTGTGTTGTCACCGTTGGAGGGGGACGACATTTTGAGGATGAACATGAGGATGAGGCAGAGGTGGTAGAAGTAGTAGAAGACGGGGCATTCGGCGTACCAGTGCAGGCAGCGGGGCAGAAGGAGGATAGAGATGAACACGGGGGCGACGGCGACGCAAGCACCGACTCCGACTCTGACTTAGCTGACGACAGTTCAGACAGCAGCTCGACATCATCCATCCAGATCCTCCCCCCTCGGAAACCTCACCCATCCTCAGTCCAATATGCACGGATCATTCGCCAGTCCAGGCCGAGGCCGAGAGAGGCAACGCTTAAGATCTGGAAATTTCGAGAGCGAGTTACAGAAGAGGCAGAGGCTTGAGCGCTGGTTTAGGGAGTGTGTGAACGTGCTCGTGGTATTCGATGTCATTGTACACTATACATTGTGTTCAATCTACATAATATATGTAATCTCACAACAACAACTATAACTTTCAAGCACCCTCTCCCCCAGCATCCCCCTTCTGGCGCATCCTCAGATCCAACCCCCTCGCTACCCAGCCCAAAGCGCTCCCCAAAACCAACGACGCCCCGGAGTAGGCGATCATGGGGTAATAGTTGCCCCCGCTGCTCTGTAATATCGCGCCTGCGATGGGGCCTCCGGTGGGTTGTCCCACGAGTTCAGAGGTGAAGAAGAGGCCTGTAATGGCTGCCAGTCGGGTGTGGTCGAAAGCGTGTGCTAGGACGACGGGGAATATACTGTGAATAGCGCGAGTCTATTTGTCGCCAGCAGGTGGAAGGAAGGGGGGACGTACCCAATATACCCACCCCCACAAAGCCCGTAAACAATTGCCAACACCATACACAGCGCATAGCTCCCGCTCTTGTTCGCCAAGCTCCAAAACAACCACTGACTCGCGCCCGCACAGAACATCCCTGCCAGGACGGTGTTGAACCGCCCAGCACGGGTGTCCGCGATCGCACCGAGGATGATGCGCCCGGAGGCAGAGCCGAGGTTCATCATGCTCACTAGGAGGGAGGCGAAAAAGGGCGTACAGACGGTGTTGGTGCTCGCAAATGTGGGAAGGTAGAAAAAAGGGACCAGGTACCTTGCGTGTTTGCATTAGTAAGGGTGGGGGCGAGGCGGAGGAGGACGCATCCGAAAACGCTCACCGCACTCGCACAGTAAAGAACGGCAAATACTGGGTCCCGGAACATCCGCCAGTCCAATATCGGCTCGTCCTTCTCTCCCTCTCGCCATCTCGCCTCTCGTGTCTTGCGCTCCTTAAGAAAGACGATAGCGATGACGCACAGGCCGAGGTTAATGAACGACGATACGCGGAGGGCCCATTGACGTCCGAGCTGCGAGATGAGTAACCGTCCGATAAGCGACCAGAAGACACCACCCAGTCCAGCCCCGGATGCACCGATCCCAATCGCAAGTGCTCGTCGGCGTGCGAACCACTGTGCTGGGATAGCAGCGCCAGGAACAAAAAGCATCCCAGCTCCAGCACCTTGGATAATCCCTTGCGTGACAATCAGGGTGGGAATGGACGTGCAGAAGCCGGCCGACAAGGTGCCGACAAAGAAGACGATAGAGCCGACGATCTATACGAGGGATTGAAAAATTAAGACGTGCAATATAATGAATGGGAAGTACTCACGGATACTGCGCGCATGCCGTACCGTTGACACGGCCGGCCCATAAATGCACCCAAAAAGAGCGTGAGAGCGACACAAATCGATCCCACGAGATCAATTTGCTGCATACATCTTATGATATTTTGATGTCACGAAGCGATCAGAAAAAGCGATCAGAAAACGCACTGTGGCGGACACATCTGCGAACTCCCGGAGCTTATACTGTTCCTGATACACACCGAACCCGTAAGTGAACCCGAGGTCGACAAAGTTGAGGATAAAACTATACAAGGTTCCTTCAGCCGTCGTAGCGTTCTGATGGCATGAAGTTGACTCACGAAGCCATTATAGTCAACCAGGCCGTAATTCCGCCATCTGGTGGCTGGTCTGCTCCAGACACGACCTCGGCTGATGTGACCTGCGTGCCCGGCTTTCCAGCCGCGTCGACAATGGCCCCAGGCTCCGGAGTGACAGTTCGCAGTGAATCATCCCGTCTCTCTTCGGTCGGATCTGCGGGAGTTGTTGAATCCATGAATCCAGACACGTAGAAAGAGAGACGAGAGGAATTTAGGTCACAGACGGCATTGTGCAATGCAAGCACACTTGAAGAAGGAAAAGCAGGGTCTAAACCTGGCATGGCCGAGAACGGAGGCATGCCGTGACCGGCTGTCAGGGTTCCGGCGCATCAGTTACTTCTTGCGGGATCATGTCCCGAGATCGGAAGGTCGCCAGCCGTTGAGAAAACAGAAGTTGGGAGCCAAAAAAAAAAAGAAGTTTTGCACACGTTGCGTATGTGCACCATTAGGATCATGCCCGGTTTATGCCTCCAACCACTCGACAAGTCGCTGCTGGCAACAGGTGTCATTGTACAGCTGCCCGGATCATGAAAGCATCGCTGATATTGTACTGTGTCAGCAAATCAAGCGCGAATCTTCTTGTTGTTGTTACATGTCTTCGCAGTGGCATCGGTTAACGGCCGGGAAACACTTCTCGGGGCTTCATCATCATCGGAGTCCAGGACAATTACCTCAACTTTTCGTTTGTTGGCTTTTGGTGTGTTTTTTCGGGTTTTGTCGTAGATCTCCTCTTCCACAACTCTACAGACTTCCATATCTACACCGGCGCAGAGAAGGACATCGGCCCAGATCTGTTTACAATAAGTTTTGTGGTGACACAAAGCGGGCGACGAGCAGACCTTTTGCGTCTCCATAAGATTGTCCCCAGGCCCCTTGACCTCGACGAATTTAGCAGTCTTCTTGGCGGCATTCCAGATACTGTATGCTGTTAGCACCATTTTCGGGCTCATTATATGACAAACTCACATGAGGTCGGGAACCCCACTACCCCTCTGACCATATTCTTCGCAGAGCAAGCGACAGATCGCAGATAGTCCTTCGCCGCCAATACCCTCCGCAATCCCCACCAAATCGCCCTTTTCGAACATGTCCCATCGAACGCCCACACACCAAGTCTGATTTGGACGCTCTCGATCATCCACGTCAGCAATTATACGAGGGCCCTGTCCCGCTCGTAGTTCTTCTAGTCGCTTATCGATCGCTTCTCGGCGCACAGAATAGAAGGTGTCGTACGTCAAATCAAGCGGCGCGGTCTGATATTTGGTCTCGAACGCCCCGGGAATCGGCATATACAAAATATCAAAGAAAAGGAGAGTGAAAAGCGTGGACACGATTCGGCCTTCAGAGTGAAAGCTAAGCAGAGATTTAATACTTTACAAATAACCATGTTTGAATGGCGTACCCACGATATCCACGCTTTTCGTACCACTCCAACGCAAGTTTTTCCACGGTGACTTCTTCGTCTCGCCCTTGCCAAATAGATTTCATTCCAGGGGGAGCCTTTGGTGGAGCATTGTCGTCGCTTGATCTATTTTCTTTCTCACTCGACTGCGATCGCTTCAACGGAGATCGAAGGTCGTCGGTCAAAGCGTTGGGTTTGAGTATTCGGATGCCAATAATGGTATTGATTGTAGGTTTGCGCAGGAACACAGTGTGTATACGACGCGTCTCCTCAGTGACTTCCAACTTCTTTTCCAGGCGTGTAAGTCGTCTCTCCAACGAAGGGCGATAGACTTCAGAAGGGGATCAGTTAGACAGTTACACCGACTGGAGAGACCGCGCACTTAAATGCGTCTTGGGATCTTCTAGTCCCGTAATCGCGACTTTCATCGCTTCCTCATAGGTGTCTCGTTCCTTTCCGCAGTGCGTCATGAGAATAAGGGCCAAACGCTCGTACCATCCTCTGCAACAGATGAGTCGAGGCCGTGTTGAGAAGACTTACATACCCTCGCTTCCCCTGGCGCCATCGCTGTTGTGAGAGCAAAGCACGCAGTATGCGCATCTCGTCTTCGTATTCACGGAGTTGACCATATGCTTCTGCAAGCTTTCCGACAATGCGCGTGAGGATATGACCAGGATCGAATCGCCGCAGACTGTCTCGTTGCGCCATACTTTCACTCCCAACTTCCGCGACAAGTCCTTCCCATTGAGAATACACACTGAGCGCAAGTGCTTTCACGCCCCTGGCGATTTCCAATCTCTCCAAATTGTAACCTTCTTGACCTTGCAGTAAGGAGTCGACGCGCCCCTCAAGATTCAACGCATATTCATATTCAAGCAGCAATTCTCGAGTCGGAAAAATAGACGGGGTTCTCTTCGTTTCATAGGGTGGGTAATGGCGTCGCTTGAATGAAGCCAAGATGAGGGGAAGCAAAACATCTGTGGGCGTTGTACTGGGAGTTGATCAGCACAAGATGCGCAGAAAGACCAAAAGTATCGCACCTTCTGAAGAATATAAGACTCAAGCGAGAAAATATTTGGCAAATGTGGTCGTTGAGCTTGACCGCAGAAGTGATCTTCTTCAAGATCAATGAACGAACTCGATCTTCCTGACTCCTGGCGATTGACGTGAATGGGAGCAGTGAATGGGAACCAGACGTCCTGGGGGTATTACGATCGGATTTGGTAAAGGAAAGCGTTATCTGGTTCGACGCATGCCCAGCAAGAGCAAGAATAAGCTGTTTCCTCTAAAATAGAGAAGAGCTTCAGACGAAAATCTGATCAATCTGCGTGGATACTTACGTTCTGCGTGTGCTTGATCTTCATCTGCCTCGCCAAATCCCGCAGCTCGTCCAAGCTCAGCGTCTCCAGCAGCTCATCGAGGCTCGCAGCTTCACAGTGAAACGCGAAAAATAGAACCGCCTCGTGTTTCTCAACCTCCGTGCACTTGAGCATGGAAAGACTGTGGTCAGACAGAATCTTATCAGATTCCATTTCCTCCTTGAGAGGACACACTTGTCGGGCCTTCTCTTCCGCTTCAAAGGAAAGTAGACTTGCGGCGAGAGCTTTCCGAAGTTCAGCATCCAAATTCGAGGGGGATTTTTTTTTCTCCGATGTTTCAGAAGTTGGAGACATGCGGACACACCCATCGCAGAGTTCGGATATTGCGTCTTCCAGTTTGTCCCCAAACTCATGAGAGTAGCGAGCGCGAAGGTCGTCGACCCGGTGCCATTTACCTCGCTTTCGGAGAAGAAGGCGAATCAAGAGGTAGCGAGAATAGTCTTAAAATATGTCAGTCGACGATAACGAGGACGTACTACCGCAATCTCACATGGCATGGCGCGAAATCTGTGCAACATCCCCAGCTCAGATGGAGTGAACAGATGTTCTTCATGTTCTAACACCGTCATGATGATATCTTGTGTACAAGTTGAGGACAGCGACAAGATCAAGCGAACTTGTTGGACGCGTACCTTCAAAAATTCGCACGTACAGGCTCTCGCCCGTCCAAACACTCTGTTGCGACTCCACCTCAGCACCAGGTCCATCTGGACGAGACTCGGAATCGATGGCTTGCGGCTTCTGAAATTGATCATCGCTCTGATAGAAGGAGATGATGTCTTCATCCCCAGGAAATCGTAGACTGCCAGAAAATCGAGAGGAGCTGGCCAGTGCCATAAGACGCGACGATGTGGTGGTCGTCGACTGAATGCGGGTGACTGTTCCAGGGACGCGTTGACAATATTCAACAAATAAGTAAGCTCCCTTATGCATCAGCATGCTCATGCTTTGAACAGTGCTTCTACCCAAGTCCCGTCGATCAGGCGATGCAATATATTGCTCACATGCCCATCTCCTGATCAACAGGATTGGATTGAAAAGCATGGCCACTTTACCACGTTCACATTACATAATCCATCAACTGATGGACCGGAATAGTTTTCAATCGTCAGAAGCATAGCCGCAACTTGAATATTGATGTATTGACCAGCCACAATTAAATCCAATAGATCAGCTTTTGGTGTGATCGGTATCTAGGGGGAGCTCAGTGTTAAATACCCCATATGGATAATTCACGTGCTTAGTTCTTAGTCGGCAGTTTAGATGTTGAGACGTGTCACAAGTGGCAGTTCCTGTTTCATGACATGGTTACATATTAATAATGATAATTGAACACACCATGATAAATATCTGTGGCCCTAGTTGCTGGTGTTGCTTCAGAATATAACAGACAGACAGAGGCAAAAACAGTTGTCTGGCAGCTTGTTTTTGAGTGCTGGTCTCTCCCTCTATTTCCCGTGCTAGTCACTGGTCACTCCATCCATTTCCCGTGCTGGTCACTCCGTCCATTTCCCGTGCTCATCACATACACTGCGAAAAATCGTGCCCACCACACCATTCTTCTTCCTCTTCACCCTGTCATCATGCGGATCCTGGCAACACTCTTCGGCATACACATGGTTTGGCTGATGTTCGTCTTTGCACACCCGTCCCTGCACCAGGGGTATTGCTAAAGGAGGAGGGATAGTTAGTGTGAGTTGCGAGTTCACTTCTTGCTATTGCCATGAGGAAGAGCTGACTGAGGTGCAGTGAGAGAGGCCCTCTGGACTTGGCAAAGGGTCCGGGACCGTCCGCCCCATCCCATCCACCCAAGACTGCGTTGGAACTGCTGCATGAAGCAGAGGGGGAGCGACTACAACGGGAGCACATGAAGGCGCAGGTGACCGACAAACTCAGAGCGCTGGACGAAGATTGGTACACAGTTACACAACACCTGGGACACAGTATTGCAAACAATGACAAGGCGAGAAACAAGTTTGATGAGTGGAAGAAGAGTGTTAAGGCTCCTCCGGAAGGAAAACCGTTAACCGAAGAAGAACAAGTAGCACAACAAGCAGAGAGATTACAAGAAGCAGAAGACGATCATGAAGATGCATGCAAAGACGATGGATGCAGTTGAGAAAGAGCAAGAAATTGTTTCCTGTGCTGGCACATTCTTATTTGGGACTTGCCACGAGACAGAGGGAGCTCAGGAGGAGACGGCAGCTCGGTGGAAGGAGTGGAAGCAGAGAAGAGACTCACAGAGGAAGCCGAGAGGAGACTTACAGAGGGAGAGTGTACGAATCCACAAGCGGCCACGGCGGCCGCTTGGGCCGGCGTCGCCTGTGCATGGTATATTCTTGTTGTCTCCATCAGTTAAGAAGCGGAAAGCAGAGTATTTACGCCGCAAGAAGCCACCACCGGCAGGGGATCATGTGCACGGGCGTATATTCTTGTCTCCATTACCCTCTGTCAAAGAGGATAATTCCGTTTAATTACGGCTTCGTTTCCTTTACAGCACGCCATGACACTGCTGCTTGTTTCTTTGATTTCAGTTACTTTCATGCATACATCCATTGTGCATCCATGTATTCATCCATGCTCAATGACCCTGGTGTACTCTCGACTTGATGGACCTCGGCAGCGCTGGAGGTTCTTCCCAAGCCTTGAGCCACCCCTCTGGTGCACTGTTGTCCTCTTTGGCCGGGATGGCAAACACTGCCGTGACGAGCCAGACATCTTCGTGCGGCTCATGGTGTGACATGAGCGTAGGCAGCACCGTACGCGTAGCCATGATATTCGCGTTAGCGTCGACGTTCACCACCGTAGCCGTACGGGCATGGCTGGGCGATATGTCGAGAACAGCGCTGACCCCCGCGGAGGAAGCAGCAAGAGCTCCGATGCCGCCTTCGATCCTCCCCTCACCTGTCTCGGGCAAGAACCCAGGAAGCGCTCGCCCATCCTTCCCCTGCCCATAGATTGCGAATCCGCCATCCGCACCCTGGATTTTACGTGCCGTCCTCAGCCTGTGGACACGCCAGTGCCAGTTCGGTGCCTTGGCCCTGGGCGGGTGAAGCCAGGTTTCTACCTCGACGTCTGGCCAGGGTTTCCAGCTGCTTCGGAGTACAGGAACGCCGTCGTCCACCTCTATACGAGCGTTGAGCGCCAGCCTGCGGACGCGCCACCGCTCCCCATCGTCGGAGAGGGCGAGCATGCTATCCGCTGCCTGCTGTTCGAGCTCGAAGTTTCCAGTAGGGACAGAGAAGCCAAAAGCGGAGGAGTAGGCGAACTTGCCGTACTTTTCCGCAGTGTGCCGCAGGGGGTAGTGGCAGGCTTGCCCGGACGAGAGGAGGAAAGTGTGACCCCCCAGCCGGGTGATGATGTGCGACGGGTGATCGAGCGCTACGGTGAAGGGGAGCGACTGAGGGTAAGGCTCTTCAGGCGTTGACCAGAAGGGGTGGGACTCGGGCAGGGAGAGAGGGATGAAGGCTTTCATGCACCAGTAGGGCGATCCAGGGGAATTGTAGTTCTCCTGCAGAGAGGGGGTCCATTAGTCCAAGCCGCCGGCCAATGCGATACAGTGACGTACCGTCATATACATGTTCGGGAATACGAACCCAATTGGCATCGTCCCATCAGAGTTGAAGATCGCTTGCTTGCTCCACCACCTCAGATTCCTCAGCAGCAAGCCTTTCACCACCCCCCACCCGAGAGGAGACGGCAGCTGCACGTCCGCAAACGCCAATGCGCCCCAAAACGCCGCCATCGCGAACCTGTAAGTCATACTCCGGCCAAAGGGGATCGCGCGCCCCTGCTCGTCAAAGTAATGCACAAAGTCTAGTGCGAACCTGCTCCCTCTGTTTCTATACTCCGCATACCTCTCCGGATCCGAGTCCTGCGCAAGCTTGGAATACACAAGCTGCGCATAGTGGATCGCGTACGAGGAACTGTAATAGTCGAGCTGCCGTACCCCCTCCGGTCCATCAGGGGACCACCCGTCGCCGAGGTAGAAAGTGTCGAGGTGGTCCAGGTCGGCTTTCATCCGTTCAGGAGAATGGGGTGCGCCGACTTTGGCTAAGCCGAGGTTGGCGAACACGCGGAACCATAGCCAGTTCGCTGTGTTCCTGTGAGATTAACCATCTTGCAGTAGTGGGGAGGAAGACGCACTGTCAGGCATCTCCTTATCGTTGATTGCGCCAAGCCAAGCAGCAAGATTAGTTTTCCCCTTCTCGCTCAGCGGCTTCCACAGCTGTTCAGGAGCGATAGCCAACGAGTACCCAATAGCAGCCATCTCGACCATCCTCTGATCCTTAGCCCTGCTCCAACCCCAGAACTCCTCTCCATCCGGGTCAGTCCCGCTCTCTAGCCCGCTCACCCAATTCTGCCCTTCAGGAAGCTCGCCTCCTCCCGCCAAGAGGGCAGATAGGCCCCAGAGAGGACGAGAGAACCCCTCGAGTTGGGCAGCGATGTCGTCGTAGTGCGTCCCGGTATGACCGAGCTTGATACGCGCCCCTCCGGGGGAAGTGTGGTTGGCGAGAGGCTGGAGGAGGGAGATGCATGCGGATTGGAGGTCGGTCCTGGTTTTGAACGGGTTTTGGGAGAACGGATGAGGGGTAGCCATGATCGTTAGGAGGAGGATGGGATGATGATATGAACACTGGATAATAAATGACAATGAACAATGATGACAGCGATAATAATGAACAACCCGAGCGAGCGGTATGTATTCCCAAAATGGGAATAAAGTCATTACCACAACCGATCACTCCGAGAAGCCGGCGCACAAGGCACATCTCGGCAATGGCTTCCTCACCACCTGCAACATGATACCAATACACAATTTCATATTTGAGTTGGATATAGGAACGTCATCCACCTCTTTTTGCATCTAATTATTACCCACAACTTGGCACTCAAGGTAAGGTACGGGTATTAATGGCGGAAACAGAAACTGGGCCAAGGATGGACCGAGGTTTGGCTTCGGCATCTCATCTCCGATGTTGGGGTTCCAAGGAGCTGGTGCTGTGAAAGGTCTGGAAGATGGGCGAATGAAGACGTGTTTTAGAATTTATTGGGCCATTTAACGGCGATAAACCAAAGTCCTTCTCAATCAAACCGAGCAGTATCCAAAAAGGATATCAATATGTTCGCCAGCAAACAATGGAGGCACTAATGATAAGTCTGGTTCTGTTCGCAGCCCATGCCCGCTGGCACCCCCGCATTCATGTAGCCAACCTGTGAAATTTGTGTTGATTATCAGTGGAATGCAGTATCCCGCAGGCAGTGATCGAGGGAGAATGCGGCGAAGCTGAGAAGGGAAAGCAGACTTTATCGTTAGTTGCAATGGTGTCGCTGAGCAGAGATCCTGTGTGGGGATATTCAGTCAACACCGATCCCTCTCACTGCGGGGAGTTTCTCCGGGGCCCCATACTGATTACCCCGGATTTAGTTGTCGGCGAGGTCGGCAGAGGTCACGCTGGTCGGTTTTTGAAAAGGACTCTGTGCTTCAACACGCCACAGTTGATATCCTTTTTGGCGGTCCGGGACGGTCCGGTGAAGAGTGGCCGGGGATGCGGGGACCCCAGAGCTGTGGATAACCGGCGAAGAGGGGGTTGCACGTGGGCATTTGTTCCCGGAGGTCGCCTGACGTCAGCGATCTCGGACAGGGACAAAGGGAAGAAGACTCTGTGAGCGCGCGGTAACCTCGTAAGACATCTTTCTGCGCCTCTTTCATCTTCTATCCCACCCCAAGAGGGAGTCACCGCGCGGTATGCTGCTTCTCTCTCTAAATGCCCTTCTTTGGCTACCGGATTTAACGGAGTAAGCGTGCCTAAGCGTGCCTGATGCTTCAATAATATTAATGGGAAAAAAGGAGAGAGAACGGCATGCAACGGGGGCCATCTCTGGACACACGCGAGTCCTGCGTATCCCTCTTATTCCGCCGCGTCTCCCCTGTCAGAGCAAGGCACCCACACTTGGATCCTGCGATTCCTGCTTCCTTGTGTACACCACTAGCTCTCTTTTGCTGCCTTGACCGGATCTGTCTTTGCTCTTTGCACTGACGACAAATTCTTACGACCGCAACGAACGCTCTAAGTAGCAGCAGAGTATTACGATGGAGATCGCAGCGCTGCAGAAACATCATGGTACATGGAGGAACATGCACGTCTACAGTACGCATTCCATTACCATCCAGACCTCCTCCCGCTCACCGGTCTCGCTATAATAGAACTGGCGTGTGTCGCCTATCTCGGTATTGTTGTCTTCGGTTATGATACCGGCATTGCCGGTGGTGTGGTGAACAACGCCTTTTTCCAGCACCAGTTCGGCCTCGCAGGGAGCAACGTGACGAACCTTTCGTCGAACGTTGTCTCCGTCCTCCAAGCCGGAGCGTTCTTCGGTGCACTCTTCTCCGCTCCAGTAACAGGTACACCCCCTCCCGCACGAATAAAATAGGAAACTGACAAATCGGTTGCGTCCTAGTTTATCTCGGCCGCAAATGGTCCCTCATCATGTGGTCCCTCATTTTCTGCCTCGGCGCCATCCTCCAGACCGTGGCGGAAGACCAGTTCACCCGTGGGCTGAGCTACATCTACGCCGGCCGTGTCGTGGGCGGCATCGGTGTCGGTGCTATCTCCGCGCTCGCCCCTACTTACGTGGCCGAATGCTGCCCTAAGGACGTACGTGGACGTATTACGGGCTTGTTCCAAGTCTGGGTCGCGATCGGTGTCCTTCTCTCCTACTGGGTCAACTGTACGTCGCACACAGCGTCTGTTTCGCAACTGACATCCCGCAGACGGCGTGGCCATCCACACCTCCCCCACGTCTCCCGACGTCTGGCGTATTCCCTTCGGCGTGCAGCTCGTTCCCGGAGGGCTGATGTGCGTCGGCCTTCTATTCTGCCGCGAGTCACCTCGCTGGCTCGCCCGCCGCGGTCGTATGGAAGAGGCGCTCGAGAACCTCGCTCACTATCGGCGCGCCTCCATCCACGACGAGGAGATCAAGATGGAGATGGCCGAGATCGAAGCTACCATCCTTGAAGAGCGGGAAGCACGCTCTGGACTCGGGTGGCGCGAGGCTTTCCTGGGCAAGGGCAACTGGCCCCGCTTCGCCATCGCTTTCATTATCATGACCCTGCAGCAGTTCTCCGGGCAGAACACGGTGGGATACTATGCGCCCCAGATCTTCCAGGCTATCGGGTACGTTGGTGCCACTCCTGCCCTGCTCGCCTCCGGCGTGTACGGCATCGTCAAAGTCGTCGCTACGTTCATATTTATCATGATCGGCGTGGAACGGTTCGGCCGTCGCTGGTCCCTCTTCGGCTCCGCCATTGGCATGGGTACACTATTCTACATCGTCGGTGCGATATTTATCACTCATCCGCCTAATCTGGCTTCGCCCACTCCCTCACCTTCGTCCAAGGCCATGGCAGCGATGATCTACCTGTACTGCGTTGCGTACTCCTTTGGCTGGGGTCCCCTTCCCTGGGTGTACGTAGCAGACATCTTCCCCAACCGGACGAGGCACTACGGGCTCGCTTGGGCCTCGGCCACCCAATGGCTGTTCAACTTTGTCATCTCTAAGATCTCGCTGACGATGGAGAATAACCTCCAGGGCAAGATCTTCATCACCTTCGCAACGATCAACATTGGCGGTATGGCTGTCTTCTCCTACTTCCTGCCAGAGACGAAGAACCGCTCGCTCGAGGAGATGGACATCATCTTTGGCGCAGTGACGCAAGAGCACAGGAACGAAGATATTCACAAGGCGGAGCTGGAGATGGCTGCGGGTATGAAAGATATCAACATGCGGGATGAGGAGGCGGCGTATGGAGCAGCCGGGTCGTCCAAAGTCGAGCACCACACGAACACGCAGAGCGAGAAACTCGAGACTGAAAACGTCCGGTGAATCCCACTTATTACCCTTTTGAGGAAAACGCGGCTGGTTGGGTGCCGCGCTCCGTTTATGTATGGTAATGACTATGATGGAAGATCATTTTTGTTCGATGGGTGGACGGATGGGTCCGTTGTTGCTCTGCACGATCTTGTACGAACCCCGGAAATGCATGTGTGACCCGTAGCCGTACTTTCGTCCTCCGATAACCCGAGTGTGTGGAGTATCACTCGGGGACGTAATTGCATGCGTCCGAGGTCTCTCGGAGGACGCAAGTTGCCCCGTCCTGTGGGAAGAGAATCTACCACGCCTCGGGCGTTTCTCATAAATGCCGAAGCTGGGATCATGTGGGTTCAGTGCTGGGGTTGCTACAGAACGTGTGAAGAGCGATAACTGGGGGGGCGATAGAGGGCGCTGGAAATAGCTGGTTTCTGATGCGCTCCGTAGGAACCCTGTAATAAGCCCTTTGCACCCTCTACGAGGGAGCTGATCCAGAATATTTTATTCAAGTGCACGAGCTGCAGTTCAGGAGGCGTTTGGTAACCCACCTCGGCCCAAGCATATGGTGTTCTGAATATTCTCTACAGAGTGAATTGAGAATTCGTACGGCAGCCCTGAGAGAAGGTGGGGTTACCCCGCGGGACCATTAGAACGAATGTGATTCTTACAAAGTGTGACCGGCAGTTGGGCACTTCCTTCCCGACAATTCTTAACCTGTGCTGTTTCTCTGTCAGTTCCCCCGATTTCTCACTCTTCTTCCCTTTGTCCTGCTCGGAGAAACGTTCTGCTTCTGTCAGCCTGACCTTGGGCAGCGTTCTGTCTCCTCCTGAATGTCTGGCTCACATCCTCCTCCCCTGAGGGCGCGGCACATCACGACGGCATGTGCTCCTTGCCCAATTATAGCTGAAATTGACCCTTTCATCGCGTAATTCTCCAATTCAAGTTGTCGTGCGACATGATATCGGGGCTTCTTGCAACCCAGATTCTCGGCCCGGGAGATGTTCACTCCCCACGGACGCAGCATTCTGAGCACACGTTTGCCCGCACCCTGTTTGTAATCTCCATCTGGCCCATTAGCGTCAGAAGCACCCGGGAGGAAATGTGTAGCGCTGATACTTGCCCACCGTGGGGTACTTTAGGCCCACTATGGAGGCGGGAACCCCTTTCGCTGTTTTTCCTTCTGTTCTCTTGCGTACAACTGCAGATGTCCATGTAAGTTGCTGGTGAATATGCAAGGGCGACTGGCCTTCAACAATTTGCGGTATGTGCTTCTGCTTGAAGGACGGAGAGGCACGCTGAAACCCCCATGCCTAGGGTATACCTGCTCGCTCTCGTGGCATACTCCGGTGTTTTCGTATTCGGCTATGACGTGTCCATTGCAGGAAGTGAGCTTTTTCCACACTTCAACAAACTTCCACTGACAACCCGGGGCAGGTGTCGTCGCCCTCCCCGGGTTTGAGAACGACTTCCTGGGCGGACAACCAGCATCACCAAACGTCCTTTCACTCGTTGTCTCTCTCCTCCAGGCCGGAGCCTTCATAGGAGCGTTGTGCGCAGCCCCGACTTCTGAATTCCTAGGCCGGAGAAACTCCCTCGCAGTCGCTTCCTTCATCTTCGTCCTAGGCGCGTCCATCCAGCTTGCGGCAACTACAGACATCGCGTGGCTCTATGTGGGCCGTGCGGTCGCAGGTATCGGCGTGGGGGCAATGTCTATGCTTGCACCTACTTATGTGGCAGAATCGGCACCCGCTAATGTACGTGGGCGGATTACAGGTCTGTTCCAGGTCGTCGTCGTCACTGGAGTAGCGGTACGTTTTGATTCTCTTTCAAGAACGTGTCCACTGAATTTGAGCACAGATCGCATATTGGATCACGTGGGTCCTCATCCAGAATGTTGAGAGTTTTATATTAAACAAGGTGCAGATACGGCGTCAACCAGCATGTCCCCGTTTCGTCCGCCCAATGGCGCATTCCGATCGCCTTCCAATTCGTCCCCGTGGGGATAATGCTCATCTTCCTCCCCTTCTGCCGCGAATCGCCTCGCTGGCTCGCGAGAAAAGGCCGTGTCGAGCAGTCGCTGCTCAACCTCGCCTGGCTCAGGAACGTCCCCGTCACGTACTCGAAGCTGCAGGACGAGTTTGCTAGCATACTCGCTTCGGTGAAACATGAGCGCGAGGGGAGGGGAAACTTTAGGGAATGTTTCCAGAAGGGAAACAGGATACGTTTTGGGATCGCTTTTATGCTGTTTGTGCTGCAGCAGTTTTCGGGGCAAAACTCTGGTTAGTCACCTGTCGAACGTGGGAGAGCGCAAGCTTATTCATCCGCTTGCAGTGGCATACTACGCTCCGGAGGTGTTCAGCTCCATCGGCATGTCCTCTACAACGAGCGCACTCCTTGCATCAGGCGTGTATGGGATAGTGAAGCTCCTCGCGACCTGCGCCTTCCTCCTAGTCGGAATCGAGCAGTGGGGTCGACGTAGGTCGCTTGTGTATGGCGTGCTCTGGATGGCAATCATGTTCTTCATCATTGGTGCTATACTGCAGACTCACCCACCGACACTGGGCCAGTCAGTGTCGAATTGGTCCATTGGAGTGGCCATATCGCTGTACATTTATGTACTGCCGTATTCGTTCTCAATCGGACCTATCCCTTGGTGAGTTATTAGTGTGCGCACTGGAGGAAGCTGAGCGTGGTCAGGGTGTACTGTTCTGAGATATTTGGAAACGCGATACGGCATTATGGTGTAGCTTGGGCTGCGGCCACGCAATGGATCTTCAAGTACGTTCCGTCATACTGGACTTGCAGGTTAACTGAGACGTTCCAGCTTCTTCGTTACCAAAATCACGCCAACCATGCAAGAACGTCTTCCAAAAGGGACGATCTTCTTCGTCTTCGGCTCCATCAATCTCCTCGCCGCTGTCTTCTGCTTCTTCCTCCCAGAAACACGCGGCGTATCGCTCGAAGAGATGGATGTGATCTTCGGGTATGTGTCGTACGAGCGCCGGCAGAGGGACGTCATGCGCGTCACGAGTAACTTACAGCATGGAGCGCTGTCGGGGCCTAACGGTGGTCAGCACTTGTTTGACGAGAACGGGAGCGAGATTGAGAGCGGGCCGACGAGCCCGAGGAGCGTGTATGCGGGGCATAGGATGAGCACGCTGCATGAGGAAGAGGAGGGCGAGTACAAGCATAAAAACGTGCGGGGCGTGGCGTCGTGAAAAATATTCGTTTAGGTGTGGTTTCTATTTCCGTTGGATAGAGGATGCCATATTTGCATTGTGTGTATATATGTATTCTGCTGTGTTGTAACGAACCAACTCAATGTGATGAAGATAGATTGTCCAATGAGTGAGTGGACGGTCTCGTCGCGGGTTGTTGACGTTCCCCAAGCACTGTCTCTGGTCAACGTTCACGGCATGTCTCGCTTCGATCGTACTGTAGCTCAAAGACAACGACGATGGCATGCATGAATCGATGGCCATGATCGCATATAAGAGGTCGAACGGTCTGTCAGTCCCAGGTGGTGTCAAGCGTCCCCCCCATCTCTTCACTTCGTCGGCATCTCATCTGTCGCCCCGGCGGCTAACCACTCCTTAACGTCACCCAATGATAACCAGCGCAGGATCGCTGTACCCTCCACAGAACGCGCTAGACGCGCAGACCAACGACGGGTGGACGCTCTGGTTTGGTGGAGACGGGTCGGTCATGATGCTTCCCCTTGTTGGAGGGGACCAACCTTCAGCGGCCGGGACGCCGGCTAGTGTTACGCGTGCGCATACACTTTGCTTAGTTTGGATGGTGCTGATGTGTATGCAGCGACGGTCACGCATATACCTACTAGCACTACCGTAGCCCTGACAAGTCAAACGATCACCACCACCACCAGCGTCCATCCCAGCCCTTCCCTCACCCCTTCCGCCGCTACCAGCTCAGCACTCGCCTCCTCCGTTTCCTTACCCAAAGGCGCAATAGTAACAATAATCATCGTCGGCACTTGTGCGGTGGTCGCTGTGGCCGTGTGGGTGCTTACTTGCCTCTGCCGCACTCGGAGACGACGTGCACACGAACTCGAAGATGGTGAAAGCTACTATCCCTTCGGGACGGAGTTCGGTTTGTTCAGGGGAGTGTGGAGCAGGCCAACGACACCGAGCACTCCGAGCCTGAAATGGCGACCTGCGAAGAGCGAACGAGAGAAGTCTGTGCCGCCTACACCTCGTGTGCCAGAACCGGTGATGACACTGGAGAAGGAGATTTCGGAGAAGGTCATGCCCGGTCCACTGCCGAAACGACTTTCTGACGGACCGTATCCGACTACTCTGCAGCTCCCCGACGGATTCGCAGAGGATGACCCGTTTCCCGCTCCGCAGCGAACGATGCTAACGATCGTCAATCGGACACCGTACGAGGAGAACCCGACTGGCTGCGAGTCACCATTCGAGCACGTAGCGCTTGGCTCACCTCATCCCGCTGCGCTGTTTAAGACCACTCCCCGGTCTCCCTGGACAGGGAGCGTCGACGGGTTCCACAGTCCTGCAGTGGTCATCTCAAGCCCCACCACCGCATCCGTTACGTCCGAGCCACCTCCGGTGAATGCACCAGAGGATAGCTGGAACACGTTCAAACGCACAGTTTCGTCCGCCATCACGACTTTTTCATCCCAGTTCTCGCGCCCTCCCCAGGTACATATGCAGGACTCTTTCACCCGTTCCAAGCCAGAACGATCCCAGTCCTTGCGCACCACCTCCTCGGCTTCATCAGCAGGGTCAACCCGCCGCGCTCGTGCGCTCGACCGAGCCCAGATGGCACGTGTCATCTCCCTCGACCGGGAGGCACAGCGGAAAGCCGACCTAGCACGTCAAGAATCAGCACCATCGGTCTCGAGCGGTCTCCCAAGCCCGCATATAAGCACCCCCAACCCGTTCGAGGAGACTATCAGGTTTGAAAGTCCTGCGCCTATGAACGGGCTGGTTAGGTCTGCTAGTCAGATTGAGCGCTTGGGGCCTAAGAGAATGGACACGACGTCGAGTAGTTACAGCCGGTCGAGTTTCCGCTAGAGCAGCGTATGGTAGACAACATCGTATAATGACAATGGCAGTAAATACATATCAGTGAGGAGGCGTATGGTTATCAGCGCTAGTCACCGAACCCTTAGGTGTTTGACATCCACGGCGACAGCGGCGACGATGGAGATAATCTCTGTGTCACTGCTTATCATACATTCCCCAGCCTCATCCCTGTTCGACGTCCACGCTCACCGCTAGCGCTAGATGGCGATGGGATCTGATAGAACATGATCGACGTTGTCACTTGTCTCCCGCCTCTACCTTCTTTGCCCGCTTTGCGCACACCTGCAGTCTCCATACATAATTCAGAACGATGTCACCGTCGGTAAGCACGCGCTAATGTCAACGCACCGCTAGTGCTGACTTGCACCAGCGCCCAAAAATAATCTATGGCCCACTCATATCCCCTCTGTCAAAGCGCGACATCCGTCTCTCCCCGTGCTCGCTCCTCTCCGTCTCCTCTTGCGGCGTAATCGAATGGGCGGAACATGATGTCGACCCGTCTTCCCTACAAGAGGTGCTCGCGAAACACGGCCGTTCGTTGGAAGATAGGGATGTGGAGTTCATACAGCTGAAATGGGGGGAGTGGATCATGCCTGGGTTCGTAGATACGCATACAGTGAGTTCTTCCTCCTCTTAGGAACCCGAGCAGGACTGACATCGAAGGGAAGCATGCCCCCCAGTTCCAGAATAATGGTGCTGGGTCACAGTACGAGCTTTTGGATTGGCTAAAGTATGTCACTTTTCCCGAGGAGGAGAAATTTGCGGATGTCCAGTATGCGAAGAAGATGTATAGACGGGTGGTACGGGCGTCGTTGGATCTTGGGGTGAGTCTCCTTGCTCTGTCAGAAGGTTAACTGATGAATCAAAAAGACAACGATGTGTTGCTGGTACGGGACTCTGCACCTGGAGGGCACAAAGGTGCTAGCGGATATTACGCATGAGTTGGGCCAACGCGCCTATGTCGGGAAATGTAATATGGACCGGAACTCTTCGCCAACCTACCAGGAAGCGTCTGCAGAAGAGTCGATTGCCGATACGCGGTCTTTCATCTCCTATGTTGAAGCTCTCTCCCCGTCGGACAGCACCGCCCTAGTACGACCTATCATCACCCCACGGTTTGCGATTTCCTGCACCTCGAAGCTGCTCACCGGCTTAGGAGAGCTGGCAGCCGCACACCCACAGGTGCCTATCCAGACCCACATAAGTGAGAACAACGCCGAGATTGCTTATACCAAGACGCTCTTCCCGGAATGCAGCACGTACGCAGAGGTGTACGACCACTTTGGCTTGCTGAGGGAGAATACGATCCTTGCTCATGGGGTGCATTTGGAGAAGAGCGAGTTGGATCTCATCAAGCGCAGAGGGGCGGGGCTGAGTCATTGTCCGACTAGCAACTTTAATTTGAGGAGCGGATCTGCCCATGTAGGACAATGGCTGGACAATGGGAATAAGGTGCGAGCGTTTTGTGTGAGCTAGGATATGTGAACTTATTTGCTGCAGTGCGGGCTCGGGACGGATTGTTCGGGCGGGTGGACAGCATCAATGATCACAGCAATGCAGCTTGCAAGCGTCTGCAGCAAAGTCGTTTCCTTCTACACGAAAGGGGATGATGCGACTCTCACCGGCCGTTTCAGCAAGACCCAGTTTGCAAAGTACCAGCTTCCCATCCCTACCCTCTTCTGGATCGCGACTATGGGCGGGGCAGAGGTCTGCTGCCTGCAGGATACGATTGGGAGCCTCGAGCCTGGCAAGCAGTTTGACGCGGTCCGTGTGAGCATTCTCCCTGAGACGGAGAATATGCATCTTTGGTATGAAGAATCAGACTCGCTTGAGAGCATGCTCGAGCGGTTTATGACGAATGGTGATGAACGGAATGTCAGGGAGGTCTGGGTGAAAGGCAGAAAAGTTGGTGGAAGACTGTTCAAGTAGATCTCACAGGACCGATTGGGAGGGGGCAGGGAATACCGGGCATCTGTGGTGCGCGACTTGTGATAAGAATGAATACGATTGCTCACACATGGTCCAAATGCTTTCGAGATCGTAATGACTTAATCCCTTGGCACCTGGCATTCCGCAACGCCGAGAGCAGTCGCACACATCTCTGGCTTCCAAGCCGCGTACCGCTCGAACCTCGCCAACACCTCATAGTACACCGGCTTCGGGTTCCCATTCTCGTCAAACAGTGTAGGCATGGCTACACCATGACCAGGACCAGCTTTGATCCAAGAGACATCGTCACGAGTGTCCCAGCCTATGAACTCGTGGCAGTTGCTCGAGTACAAGCACGCGTCTATATAATCCCCCCAGATGGCGGCTTGATATCGCAGCGCAGCGGTCGTGTTGGTTGGGATCCACATGTCCATCTCCGTGATGAGCGCGTCGACGCCTAAGGCCGCAAGCCGCCTGAAGGTCGTCTCGAGCTGCTCTTTGGGAACGAAGGATCCCGGCTGAGCACCGATATGACTCTGAAATCCTACGCCCATGTGTGTGTAAGGGATGTGGGCGTTGGTGTGCAGATCTGCCAACAATTTGAACACGCATTCCGTCTTGCTGTCGTTCGTTGCCCCCGTGCTGTAATCGTTGTACACCAGTTTTCCTGGGTCATACTTGAGCGCGGTGGACCACGCGGCGTAGGGAAAAGACAGGTAAGTGACGAGCGGAACGGAGCCGCCGTCCATTGTCATGGTTGGCCAACGGTTGGCGGATTGGACGCATTCCCAAGCATCCATGGACATCGTGGTGCTGTCTCCAATGAGCTCGTTCGTCACATCTAAAGGCTCCGCTCAGTTCAGGCGAAATCAGACCACCTTATCTACATACCCCATGAAGTGACATACGAGCCGAGCCCGCTGATCTCTGCTGCAACATGCTCAGGGACAACCGTATTCACCAGGTCGCTGGCAGAGACGTTCCCTGGTAACCAGGAGGGCAGCTGGGAGTGCCAAAATGTGTTGTGTCTAGTCCGAGGATCAAACAGCGAAGAGAGTGGAGATACCCCGGGACGAACCCTCTGAATGAAGCACCGTGGGCAATGGCGTACTGTTGGACGCCCTTACAATCGGTGAGGTTGCTCACTCCGGGCTGTGGCTCAGTGTCATACCACTTGCAGCCGTTTTCGGCGACGATCTAGGATCGCCTGCATCAGTTCCATCGGTCACATCGGTGATACTTTCTCGACGTACATGATTCCACACATTCGAAAACTTGTCGCTTGTCCATTCTGCCTCAGCCGTAGGAGCGAAGATATCATGCGTACTGCCGAAGTGAAAAGGACCACCTTTCCGGATCGAGACCAGAGGCAGGACAGTCCGAATCGTCGCTTTGCCGGAATAAAGGTGAGGATTGTCGATCAGAAGGGAGACGTTGGGAATGGTCTGCGCGAGCACAAGTGCAGGGAGGAAGAGTAGGAGTACGTGCATCTTGTTAAGCGAAACGTTGATCAAGGTAAGGCACACGTCCTCCTCGCCCTCTCCTTCTGTTGACAATACCGAGCCTTATATAGGAAGGGGATGACAAGGAAGACATGCTGTTCCTGTAGAAAATGCCAACCTTCTCCGGGGATACCAAAAGGAGAATTTCTTCTTGAGGATACCAGACCATATGGAGGTCCTCACGGACTGTCAATTTGTTGGATATTCTGCCGAGGGCTTGATCGCGGCAATACTATCGAAAGAGAGGGATCTTTGACAACATCGCTCCCGTGTGAGGTACGATCATGCGGGGTAATCAGTTGGCTCGTGGAGAAGAAGCGCCCACTGCCTCGCCGTCCAAAGAGAGGCGAGAGAAGCGAGAGAAGCACGGCAGCATTCCGACACGATCTATTTTCTGCTCGCGCACTCCATCCAACATTGCATCCAATTTTCCGAGTGCTTCGTCGGACACCCGCAATACAATTCTCTGTCCTATTCCAGCCGAACCTCCAGAGAAGACGTGGCGAAACCTTGCAGCTAGCGCACGATGGATCGTGTGGATGAGCGGTCCAAATGGAAAATACCTTCCTGATTTAATAACCTCGCACTATAGGCGGATCATGTCGGAAGGCACACAAGGTGATCTGGATCACGCTTGCTGGCAACTCTCTGGAATATGGTCACAATCTCCGACGCTCCTCTGGCTCACGCCAAGGCACGCCAAGAATATCGAAGATCTCCTTCTCTGTCTTGCTCGCGATAATCACCCCCTCAGTCATTTTTCTTCTTTTGTTGTCCCGGATGATACCGCCGTACAGACCGCGCTGGTTGAGTGAGTAGCCCTTTTTGTGCGCAAGGAGTCGGATAGAGCGATTGAACAGGTCATCACCTGTGAAGTAAATGAGAGCAGCACCCTTTTGGTCCCAGGGTATTGCTAAAACATCTGGAAAAGACCAGTGGGTTAGGGTAGGATTAGGGATCCAGGCACCAAACACACCAATTCGACGCATCTTACCATCTGGGGGAAGCCGACCGATGCCCATGTATTTTTGCTCCAGAGAGTGGGTGTCAGCAGGCACGGCAAGATCATTCGTCAAGAGGCCTTTCTCATGCAGCAAGCGGATGAGCTTATTCAACATTCCTAATTGACAACATTACCATCTTGAATGGGACAAGCAGGGATAGCGTACCGGAATGGGTCCTTCCATCCGAGGGATCCCTTGTCAAGAGTATATCGATATCGCCCACAGTCTCTGCTCCCCTTCGATAGCTTCCCATTATGTAAAGTGTAATATTGCCGTCAATGGTCATTGCTGGGTATCTATGAGAGTTTGCCTTCCTTCAAGAACAAAGGGCTAACCGAGTTCCTTGATCTTGTCAAAGATGACACTTGCTTCGGCACGTGGTATGCGCTCCTGCAGGTCATCGTAGTACTTGAGTCCGATCTGCTTGGCTAGTCAGTAGAATATCATGCACACATGAGACTGGGACCGACGGCCTGATTCCGTGTCAGTTTGATTTCATCCTTGCGCTTCTCGACATCCTCTAGCGTCCTGAGGCCCATGCGCCACCACTCATGCGCCCTCTTCCGGCCCACATCATAGATCCCAGCAAAGAGCCTGCAGACCCGATATTCTTCTGTGTCTTCTGCTTGGATACGTTGCAGCTGACCAGTCTCGATTATCTCCATAATCTTGTCTGCGGTCTTAGCGCCGCTACCGCGGAGTTTGAGTGCCTGTTCCCTAGTAGTTATTTTGCGCCTGACGCGAGACAAATCTCCGATTACTTTTCGCGGCTCAGTTTCGCACATGCAAACAACAGTTATTCTTCTCACCTTTGTTCAAGTTGAACACTTTGAATGGATCAGCTTCGCCTTGCTTATTCTCATAGATCGACTTGAGTTCCTTCAGCTACACAGACTGTTACGAAGAGGTCTGGTAGATAAGGCGAAATACGACACCTTGTCGATAATGTACTGATTTGGGTTGGCTGACGTGATTTCATGGGGTTTCTCGAGGCAGGCAAACCCTTTTGCAGGAGCCTTGTCGAGGTCCAGCTGAGAGGTCCCTGCGACAGGTGACTCATCCATACTCTGGTCAGAGATGTCCAGAGAATCTCCCTCCTGTACAAGCTGAGCGGCGGCTTCGTCGTATAAATCCTCTAATGGATCCTTGACTGGCTGCGAAAGAGACTCAATCGGTTCGGACTCGTCTTCGTCGGACGGAAGGAGGGTTAACTGTCCTTTATGCAGTTTGCTGAGCTTCAGTTGCTTGACGTCGTGCTTTTTCGGAGTTTCCTCCAAGTCGCTGCTTGCATTGTCCCTCGATCTGGCACAGGTCAAGTTTCTGTCTTGGAACGTAGGTAAACTAAGAATACCTCCTCCGACCTGTGGACGAACTCGGCTCGGAGGATGTTGGCTGTGATTTGGAAGGCTTTGCCTTCTTTTCAATAGGCTTTCGATCTTGGTGAAGTATAGGATGCATCGTAGATCGCGGTATTTCTGGTCCGTCCGCCTCGTGGGAGGTCAGCACAAGAATAAGATATGTGAGTGATCGTACCTGTTGACAGTCTACCATATAATCCCACAGGACGATCTTGACGTCCGCAGGTACATTGGTCAGCCGACTGAGTCCCACAGCTTTGGCGGCAGATCTGTTATCAACTGCCGACTTCGTTGTGGCAATCATGGTGACGTCAGGCCCGTATTTGTCAGTAACATTGCCGCCCAACCGACGGACCTACTTTTGGATTAGGGCAGGTCTCTCAAGGCGCGAGAAACACGTACCACTATAAGACGTTCTCTCTCAACGCTGTGCTTACCAACATCTGACACAGCAAGGAATACCGTCTCGTTTTGTAGGGCCTGACAGGGAAACGGCTGCCCGTGCACCAATGGATCATAGTGATCTTGTATCCAGACCGCATACTCCTTTAACGGCAATTCGAAGTTCTCGTTTTTCTTTGGCACAGTGGCGCGTCGTCTTGCCTTCGATCTATCTGTTGTACTGCTTCCGTGATCAGAGACAGCTGTTTTGCTTGTGCTTGTGGTAGTGGCATCGGAGCGGGCAGAAGTGGTCATCGAGCGGAAAGAGACGCGTGAATGTTGATCAAACTTGCTCCGTGACACCGCCGGTGTGAGACTTGATACCCGACTCACATCAAGGTTGCCTGCATGAGGGTATGACATTCCCGTGAGGTCGATAGACGTGGCAAATGCACTGTTGCCTCTTGCAATTGGTTTCCATTCTGCGTTCGGCATGGTGGGGAAGGGGTTGCGATCTATTGATTGACCATCTTTCGAGGACGACGGTTTCGCAATCGTGGACGAGGCAATGGAAGCCCTACTATGGGATAGCGTACTGACGGCGTCCGACACTTGCTTATCGGAGGAGGCTTGATGCTCAGTGCTGTTTCTGCGCGCCTCCAGAAGGAAGTGGGTCATCCCATCGTCAGTATCTTCGCTGTCCGGTATACTTGGTATTATATCAGATTCTAGATCTCTAAAGTGAGGAAGTTGCCTAGTGGGTTTCTGATTAGGTCCTACGCAGAAAGAAGGCATCCAGTTCGTCTTGGGACGGAAAGAGCGGAACGCGGGAAGCAGCGGCATGATCACTGTTCATGGAGAGAGGAGAATGAAGCTATAGACAGTGGTCGATATGTACAAAGCAGACAAGTTCAAGGTGGTCGTCACAAATATGTGGCGATTTCGCTGGTCTCCATATTGTAGCCTCTGGAATATATCCGCGACCTGTGTCTCTCCTGGATCATGATTGTTGCCGTCAGAAAAGCGCGCGCGGCGAACGTGACCAAGTGACTGTGCCAGATAGTGGCTGTGTTTTGGATGGGGATTCGGAAGTAAAGTCGCCAGGCCGAGCTCAATTTTCCTTCTCCGGAGCAGCGTTAGGTTGCCCTTCTGAAGCTGTAAAAAGGGTTTTTGGGAAAATACAAAAGTTAGGGGTCCTGATATATCAACCAAATTCAGAACTACATAAATGGTGAAGAAAAAGTAATGAGCACACAGTACATGAGAGTGCTATTTTCTTTCTTTCTTTCCCTATTATTGTGATGTTTCTGTCATATTTTATCAACCTACTACTTGCAGGACCCCAAATTTGCTCTATTGGCATAGGTGTCCTATTTTGGCTTCAGAAGCACGAATGTGTCCTTAATGCCGTTGGGCCCTGAGGGCCATTCTGGCGACTTTGCCTCCGAATTGGGGTCATCGGAGGAATTAACTTCGACGCGTTTTTTTAATAGAACCTCTTGCGACTTCCATTTCACGAACTTGAGCTTGCAATATTTGAGCCCATTTCAATCGACTATACATACGGGACGTAACTTCATCTCTCATTACTAACATTATCAGTCGCCCATAATTATCATATCACAAGGAAAAACCAAATGAGAAGTGTCAACCAACTGCAGCTCATGCTGAATTGTCAATGTGTGCTGTCTCCGGCTTGGGGGCCTCCGTCATCTCTGGTTGCCGCACGACGGCACCTTTCTCGGGATCGGTCCTCTTCATATCAGCTGCGTACTCCAACCCGGCACGCTCGATCTCCTTGTTACGATCTTCAGCCTTCACGGAGCCGAATATAATATCCATCTCTTCGAGAGACTTGCCCTTAGTCTCTGGGATGAAGCTGGAGCGTAGATTGTAAGCAAAACCTTTCGTCGATATTTCCTTTAGATCGACTTACTATGCAAAGGTAGCCATGCCGCCAATGTTAATTGCACCAAAGGTAATGAAGACCTTGCCCCCAAGAGCGGTCTCCATATCCAGAGCAATCCTGGAGATTGTGAAGTTGAACAACCATTGGCTCATGCCGGACCAGGCCATTCCGATATGACGAGTACGGTTGGAGAAGATCTCCGAACAATACAAGAACGGAAGCGGTCCGATACCCCAGGAGTAAGCGACACAGAACAGGTAGATCATGGCCGCCATAGCTTGGGAGTAACCAGAAGGGTTGGGCGAATTGGGATTGGGAGGATGGGTCAAATAAATTGCTCCGACGATCATGAACGTGATGCCCATACCCCAGGCGGAGCCAAAAAGCGCCCAGCGACGACCGAATCGATCGACACCAAAGGCGATGAAGAGAGCAGTAGCCACCAGCTTGACGATACCATAAACACCAGATGCGAGGAGAGCTGGGGTCTGGCCGACGTAACCGATCTGAGGCAGCGAGTGAGATAAAATATTAACATTAAGCATAATATCACTTACAGACTTGAACAGTTGCGGGCCATAGTAGCCAACGATGTTCTGTCCTGAGAACTGCTGGAGAAGCATGAACACGAAGGCAATGATGTATCGTGGCCAATTGCCCTTTCCGAAAACTGCTTCTCGGAAAGTCAAGCCTGCGCGGACCCCTTTCTCTTCAAGGACCGTAGCTTCGGTTTCGGCGAACTCTTCCTTCACCTCGTCATCGAGTGGTGAAGCACGTCGGTACCAACAGAGCGTATCCAGAGCCTCCTGTCTGCGTCCCTTCAGCGCAAGGAAACGGGGCGTGTCTCTGCAGAAGAGCAGGAAGAGAGCCATGAGGCCTGCTGGAAGAATCTGAACACCGAAGGGAATCCGCCAAACCTGGGGCGAGTTGGGGGGTGAGTGAATAGAGACACCATCTGAACATCGAGAGGTGAACTTGCTGCCTTGGTATCAATTCTGTCACTTACAGTTCACCCAGTACGAGAGCAAAACACCAGCGGCCACCCAAACTTGGAAAAGTCCAGTGATCTTGCCACGGATGTTCTTGGGAGCAATTTCGGTAGCGTATGTTGGGCCCACAGAAGAGATGGCGCCAATACCCAGGCCGCTGATGACACGTCCCGAGTAAATATACGACAATCCACGAACGTTCTGACTTTCTGCCACCGTGGTGAGAATGGCGCCGAGGATGAATACCAGCGAACATATGATCAACGTCCACCTACGGCCAATCCAACCTACAAATACCGTGAGTTGTGACATTTATGTTCGAAATGATGAGCTCACCGGACAGTGGGGCAGAGCCGAGCGCGCCAAAGAAGGCGCCCGCTTGCAGTACAGAAACGATGTTCGAAGAAAGGTCATTTGCGTTTCCGGCGTCCAAACCAAACACCTGTTGGAAGTAGGGATTACTGACAACGCCGCCAGCAATACCAGTATCATAACCATAACTGAAGGTGCTCATGAGATCACCAAAAATTTCAGGAATGCAAGAAAATTCTCACACAATCAAGCCCTACAAAGTCGATCCGATATGTAAGCTTCTGAGGTTCAAGCTCGCTGAATGACACTTACGAGGAATGCAGCAGAGGATGCAGCTCGAAGAAGAGGTGCTCGTCAGCATACGCCGCTTGACCTCCTAAACTCTTGCTCACCATATACTCGAATGTTGCGTAACACTGCGCGTCCCGTCGGTATATGAGATTCATCAACCATGGATACCAATGTTCAGAGGGGAAAGTGATTTCAGAATCGGTGCGAAAGAACCACTTGCTAAGTATGCGGGGCGGAGATTGCTCATCTCACCTCTTAATTTAAGCGAACACCTTCCTCAAGGGCGGCATCGGCAGAGAGGCGAAACGCGCATACGACCGGGGTTGGCGAATCACGGGCCGGCCGGGAAGCGCGCACCGGTGGGCGGACGCTATTGCCAAACGGACCACTACCTTGTTCCGCATCACGGCACCAACCATAATTGGCACAGCGTGGAGTATCTTTAATTCATTTTCTCCTTTTTGGCTGACTCAGAGGCGTCGATTTGTTTTCCCTTCGCCGCCCGACTCCGAGAAAATCAGTGTGGTGGAAAGTCAAACCCCGCCTCCCGCCCTCTCGGTGCGGAGCTCTTGTGCGGGGTTCGAAGTGAGGGACCCGGTGACGCTTTTAGGGCTCCATGGGAAGGGTATCCCCACACTGCCAAAAATGGGAGATCGGAGCTTCTTTCAGGGTCTTGATTCTGCGAAATCTCCAAGCCTCATCTGGGAAGTCAAGTGCGCTGATGTAGCCAGATATCCTCATACTACCAAGCGCTTCTAGGCTTATGGTGCCGCGACTCGAATTTGTATACCAGAATTCAGGAACGCTAGCTATTATATCCATGTCATGTGTCATGTCTCGTGATCAACCGGCTCGGAACTACACCGCTTAAGACTTCTCAATGTATGCAGTGTCCTCCTTCGGAGCCTCTATGGCAGGCGCTGCAGATCCCTGGGTCGGAGCAAACCCAGCCTTGTGTTCCTTGTGGGCCATCTCAATATCGGTCGCCTTCATGTCAGCAGCGATCTCGATCTCGGCACGTTGAATGTCGGCGTTGCGCTCCTCAGCCTTAATAGAGCCGAAGATTACGTCCATCTCCTCGAGTGTGCGGCCCTTAGTCTCCGGAAGGAAGCTGAAAAAGACACCGAATCAGTCCAGCTCACGTGTGGACGTTCATATTACTTACTAGGCCAGAACAGCCAAGCCGAAGATGTTGATTATACCAAAGCAAATAAAGGTCTTCCCACCCAGGCCAGTCTCGATATTGAGTGCCGTCCTGGAGATTGTGAAATTCCAGATCCACTGGTTCATGCCAGCCCAGCCGAGGCCAAGGTGACGAACACGGTTGGAGAAAATTTCGGAGCAGTAAACAAAAGGTAGGGCGCCGGTACCCATGGCGTACGAGAAGCAGTAGAGATAGATGAAGCCGGCCATCGCGCGGGAAGCGGGAGACGGGGTGGTTCCATTCGGGTCGGGTGGGTGCGTGAGATAGAGGGCGCCGACAATGATGAAGCAGATGCCCATGCCCAAAGCAGAGCAGAAGAGCGACCAGCGACGACCAAACTTGTCCACGACCCACCAGACAAAGATAAAGCTGGCAACGAGCTTGACGACTCCATAAACACCGGTGGCGAGTAGAGCAGGTGTCTGACCAACATAACCGATCTGTGCATTCCAGTCAGGGGCAGAAACGCGGCAAATGGGGCTCTACTCACAGCCTTGAAGAGCTGAGGACCGTAGTAGTTAACCAAATTCTGACCGGAGAATTGCTGGAACAGCATAATCAAGAATGTGATCAGGAAACGAGGCCAGTTCCCCTTTCCGAATATTGCTTCGCGCATTGTGAGGCCGGAACGGGCCTCCCGTTCCTCCAAGATGGTGGCCTCAATCTCGGCAATCTCGCCTTTGACCTCTTCGTCGTACGGACTCGCGCGGCGATACCAACAGAGCACATCAATGGCCTCCTGGGTACGACCCTTGAGGGCAAGGAAACGGGGAGATTCCTTGCAGAACAGCAGTGTGATGAACATCAGGCCCGCTGGAAGGATCTGAACACCAAATGGAATTTGCCAGATGGCAGCGGAATTGGGAGGAGAATGGATAGCAACACCGTCTAACAAGAAAGCCATTTTAGGGACAATCCCACGATAGAAGAGTACACTTACAGTTCACCCAGTAAGAGAGGAGCACGCCAGTAGCAACGTTGACCATGAAAAGACCGACGACACGACCACGAATTTCTCTAGGGGAGATCTCCGCGGCGTACAACGGACCGATGGATGACATGGCGCCAACGCCCAAGCCGCAAATGACGCGACCAGCGTAGATATAGCTGAGACCACGTGTGTATTGATCTTTCGCCACCGTAGCGAGGATGGCACCGACAATGAAGATGACCGAGCTGCCGACTAGAGTCCACTTACGTCCAACCCAGCCTGTTGAAGAGTGAACTTAGATCCAGGCAGGGTCGGTTGAGCGAAATCAACATACCTGCTGTGAAACCAGAAATGAGCGAACCAAAGAAACACCCAGCCTGCAGCACCGAGACTACGTTGGATGACAGGTCGTTGGCATTGGCAGTGTTCAAGCCAAATTGGGTTTGGAACCATGCATTGCTGACTACACCGCCGGCGATACCAGTGTCGTACCCATCACTGAACAGGACATTTAGCGACATTCTCAGCCGAAAGCACGAGTTCCTTACAGAATCAATCCCTGCAGGGGTGATCAACGATCATCAATTGAATTTCAAGACGATAGACTCACAAGGAAAGCAGACGAGGCGACAGCTGCCAAACAGGACAATCATGAGCCTACCAAAGAAGCGACACAAGAAAGTCATCCCATACCGTAAACCCGAATGTCGCGAAGAAGACGACGGCGCGTGGGGATATGTGCTTGTTCCTCCATTGTTGTGTAAATACGTGAAGAAAGAGACAACCAATGATGAAGCGCGAGGATGGGAGAGAAGCACTCGCTGTTGTGCGAAGAACCAGCAGTACCTGGATGAAATACGAAAAGATAGAGTGGTCAATATCCCAACGGCTTTGGCGGCCCGGCCGGATCGCGGGAAGACCGGCGCGGGCGAGCTGCCGTCCATCGGCAAAGAGGAGAGACTTTTAAAACCAGTTAGCGTTGTTTTGATGAAGGCGGTGGTGTGGACAAAAAAGGAAGCGCGCTGACTGCCCCGCGCTTCGTAATAGGGATAGACATTTAAATTAACCCACGCGGAGGGATATTCGGTGTGTGGGGTGGAGGTGGAGGGGGCTGGGGGCCATTAAAATAACCGAGCATGTCGCAGCGGTGCCCCGCGGTCGGAACTCGTGCTGAATGAGCCGAGTGGCGAATGTTGGCTCCACGAGATCCGCCATATATATGCACCCTGGCTTGGTGCAAGCGTGTTTCAAGGTTGTCTCGTATGCAGTACCCGATCGAACGAGGCTGCAGGTCGTCAGGGGCGGACCTCCCATGCTGATCCATCAGCCTTCCAGGGGATATCAGAAAGACTTCTGAAGCGGGGTTTACCGAGAACGTGCGGAGAGGGAAGGGACAAGCCTGTGTGGCGACGTAGGACAGCAGGAATTTATTGGCACGCAATTATTACTTTGTTACTCGAGCCTTCTGGACCAAGCTAGACCATAGGCAGGATCCGTGCAACGGGTTACGTCGACAACAAATCTGAAGCACGCGACCACGATAGGGACGCGGGGGATAAGCTCGGAACCGCATTCCTGATATCTTCTTCGCAGGAAAAGCTACCGGCGAGAGCTTAATACAGTTTCCTCCTCGGAGCGACAAAGCTCCTTGAGAAGGTGAGCATCTGCCTCCATACAAAGACGCCACGATACGGCAGTATTGCGGGCACCAGACAGTCAAGTTGTTCCACTGCAGAGTCATCGATCGGTTGGATGAGCGTGATAACTTTGGCTTGAAGATCACTCACATTGCAAGAAGCAGGGTTAATCGGGCTGCCTGCAGAGTTCAAGCGAATGGCATGTGTCGGCAGCTTCTTTCACTTTCTCGAGAACACCGCTGTCCCGGTGCTCCTTCTTCCAACTGCTCGCTCCAAGCGCGGGGTAATTCTAGCAGGCGTCCAAGTGCATTTCACGCATCGTCTTAGAATGTGACGTCAAACACAGACCATGAGCACAAAATGGTTGTGTCCGAGGACAAATTTGTCCGAAAAAACATCGCGATGGGAGAAGATGAAGAACGATGTGGCGATGCGGGCAGACCCTGGCCTAAACTTCTGGGAAGTGCGCCCCGTGTAACTGACCGGAGACGTGCCTCGATGCCGTCCTTGCCGACCGATTGCTTCCCAGAAAGGGAACGGATCTTTGCTGGCAGTTCTCTCTTGTCCAAGATGTTGATTATCTGATAACCAATGCGCGGCCACCTCACCGTCTACGAGCTTCCTTTGAGGGTCGTTGCGGACACCCGTGATCTTGGAGAGGTCAACTTTCGGCAGTACATGAAGCGGAAATACCACACATCCCTGTCAGCATGCTCATGAATTAGAGTATTGTGCATGGAGTAACCGTATGGTACGTTGACGTCAATGTTCGAGTCTTCGGACGCATGTTGTTGGTTAATGGTGCTCGTCAGCTGCCCGTGAAGCGGCACGTCCTGAGCTGTTCTTGGACGGGTGTTATATTGTCGGACCGGCCCCCGTCTCTGTGCTCATCCTACGTGCCGTTAAATAGACTACGGCACGCCTAAGAAGCATGGTTAACCCCTTATAAGTCCGAGGACGATGGCCCCGGGACACGTGCTGTGCTGGATGCTGAAAGCGTCCCCGATGCCTCGCCTCAACGCCCGCGTCAAGGGAAGGTTTTGCGATACACCAAGAAGCCCCCAACCCGCCTTCAGCTAAACTCGTCCAGCGGTTGGGTAGACACCGGCATCGACCTAGGTGTATCGACGCTGGCAGATTCCGGCTCGAGTCAAAGTCCGCGTTACGCCTCGGTGCTCAACTTGTACAAGTCAAGACGCGTTGAGTACCTCTCCTTCTTTCATCTGAAACATTCTGACACCAGGTGAGTAGTTCTTCTGTGCCTGCTATTACAGGCGGTGATTGCCGAAGATACGTTGTGCATATGTCTACTGCAAAGGAAGACTACCTGATAAAGCTATCTACGCGTGCTCTATGTGTCGAACGCGCAATACCTCCAGAGCGGGGGATACATATTAATGGCCAAGGAACGATATCCCAATGATGTGTCCCTCTTTCCATGTTTCCGCGCAACAACTTCCTGAAACTGGATGTCCAACATGATCTACGAACAACAAGCAGAAGGTGGCTCCGCGGAGTCTCTTACGACCATTGGCTCGGGGGAGGAGGGGAGATGGTACATGGAGCGCTATGGTAGACAGTTTCATGTCATGGATGCATTGTGGCCATACCCACACGACGACGACGAAATGGAGGTGAGTCCAATAGTTGTTGTGTGGGGATATGCGCTGACTAATTTCACAGAGACAAGTCCTTCAGCATGACTTACTGAGAAAGGTTGTCGGACACAATTTTGTCGGACCCGTCCCCATCATCCTGGCTAATACTCCCCAGAGACCGGTGAAGCGCGTGCTTGATGTGGGGAGGCGAGTCATACCATATGTATCGATGTGTACTAGTAGCCGCTGACCCCCGAAGCAGCGGAACGGGTCGCTGGTTGGTTTTTTTTTCGGCGAGTCCGGTGGCCCTGTCCGAGCTCACATATAAGGACAGGGTGCAGCAGATGGCAGAGATGTTCCCACACGAGTACCAAACCACTACTGCTTCAGGCAGAAATCTTGCGGCGGAAGCCCCGGCCTTCTTCCAGTGGTTCGAGACGATCCGTATTTTTATAAGGACTCGGCTGGGCCTGGACATGAACACACCTCAACGCCTCCCGCAAATCCTGCATGAGAAGGGGTTCAGGAGCATCAATACGAGGGCACACACCATTCCAATAGGGCCTTGGGCAGCTGATCCCGTCGGCAAGCAGGTGCGTGCTGGGAAGTGGTTCGAGTTTTGGGACTGAATCATCCCGTTAGCTTGGCGAAATGAATTGCCACGTGTGGCTCGAGTTTTTGAACACGACGCGGCCAATGCTGATGGAGGTACGGAAGAACGAGCAACAGGTTGACAGGCTTATTGCGGGCGTGCGGACCCTGCTCGAAGAGCTGCCGCAGGGCGTCCGTCTGCTATCCCGATATCATACCATCTGGGCTCTTCGTGGGCAGTCGCGGCTGGTGAACGAGAAAGAATTGTAAGAATTGGTCAGGAACAGGATGCTGTGTCGGAGGCGTGGTTGGGGACTGCGCAATATGGGCGCCTATTGTTGTATCTATATCGGTCCTGCTTATGTAGCGCTTTGAAACAACTACATCTGAGTTGTGCGGGTGATCGACTAGACGAGTGAGTTGATCGCCGTGCAAAATGATACGAGCACAGAAGGAATGCTCATGAAACTTGGGAGGGTCATGTGGATGCAGCAAGAGGAACAGAAAGGGGACGGAAGAGCGGAATAATAACCTTCTCAGCGGCGGAGACGGGTGCAAGCGCAAGGGATTAATGGGTGATATGACGGGCTCGCGTGACGTGTGTTAGCACAGCCCCTGCCGAGATGAGCGGCGAATGAGAATGCGCTGACGTCGACACTCCTCATTCCTACTGGAAAGCACACAGGGGGCGCCCCTTCCCCGCGCGCTCAGACTCTTTCAGGACCGTGTGCGCACCGTCTAACCTACTTAGGCTTCCTCCTTCCTTTCTCTCTGACGACTTACGCGTACCTCCTCTCTCCATCCCTCCCTCCCGCATATATCCCCCTGATCCGTCATCTTTCACTCCCCAACCATCATCTTTCACCTCCAAACCTAACATTGACACATGAGAATGGCGCCTCAAATGGGTTCCTTCGAGTGCGGCACCACCTCGCCTGGCGAGACAGCCCCAAGGGTCGGATATGCCACCCCTAAGGGGCTTGTCAGCCGTCCAGGACCAGATATCGACACCGTCTACGATATCCTGCAGTACACGGCAAAGCGACATGGTGACCGGGACGCTATCGGCTACCGCGAGATCCTGAACATCATCGAGGAGGAGAAGGAGGTCAGGAAGATGGTCGATGGTAAGGAGCACATCGAAAAGAAGAAGTGGTTGTATTGGCAAATGAGCGAGTTCAAATATTGGACGTATGTCGAGTTCAGAGACAAGGTCCTGCGCGTCGCCAGTGGGCTCCGAGAGATGGGCATGGAACCAGGCAACGTGTTCAACATCTACGCTGATACATCGTGGGTTTTCCCAAGCTCTTCATAACGACTCTTTTTGATCAATCCGAATTAGGCACATATGGCAGCTTATGTCACATGGTGGGTACCTGTTTCCCATACATCCCAGGGTTCAGGGGTTTGATCGATTGTGGCATCATAGCTTGTGCAGCTAATGCAATGATCGTCGCCACCGCATATGCCACGCTTGGTGAGAGCGGACTTCAGCACTCCCTGGAGGAGCCCGAGGTCGCAGGCGTTTTTACCAATGCCGACCTACTGGGGACGTTGCTCAAGGTGGTCGATAAGACGCCAACGGTCAAGATCATCGTCTATGATGGCAAGCCGAAAGCCGACATACTCGAGAAGCTGAAGAAGATCAGGAACGGAGAGATAAGGCTGATTCATATCGATGATCTGGAGAAGCTTGGGGCGGAGCACCCGCACGAACCCACTCCGCCGAAGTTCGAGGGCACAGCTTGCATTATGTACACTTCTGGAACCACAGGTCCACCGAAGGGTGTGGTGATCACCCACTCGAACTTGGTCGCTACAGGTATGTGAATTGATGCGCATATATTTGGTCATTTTGAGGCAGCTTCGTATAGTCGGCTCAATTTTCACGCTCCTTGGCAAGTGGATCCAACAAACCGACTGCTTCCTTGCTTTCCTCCCTCTCGCACACATCCTCGAGTACGTGGTCGAACTGGGTATGTTCTATGTCGGCATGCCGATTGGTTATGGGCGCGTGAAGACGCTGACGGATGCGTCCGTGCGCAATTGCCTGGGCGACCTGCGCGCTTTCAGGCCCACGATCATGGTTGGCGTACCCGCTGTCTGGGAGACAATTCGCAAGGGTATCGTCGGCAAGGTGAACCAGGGAGGCACCATGAAGAAGAACATCTTCCACGGTGCCCTCAGCGTGAAGAAATTTGCGACGAATAACAAGCTCCCCATTGTTGCGAATCTCACGGACACGGTTGTGTTCAACCAGGTGAGGGAGCAGACAGGTGGCAGGCTGCGCCTGACTCTGTCTGGCGGTGCCGCATTATCCAAGGAGACCCAGGAATTCCTCACCATGGCTCTCGTTACTATCCTATCTGGTACGTCTCTCCAGATGAAGTCTGGATGTGGCTCATGTATGCGCAGGATACGGTCTGACCGAGTCCTGCGGTATGTCCTGCATTCTACCACCCGACTTCATGCAGTATGGCCCTGTTGGTGTCCCTGTGCCAAGCATGGAGGTCAAGCTCGTGGACGTGGAGGATGCTGGATACAGAGCAACCAACAACCCGCCACAAGGCGAGATCTGGATCCGCGGGAACTCGCTCTGCAAGGCAATTATCTGTTCCGGACGAATCATTTACTGTTGCTGATGCCTTTCAGGGGTACTTCAAACGCCCTGACCTGAACGAGGAGGCATTCACGCCAGATGGCTGGTTCAAGACTGGTGATGTCGGCCAGTGGGAGAAAGACGGCACGATGAGCATTATCGACCGAAAGAAGAACCTCGTTAAACTGTCGGGCGGTGAGTATATCGCGCTCGAGCGACTCGAGTCGATCTACAAGTCGTGCAACCTCGTGAACAACATTTGCGTGTACGCCGATCCAGACGCGTCCAAGCCTATGGCAGTCATCCATCCGCACGAGAGCAACCTGCGGCATGCGACGGGTAGCGAAGCGCACTTGTCCGAGATGTGCGCGGACAAGAAGGTCGCTGAGCTCATCCTGAAGGAATGCAATGCTGTGGGTAAGAAAGCGGGACTGAAGGGCATGGAAACCCTTCAAGCAGTCGTGCTCACTTCTGACGAGTGGACGCCCGAGAATGGCCTTGTGACAGCCGCACAAAAGCTTCAGCGGAGGAAGATCTCGGACCGGTATATGGATGAGATCAAGGTTCGTCCCTTTTCATGCTGTTAACATAGACCACTTTGCTGACGTGGCGGCCGTGCCCATGTGCAGGAGGTCTACATCATCGACAGGGATTAGGTTCCCATCCGCTCGGTTCTCCCATGCCCTCTCTTTCACCCTCAATTCTCCTCGGTATGAACACACTCTGCCAGTTGGCTAACTGTCCTCGCAATTCGCGAGGCTTCCTTTTCCACTCACACTCTCACACTCTCGACATGCTTCTTTCCTGCTGACACCCCACTGCGGATAGGACAGGCCCCTTGCTGTTATCGCCTTGCAACAACCCCATTCCGTAGTAATCATATCTGTACAACACTAAAGCGATTCCCTCTTTCGCTTTCCCTACTAGAGTGTCAATAATCCAACAATGAAAACCCAACCGTTGTTGACATGCTTAGGGTAAAGTCGACGCTGATTGGTGCGGAGACGAAAGCTTCCGTGCGTCTATGTCATTGCTCCGGCATCCTCCGCAACTTGATTCCCTTTGATTTGTCCACCCAAGGACGCAACATACTCCGTTCCTCCGCCCTCGCCTTCTCCCCCCCTTTAGCCCGTCACAGAGCGATGCTCGTCCAACGACGGGCCCTCGCCGCCGCCATCCGCGCCCACTCCTCACGGACGTACGCAACCGCCCCATCAGGTCCAACCGTCTTCGCCCAAGACAACGGTCAACCAACTTCTTCCATTACCGTCCTCGTCAAGGCAGGCAGTCGTTTCGAGCCTGAGGGTCATGCTGGGATCGCTCATGTGCTCAAGCATTTTAGCTTCAAGGTGCGCCATATCGTCACAGCTAAAATTGAGAAGTACTAACCGTTGAGGACGTCTGATAGAGCTCGAAGGAGAGGTCGGCGTTGCGCACCGTACGAGAGGCCGAGCTGTACGGGGGTATCCTATCCGCTACTCTGACACGGGAGTACCTTGCCCTGACGGCAGACTTTTTGCGTGGGGATGAGTGCGTATATGCGTCTTATCTCACTCCAACATCGACTTGATTTGCATTCCCTAGGGGCTTCTTCCTCCCCCTTCTCGCATCCTCCGTCGTCTCCCCAAAGTTTGTCAACCATGAACTCCACGAGCTTGTCTGGCCTAGCGTCATGACGGAGACCGCAAACGCGATTGTAAGCGGAGAGTACACGGCGCTCGAGCTGGCACATGCGCTCGCCTTCCGCTCCGGATTGGGTCACGCCCTGCTCAACCCGCCCCACGCGCATGCGCCTTCCATCGAAGCTGTGAGGGACTATGCGAGCAAGGCGTTCACCACGTCCAACGTTGTTATCGTTGGTACCGGTCTCACCCAAGAGAAATTGGAGACGCTTGCCAGCCACCACTTCCCCCTGTCGAGCGGAACGAGCCTCACCTCGCCTGCAACCAAGTACTACGGCGGTTCGACCGTGTCGCCTTCGCTCCACCCCACCCTTTTTGTCGGGTATGGTATCGCAGGTGCTCCCAGTGCTGGTCTCTCCACCCTCGCTGCACACCTCGCCGTCAAGCCCCATCTGCCGTGGTCTGACGGGCTGTCTCCTCTCTCTTCTCTTCCAAAGTCCGTCAGCACCGAATCCGTCCTGATCCCGTACAGCGACGCAACCCTGTTCGGCGTGCTTATCAGTGCCAAGGACAGTGCCGGTCTCAGGCAGGGTGGTGAGGCCGTCGTCAAGGCGCTTAAGGAAGCTGCTTCTGGTGGGCTGAGCCAGGAGCTGGCTGGCCGCGCGAAGGCGCGTGCAAAGTTCGCTGCTGCGAGCCTCGAGGAAGGCAAGGCTGGTGTGCTCGCCAAGGGTGCCGCTCAGCTGGAGGGCAAGGCCTGGACCAACCTAGTGGACCAAGTCGAGAAGCTGGATGTGAAGGCGTTGGGCAAGGTGAGTTCTTCGATCACATGGTGACTATTGTTCGCTAACCTGTTATCAGTTTACCACTGACCTGATGAAGACCAAGCCCACCGTTGTGGCACTTGGTGATATCAACACGCTTCCACATGCCGACGAGATTGGCTTGTAATCGCTGACGTGTCTCCGGAGAGGCGTAAAGCTAAATATTACATAGTACCTTCTACGCAGCCGCCCTAAACGCCTTCTTACCTTTATTCACAACCCAAAAGAGGCTGTTTCTTTTCGCCTGCCTTGTACCTAAACGCGAAATGAGAAGCTATTCACAGCTGCTTGATATGTGTGCATGGTCTCCTCTCAATTGTGAGGCATGCATTGGATTCAACTGCTCTCAGAAATGTGCTCACCCCCGCCGGAGTGCGCCCGGAGCCGAGCGGAAGCTTAACCGTAATTGGGATCTGGGCTGATCTTGGTTGAAAACGGTTTTTCTAGCGCTCGAACACATCCCAGAGTTGGCCGTTGCTTTCCGGAATACTTATATAGTGGTAACTTTTCTAGCGCATGCAGTCTTCACAATGGCGGGACCGAGGAACTGAAGCTACTTTAGAATCCGCTTCATCCCGTAAGCTTCTTCCCCTTAGACGGGCGGCCACGTTCCTCGTGTAAGGCGCCGAACCAGTTGGCTCAGTCCGATTACCAGAAGAAAATACCCAGGATGCCTGCTTAGGGGTACACTCGAGCAACTTCGACTGTCGGGAAATGCTGCTTAGCAACCACGGCCCGTGGCCTGTTTTGTTCTGTATCCGAACGACCTTATTGTGAGAGGGACCCCTTACAAGCCGGTCTTCTATCATGATGAAGAAGTGGAATATACACCCCTAATATGACAAGGAAGGTGTATGAGGGTTGATTCCCAGAATTTCTCACAACAGCGATTCGGTGATTCTGTGCCACATGCTCACTTTTACCACTTGTGCAGAGTAAATACCCGCCGATCGCCGTGGCGGACCCCTGATTGATGGTCTGCGCTAGAGCCTGGAGGTTACATGATACAATTATGCATACCAGTGGATCAAGTACGGCTTTTGGGGCCCGAATTCCGTAAGTGTGGTATCACATCCGTCGAAATCGCCGAATCGCCACTAACTTTCTCCAATCAATAACGACTCCATTGCTCCCACTATCTGGGCCAACCTGCTGGACGACGTCGGGAGCCCCGAGGACATCCTCCACCGCCATTCAGCCCGCCTCGTGCCCCGACGTTAGCCGATCTTGTGGTGACTGTTTTCTGACTGTGCCAGTAAAATTTTTGGGGCGGGCCGCCCGAGGGTCAGCAGGTCGTGCGTCGGGAACCCCTCGTTATCTCTGAACCCCCCCGTCTGATCAGAGATTCCAATATGCCACAGTCACAGGCAGAACCGAGGCAATTGACCGCCCACCAACGACATGCACGCCACGCCACACCACCCAGACCCCGGCTTGCTTGATTCTCTCACCAGATAGGGGCTGCTTCGAAGCATAGCATCAACAAGAGAATATCTGAACCGCACGAAGCATGTCTTAGTGCGAGCACTCTTTTATTCTGTTTGTCTCAGATTGTCCCAGCCATACGCCAGCTGGGGACGGAAGAGGCGCTCAACCCACACGTGCTAGCAACGCACGCACACCCAAGCGACTGCATTCATCTCCTAACATCTCGAATGCACAAATCCATCATTAGAGGCTCAATGACAGTGAGCTGCGGTATAATTTTGTGTATGGCTAAGACATTCTTACATATTCGGCAGATCGTGTTTGAACGCAAGAAAGCATATTCAATAGCAGCATCTACAAGCCGTCGCGCTGTTCCGGCATGTCGACGGCGTGATTTTACATGGGCCATCGGAGGCCAACCCTAGAAGACGAGAAGCGAAGGAGAGATCAGAGGCTGGTTTCCGGTGTCATCTGGTGCGCCCGCGTCAGTTTAATCACCTTTTCCACAACTGATACGTACCTGTGGGTAATGCATGTTCCACATCGGCTGCATGTACGTTCTATGGTGTCCCAATCCAAGAAGATCTCCGACGACGGCACACAGTGGCGGAAGCGACACCTGTTTCGCTCTCATTACCGGCCAGTGCAGGGGTGGGAGTTGAGGGTATTGCGAGGAATGATGTGCCCAGGTCACAGGCTCGCCGTAATGAGAATGGTGCACCTTGGAGAACGGATCCGGCGTGGGAAGACAGGGGAATGGAGTCACGGGAGACAACGAGGAATACGCCGACGCGGGCGTCATAGACGGGCATAATGAAGGGGTGGGAGTGCCAGGAGTGGTCGAGGCAGAGAGACGTTGACGACGGGACCGCTTGACTCGCCCCGTCTTCGCCAGAGCCACATCGTCCTTGAATTGATACTTGGCCACTGAAAGGTCTTCTGGGATGTAAATAGTCGATAGTGATGGATGTTGTGCCAAATTCCTAAGCTCTTCCTTGCGTCTTGGGTCAACGAAGCAAATGACGGACAGGGTGCGGATGTGGTCTGCGGAGTCGGAATGTTTCGTCGTAACCGTCACCGTCCGCTTATGTAGCCCGCCTGGTAGAGGTTGAACACCCGGACGCAGGTATCTGTTCTCATTGATTGGGTGCCTAATCCTGATATCAGAGCGAGGAAAAGGACATGTAAAGATTAATTGGTCACTTGTTGACTCCCTTCCCATAAGAATTGATTTTCTCCACGGGCACTGCCTCGCGGTAGACAAGCCAGAGATTCCTCTCTTGCTGATTGTCCATCCATTTTCGACAATCAGTCCAACGCCTCAAGCAATCGCGTTGCTCGAATACGAATACGTTTCCGTGCTGGATGAGCGGGCGATACACTTCGTCGTTGATTCGATGCTGGAGCACCGGGAACTCCTCAGGATAACGTTCGCAAGCTTCCAAAAGGAGGAGGATGTCATGAGGTGTTTCGAGGTAGAATCCGGAGGATGTGGGTTTGACGAAGACGGGAGAGGAAGGCTGGGCGCGACGTTCAACTCGTTTGACAGGCATGTTGCAAAGAGGGGAAGCCTCGGGGGGTCGAAAGGTAAGCAAGACACCAGAGGAGACTCCACCTGTTGGTAGAAGAGGGAGATGGAGGGGCGTATCGCGGGGAACTGTCAGTATATATGTGCATCCCCAGCGTGGCTCTGCGCCGAAACTCAATTTGCCCTTTGACGATTGATGACTCCTGCCCGTTTCTTCGGGTCAAGAATATGCACATCGAGCGGGAGCAAACCCGTAGAAGCGGGATGGCTTCGTTGTGCTGAGAGGATCCAGATCTTGAAGGAAGCAGACAGAAAGTAATTTAAAAAACATGATCCACCGTTACGAAGGTGGATTCGGCCGTGCAAACTCGTCCTTGGGAATGGAGCCTGGCCTCCCTTAGACGGAGGCTTTCGTTAAACGGGACGGCCCCCCGTAATGCCCGCGGTTAAGAAGGTTCGTCGACAGATTATAGATCGCGGGAGAGCCAGACCCACACAAAGGGTTACGCGGAACGGATGAATGTAAAATCTCAGGAACCACATGCCTTAAGCGTGGTCTATTCAAAACCATCGCCCCCCTACATGGTTCGTGTATAGCCCGATTATTATTATAAGGGCATTGCCTTCGAAAGTTGCAGGGGACCGAATAACAGCCTCTGTAAAACGTAGCAGCTTAGAACGTCATCGTTCGGCAGGAAGGCGCCTGATACCGGTCCAAAGATTGAATGCCGATCATCAAGCCTTGGAGATGATAACCACGTGGAAAAAAAAAAGCTCGGGTGAAAAGCCGTGTTTCAGAATGAGCCACCGCCGGAAGCCCGCAAGATCTGTTGATTCGGTGAAGAGGGTGTGCATTGAGTCAATCCATGCGCAGCAAGCAGATCTGCAGCTGGTCGTGTAGGAGAAAACTAGTCAGGGTGAAGTGGCAACGCTAATTTGATGGGACACACGATGCGGGAGATTCGGCGGACGCTTCGACGGACGCAAATCGGATAAAGTAATTTCGGCTCCGATTTTCCAGTCGTCTGGTGGCCGATCCTCACTCAAACCATGATCTAAAATGTGGCAAGAGCATATTTCGGGGAGATTGACATCAAGAGGATCCAACGATTCTGAGAAGGTGCGTGCTAAAAGTTTTGATGGCAGGTTTTTTCCCCAAGATAATGGGTACCGTATCAGGTGCGAGGATCTTCCCTCATTTTGGCTAGAAAAAAGCTTAATACACCTTGCCAGCAAATCTGTTGCAGCATGACCTGGGAATCAGAATAATATGAAACGAATTACAGACCCTTGCAATAACTGGTTGTCAGAGCCGTGTTTTGGGGTCCACACGTTTTCTCCACGGCGATTCCCGAACGACCATGCGCGTGATCAACCCGCGCGAGACCTAGAACAACGATAAGACCCGTTCCAACATGCCATCACACTCTTCTACCGAAAGTACCAGGAAAAGGATGTCTTTTGGGGTCCCGATTGGCTAATTTACCGGCACAGACTCGAAGGGGACAAGATTCGGTGCTGAAAACGGATTATCCAATTCTGGATGTTTTGCCCCCCATCCGGGGAGCACGAAATCCTGGAAGGAGAACAATAATAATATTGGTTTGCATGAGAATCTACTTTGAGGAAAACTTGTCTAAATTATGACTGGGAACTGTCTCCCAATGATGATCAAGGACGCAGCCGGGTAGCTTCCCCCAGGGATGCCACCCTTCCTCAGGCAAGTCGCGGCACTGGGTGCCCCTCTCTGACCACACCGTCTCTGTTTCCACTTGTCACAATCTTTGGAGCATTCCTCTCATTGCCCGCCCATCTCACATAACCCCTATCAGCCCGCCAGCTAGCCGAGCGCCTTATGACTGTTCAGAAGAAAGAAATGCCGCCCTTGGCGCCCCGCCCTCGTGTCGCATCATGATCTCCACCGCATGGAAGGAGGAGGGCGTCGGGTGATCTCAGACATGCCAGCGTGCTCGACGGTCAGGGCGGCCTCAACAGTCACCAAACAGTCACGGGCGGGTACCCCACTGCCCCGACGCCAGCGAAGCGCCTCCCGCCCTCGGTGTGCCCTTCCCACCCCCGTGATATATCAGAGCACCATTGAGGTAAATTCCAAGGAGGACAAATTACTTGACGAAACCTCTTTTCGATCGGCTTTGCTTCCTTCGAGCTGATCGTCGATTGTGCCGCCTAAACCCCACAACCTGCGCATTGTCTGTAAAGTCGTAGGGGTGCATCTCTGATTAATGGCCCCAAATTATTTCTACATAAGGTAAGAGGATTAAGGCGATACTGCTACTATGACTCTTTTTGGGGACATCCTCGGACACCGCTTGGCAAGACTGTCTCGGAAAACAAGGCAAGTGTCTCTGCCACCCAGACAACTCTCACGAACTAAAACTTTCAGGTAGGTCGCACATCAATTACCGCTCAAGGCATTGCTTGCGCGCTTGTGTCTCTCTGGGACTTTACTCGAACAGTGAATCGAAGAGGTTGGCCGCTTGGGTCTGGCCACCCTCAGATAGATGCCTGGGAGGGGAAGCTCAATCGGATTCTTGCCAGTGAGTGTGCACGTTTCAACAGCACAAGGCTTTATGTGATCACTTATACATCTCAAAGGCAACGAAGTCGTCCTCTTATTGTTACAATCACTGGATACCGCAGAACTGCACGAACCACCGCCAACTAATCTGTCACCTTTCCTCAACCTTCTACCTTGTCCCATGACGACTTTCACTCTGCTTCCTCCCCCACAGACTCCCCCACCCCATCTCTCGATATCCGACCCCTTGTACAGAGGTTGTCGCTTCCGGCAGAGGAGTCCGCAAAGGTGGCAGTGCGTTGCTTTTCAACCTCATGGCTTCGGAGGCTGTCATCGTTGTCCCGTCCAAACCGATTTGACGGATATTGGGAAGGGTGGGGCGTGCGGTTACCGGCGGAGTGACCTGCTCACTTGAGCGTGGCGAGGGCATTGGAGACGCCAACGACGCCGAGCCCGATGGTGCTCCATTGTGGCGGTTGTGCACGGAAGTCGGCTGAGGAGGTCGAGGAGTAACTTGAGTATCAGGTGAGTGTCGCTCTCCGCTCCATCTCTCATACTCGTGCCATGGAACTGACAGCTTTCGTAGGCCGGCCACGAAGGTCACGGGCCGCAATTCTTGCCTTCGAGTCGGATCCACATACCAAACGAGGCGGTAGGAGGTGGCGAACGTGCTGCCTCCTTGGATGAGATGTGCAGAGTAGGTCCATCGCTGCAGTTGTCCGAATCGATTATTCGACACTTCCTCATCTTCGTCGTCATCCATTTCAGTATCGACCGGACTACCCGGTAACTTGCTTTCTGTCCTATGGTTCCCATGAGTAGTCTGCAATATTAGTCGATAGAATGCTCACCGTTCGTCGATCCCCTTGATTCGCTTCATGATACCATCCAGTTGATCATACCGCAGAAAGGGCGGAAGACACCTTGAATTGGTCCACTTCTTGAAATCATGCCATCTCACCAGCCCGTCCGTCACCGCATAAAGGAACACACTGCCGTGCACAATCAACTTCTCGAATGCTGCTCTGTCGGTATCGTCCGGGGCCGGGCGGCGCATCACCAGCGGAAAACGCTCGGGGAACTGACGCGCAGCTTCGATGAGAAGGATGGCCTCATCCTCCGTGCGGATGTCCAGGAACTGGAAGGTGGGTCGGGGTTTGTACGTGATACGCTCGGAGGGCTCGGCGATGAGGAATTGGAAGTGTGGTCGTGTGCGATAGTCGTACGGCAAGATGTCTTCATCCCATCCTGGTCCTTCTGCTGACAACCGACCCTTTGGAGCCGCAGGTTCAAAGCACAACGTCGAATAATGCCTCCAAGGTATCTCCATGACATGCAGAGCCGGTATGGAGGACAGCGGGCGAAGTTCGTTCCTTCGAGTCGGGAGGACATACCATACCAACCGATACTGAACCGTCGACTCACGATCGTTGAGGTCGGGGGTGAATGAAATTGTGTAAGTCCACTTGACTAGGCCTGACTGATATCCCTGCGCATCGTCTTCTTTACGCTTTTTTGGTGGCCTGTACTTCATTCAGACATCCAACGCTGGTTGCTCCAATGAACACATACAAAACACCCTTGCCTTCTATCGTGGCCGTCGTGCGACCAGCACCTTCAAAGTACCGAAAGAAAGGCCGGTACTGCCGGCTCTTTCCCCACCGTTTACAGTCGCTCCAACGCACCAATCCGTTTTCTGCGGACGGCACGAACACAAATGCGTTTCCGTGACAGATCACACGTTCTAGTTCTTCTTTGCTGAGCTCAGATTGGCCTGGTCTCCGGATTACCAATGGGAATACGTCGGGGAATTGGCGGGCAGCCTCGATCAGAGCAATCGCGTGTCGCTCGTTGCCGATGTGCAGTCCCTGGGCGGTGGGCCGGAGGATGAACTGGACGGGACGAGGGGGAGCTTGCATTGCCTTCACACTGGGTAGAAAACGCCCGATAAAAATGTTATAATGTTTCGGAAACGGTGCCACCTTGAATGCGTTTCACGTTAGCATGCTTATACGATGCCTCGAGGGAGAAAATTCACAAACACGTGGATAGGGCTGCCGCCGTGATCAGCTGGCTTTCTCACACTGGGAATAGGGAAATGCCGAAGATAGATATCCCCCGTTGCCACTTGTGTATCTGAAGCAGAATAATGCCAACCACTCAATCAATGTGGCGGCGATTTTTGTCAAGCGTTGCAGAGACCCGAGATAATAATCGCAAGACCAAGGTGGCAACAGGAGCGCTCCGATCAGTCCTGGGAAAGCTCGCGGGCACGACCACAACATGGTTTCCAAGTAGAAATAACCACGCAGAGAGCGGCTCCTGTCGTCGACAATAAACTCTCGGCATGAGCATTGTGACAAGCTAGGCGGGTGACAGGAGCAGATGAGGAGCACAACTCGCTTCCGCGCGACCTGTGCCGATTGACTAATCCGTTTCATTATCAAGAAGGACTTGATATTGATGGGCCACTCTGGGGGAAATCAACACCAGATCAATGGGATTCACGTAGAGCTCAAGTAGAAGACGGGGCCGCCGCATGCAGCAAATGATAGGCGCGCCCTTGCTCGGCGCCTCTTCGGCATGAGGAACACCGCTTTCCCCAGTCGCATGGCCTGGTTTCCCCTCTCGACGCTGCCGGCAGCTCCTCTTTCTCACACGGTCTCGTGAGAAAGAAACTTGCCTAGCCTTATTCTGATGCTTCCGGATCTTGAGCCTATTCTATAAAAGGAATTAAGACTGGTGCTACTCCTTTTCCTTGTTACACCCGCCTTAGAATCTATCTTCGGAACGAAGTGCGGACTGAGCTTGAGGCTACGAACCATGTCAGCTGGCACGCCCCCTTGTATCTTCGCTCGTTACCCGCAGTTCACATGCCATCTGCACCGAAACGACAGGTCGCATGACGTGTTACGTTCTGTTGTATACGTGCCGTTTCGCGCTTATTTTGCACCGAGAGGGTCCGAAGGGCAACAACATGCCAACAACAATGGACATCGGGTTGCGCAACCGTTTCGCTGCAGATGGATCATTGTCGCTTATACATTACGCTCTAATCAACGTTCTGTATAGAAACCGAGTTAAACGTTCTACGCTCCTGTGGGTTTCGACTCGCTCTGTTTTGGGATCAGGCACCGATCCCGAATGTATGGCACTGCCTTTCCTCGCCCACCTGGCGCTTAAGCACTGAATAGGGTTAAGTTATAGCCTACAATGGATAAAAGAATGGAAAGGAAGATTTCCTATCTCCTGATGTCTGCGAGGGTAGGAGGGACATCAGGGGTAGGAGGACCAAGTAGATTGAGGAATCATACGAGGTAGGACGGTGGGAACACTCGATTTCGTAGTCCCTTACATCGTCATCAATATCCTGGACCTTCAGATTTCTGTTCATTAGCACGGTTCCAAGTCACACAGTACAATACGTAGGGCATTACGCGCTATTCTCGTTCGTGCGCTGCCACGCTGATGAAAACCTTGTGAAGATGTGTCATTGGCCACCTGTATCACCCCTCGTCCTACTTCGGGAGCCTGGCTTCGGCTTCCCATCATCCAGGTCGCTTCCCTCGATCATCAGTTCCGCATGGCCCATCTTCTCGAGCTTGCGGTCGAACCTGCCTTTACGGTATTGGGAGACGATCCGCTCAAGCAGCTCGGAGGTGGATATTCCGGGTGTCCGCCGCGTTGGAAGGAATTTGCCTTTATCAAAGAGGGTGTCAGAATTTGCGCGAGGGATCAGAGCATGAAAACGGCGCACCGATCTCCTTAATGTGTGCGTATACATCATCGTGTGTCAGGCTCTTGTACGGCTCCTCATCATGGGCGACGTAGTCGATCATATGCTTCTCCAGAAACGCATCGTTAATTACCCAAGGCGCATCGGGCACGACCTCGTCCACATACTTGCACTGACGTACAGACTCGCACCGCTCTGCGTGATTCATGCAAGCTGGGGACTTGTGCTGATTCACGAGCGCATCGCTGCACACGCCAACGAGAAGATATACATTCGGGAAGGAGAGTTTCGCTTGTCGAAGCTGTAATGCGTGCCTGTTGAATGATGAGCAATGGAAAGGAACGAATGTGGGAGGCTGACCCGAAATGGAAGATATCGTATACACCTAACACTCCCATCAGAGAAACGAAAACCGCGGATTGCGATGCTGCTTACCATCGGCATATATGCGAATCGGACGTCCTTCAGGAGGTGGATTGACCTTGTACGTTCTCGCCGAGTTCCCCTCGATCGCATCCATGACAAACCGCTCTATGTCTTCTTGGGTCAACCCAGCAACACCCGCCTTCTCCTCTTTCTCCTTCTCGTCCTTCTTGCCCGATGTGCGCCGCACAGGCACAGGGGCAGTGTGTTTGCGCGCTGCCCCTGGGCCCTCGTACGACCCATGGTCCGTGTCGACATCCATCGCGTCCTCAGCCACGCTAACCAGCGGCAGTGGCACGGGCCTAGCCGGCGGTGTAGACATGGGACTGGATCCGCCGCTCTCTTTCGAGCCCATCCCTCGCCCTGAACCAAGGCCCGATGGAGTGGTTACGCCAGGGGTAGTGCTCTCGATGTCGCCATCGTACGTGGGGGAGTCGACACCCGAGTCGGACTCTTCTAGTGCTAGAGCAAGGGTTGCCCGTGGGTGGGTGTGTCGTCCACGAGAAGCAATGCGGGTGATAGTAGGAGCAAGTGGCGCAGGGGGGAGCGTCGTTGGGCGGGACAATGGCGCAGGGGTGGAGACCGCAGAGGCGTTGTCGGACTGTGTAGTGATAAGCGGCGGCAAGGACGCGCATATATGTCAGTTTCTGTATATAAACACCTTTAAATAGTCTGGCGTACCATTGTCTCGTCGTTGTCCTCTTCTGATGCATCATAAGTCGGCGTTTCGAGCCCAAGCAGATGGGCGTGTCGTACACTGGCAGAATTACGACTCAAACGGTTCGGTAGACTTCTCCTTTGCTGCTCAATTGTGGACATGTCGGTATAGCTGCAATACGGCAGGATACTGTGAAAGGTAAATACGGTCAGTGCGGTAGTCTTTTCGCTGTTGGCAGGAGTATGGGGGAGCACGATGGAGACGTTGTCGTCGTCTGAAGAAGTGAGTGAGGGGACCGTCCCTCCTAAGGGCGCGCCACAACGTCACGTCAGCTGTCCTGCTCCTCACTTCATTCTCAAGACATCTATCATTTCCTCTCAATGTCTATGTCTTTGAATATCGAAATCTCCCTTGACAGACCACCATTTCCTATGTTTACTTGCATTGCCCCTACTTCCTGGTGTCAACCAGAGCATGCACAGACATGCAGTATATGTTTCAAGAGAGCATATACTACATATTTGTACATTACATGCATGTTCACTTTCACTTCAACTATTCCAGTTGGTATCAAGCATTGATTGTTGGACATGAAAGTGAGGATCGGTGATCAAGATGCATCGTATGCCATCTTCGAAATATTCAACACAGATGGTGGGAGTTGGCATGGATGTTTGTCAAGCACTGATTGCTCAACAAACATCTCCCACCATCTGTGTTGAATATTTCATGCCAGCATCTATGCTAGTGTTGGTTTGATCAACACTTATTTCAGGTGAGGCAGACTTCTCCAGTTCTCGTGTGCTTTTACTATTTAGCTGGTCCACCATTTGCTTTGAAGCAAACATGGGTTTCCTTCTAATAGTATAGCACAGGAAAACAGTGGACTAGCTGTCATGATCCTGTGTTCATTCTGTCTCACTGTCCGAAACACAACTGTATGTGATCTTGAGCTATTGTAGTCTGGGCGATAAGGATATGTGCAACATCTGCGATGGCCGGGCGTCTTTTCTTGTGCGAGTGGATTCTTGCGTCGGTGGTATCGAAAAGTGGGCAGAGTTTGTCGTGATGGAGAGCGTGACGGAGGGAGATAGGAATGGAGATGGAGATGGAGAGGAGATGGGGAGATGAGCAACGAGATGAGAGGCACGTTACTGGTTGTGAACAGTTCACCGCTGTCGATGGCGTGCCCTCAGCTCGTGTGAGCAAGCGTCCGCCGAGTTTCCGAATTCCGCGGTGTTCACGTTCTTCTGGTGCTATCCGAGGGAACACTCCTCTATATGGAAGGCCCTCTCGCTGGCAGGAGCCTGTTATCTTCGGACGACCGTCTCTAGCGGATCTGAGATCTTGCGAGTTGTCACTAATCAAACTCTCCTGGCGCTTAAGATATCTTTGCCGTATCAGACGAGCATATCAAGGGGCATGTGGCACTTGTTGTGTTACTACTATATCGGATAGATCGAGCTACGAAGGAGCGCAGCTTTTGACGGCATCCTGTCAGGTGTCGTGGCGGGATGTCCAGATGATGCTCTTGTGGCCCGGCCAGATGCTCGGCCAAAATAGCTCAAACGTGTGCGGGTTCACGTAACGAATGGTCGATCAATAGCGAAGCCAACCGTGGTTGCAGGGTGCGAAGACGTGCGGCTCAGATTCGTTTCCTACGATCCTTATATATTCAACGATAGAGGGTGTATGATACACGGGACGTGCTATTTCAGGGTAGGAACAAAGGATAAAGACATAATAGGCGGAACAGGAAAGGAAAAAGGAAGTTTGATTCGGCCGATTGTGACATTCGCAAACACGATGCTGGAACGAACAAACATGAAACAAATCTGCAGATGGGCATGTCCAGGGTAACCAGCGCATGCTTTGCGTTTTCTGATCGTCTAGGATTTTCATTTACCCTCCTGCTTGTTCTTTGCCATCTAGAGCAGATAAATTAGCTACGGAGGCCATGTGAGGGATTATGCCACTCACCAGGTTCAGGGCGGAACCAGCCTTGAACCATGCGATCTGGCCCTCGTTGAACGAGTGCGCAAGCTCAATGTCCTCTGTCTTGCCATCGGGGTGCTTGATGACAGCGGTCAAGTTCTTGCCGGGCGCGAAAGACTCGAGACCCTTGATGGTGACGCGGTCATCGGGAGTGATCTTATCGTAGTCGGCCGGGTCAGCGAAGGTGAGGGCAAGCATACCCTGCTTCTTCAGGTTGGTCTCATGGATACGTGCAAAGGAGCGGACGAGGATGGCAAGACCACCGAGGTAGCGGGGCTCGAGAGCGGCATGCTCACGGGAAGATCCCTCACCGTAGTTGCTGTCACCTGTGATGAAGTCAATACTTGTTGCGAGAAATGAAGATAATATGGTGCTCACCAACAACAACCCACTTGATGCCGTTGTCACGGTAGTAAGCAGCGACCGTGGGAACTGCGCCCCACTCGCCAGTGATCTCGTTCTTCACATTGTTAGCCTCGCCATTAGCGGAGTTGATAGCGCCGATCAGGCAGTTCTCTGGAAACGATTCAGCATGGGGGCATGTCAGACACGGAGAGGCGACCCACGAGAGATGTTCTGGAGATGGCCACGGTACTTGAGCCAGGGGCCACCAGCAGAGATGTGGTCAGTCGTGCACTTGCCCTGCACCTTGATCAGGATGGGGAGGTCGGTGGGCTCTTTGCCGTCCCACGGTGCGAAAGGCTTGAGGAGTTGGAGACGGTCACTGTTAGGGTCAACGGCAACTTGGACGGAGGCGCGGTCCTGGGGAGGTTCCTGGTAGGTATTCTGGCCGGGGTCGTAGCCCTTAGGAGGAAGCTCGTTGCCGACTGGGTCGGTGAACTTGAATTCCTTGCCATCGGAGCCGGTGAGGGTATCGGTGAGAGGGTTGAAGTTGAGGGTACCAGCGAAGGCCATGGCGGTGACGAGATCAGGGGAAGCAACGAAAGCGTGGGTAGCAGGGTTAGCGTCGTTCCGGCCGGTGAAGTTACGGTTGTACGAAGTGACGATGGTGTTCTTCTCACCCTTCTTCACGTCACGACGATCCCATTGGCCAATGCAAGGACCGCAAGCGTTAGCAAGAACGATACCGCCAACCTCATGGAAGGTCTCGATCACGCCGTCGCGGTCAATGGTAGCGCGGACCTGCTCGGAGCCGGGGGTGATGGTGAACTTGCTCTTGGTGGACAGACCATGCTCAGCAGCCTGGCGAGCAATGGAAGAAGAGCGGGTCATATCCTCGTAGGACGAGTTGGTGCAAGAGCCGATGAGGGCAACCTTGATCTCCTCAGGCCAGCCGTTCTCCTTCGCAACCTCCTTCAACTTGGAAATGGGGGTAGCCAGATCGGGGGTGAAGGGGCCGTTGATATGGGGCTCGAGCTCGCTCAGGTTCTGTATATCATAATTAGAAGGCATCCTGATGAGCATAACGGCAGGCATACAATGTCGATGACCTGGTCGTACTCGCAGCCCTCATCAGGCTTCAAGTTGTGCTCGAAGGCCTTGGCGTATTCAGCAATGTTGCCACGCTTGGTTGCGTTAAGGTAGTCGGCCATGCGGTGGTTGAAGGGGAAGAGGGAAGTCGTAGCACCAATTTCAGCACCCATGTTGCAGATCGTAGCCATACCCGTGCAAGACAGAGACTCAACACCCGGGCCACGGTACTCGACGATGGCACCAGTGCCGCCCTTAACGGTTAGGATACCAGCCACCTTCAGGATGACATCTAGTGAGTAGTTAGCTCCAGTTGCGTTATCAACTGGTCCCTTGGTACGTACCCTTCGGTGCAGTCCAGCCGGAAATCTTGCCAGTCAAGTTAACACCAATGACCTTCGGGCACTTGAGCTCCCAGGGAAGATCGGCCATGACGTCGACAGCATCGGCACCACCAACACCGCACGCAATCATGCCGAGACCACCGGCGTTAGGGGTATGAGAATCGGTACCAATCATCAAACCGCCGGGGAAAGCGTAGTTCTCAAGGATAATCTGGTGAATAATCCCAGACCCGGGCCTCCAGAAGCCGATACCATACTGTGATGGAAAAACAATGAGCATGAATGAATCTAAGGCACCAAAAATTCAAAGAAATCCTTACCTTAGCCGTCGCAGTCGCCAGGAAGTCGTACACCTCCTTGTTGGTGGCAATGGCACGAGCCAAATCCTTCTCACCACCCACCTGAGCCTCAATCAAGTGGTCACAGTGGACAGTTGTGGGAACAGCAACAGTGGGCATGCCAGACGACATAAACTGAAGGATGGCCATCTGGGCAGTAGCATCTTGGCATGCAACACGCTAAAAGACAGAATACGTGTCAAGGGCTTAGATACCGACTTGGTGAGAGCTAAAATACATACATCCGGCCGCAGTTTCAAGTATGATGTACCACGCACGATATCCTGCTCGTGCGGGTTATCCAAGTGTCCGTACAAAATCTTCTCGGACAGAGTAAGCGGGCGGTTCAGTCTAAATTAATGCGCATACATCTATGTCAGACAAGATGTATGCGCTCTACTTGGTCATGTATGCGCACCGGTTACGAACGACGACCAGGTTGTCCTCAATCCTCTGGTAGTTGATGTAGTTGTGGGGCTCGAGCGGAGACATGGGGACCTTCTGGTCGCCGATCTTGGGTGCGGCGGTCGCCATGCCCGAGCGGGCGAGGAGGCCCCCGAGGACGCGCGATTTTTGCGTAACGTTGAGCATTGTTGGGACCAACGCTCAAGGTACACAGAGGAAGGGAGGGGTGGTAGGTGGTGGTCAAGACGGAGGAGAGAAGGACGTCCTTCTTGGGCTGTTGAGGGTTGCGGGCGGGGCGAGCCACGGCGTCGGGGAGACGGTGATAAGCGTGAGGTCATACGCCTTACCGGGGCAGCTCGGAACCACACGGAGCTTCTTTTTTCAAGCTCAGGATTGATTCCGCTTCCATGGCTCAAAATCCGCGGTCAAGTATTGGCTCGTTTGCTCTTCTCCGCAAACTGCCACCTGTATTCATGCCAGAGGGTATTATATTTATTTACTTTATCTCATCCTCTCTCCGCTGTTTGATTACTTCGACAATGAAAGGATACTCGGGTGCCTGGTCTAGACTTACATCAAATATTTTCCATCATTTGTAACCCCTAGAGCGAGGTGAAGGCTTCCGGACCCCTCCGTTGTCGTTCTGCCAGCAGGGCTCCGATGTATCTGCAGACCACGGTCAAACGCTGGCGGACTCGGTTGCTCGGAGGATCCAGGAAACGACCACGCTGTCCATATACCCCTGTTCACATCGTTCATGCTCTTCACACGTCTGGAAAACTTTCTCAAGGATCCCTCGCCGTCGGACCCTGGTCGGCCGTGCACGGGACACCGACCACCCAGGCTCCTCATGTGATGTTTTGCCGGTCTGGCGCTGCATCTCGGCCGACCTCCGCGATGTGGACCAATTTTCCTTACAGAATTGGTGGACGAGTGTGACAGGGACGACGTGGAGCGGTAAGAAGCCCGGGAAGCCCGGCTGGTCCATATAGCCCCATGGATGATGACTCTTAAGTCATTGTGGGTCATTGGAATTCAGGAAGGGTAAACAATGATAACATCGCATCTGCTTTTTCTAATATTGTGCTCGTTGATGGGAGATACAGTATGTGAGCCACGATAATCAGATTATCGCGTGTGCCGAACACGTCAGCACATGCCGAGGAGCGCCCATGACAATTCACGCCACTCAGTCAGCAGCACTGCTCGCCCGACCTCATTCCACGACGACGTCCAGACGTTTATCCATCTAATAGAAGTGAACATCCTGTGTAACTTCGGACTCGAACGTCTGAAAGCGCAAGTATACCTGTTGGGATGAACGGCCCTCGTTGGCCATATCTTCGTGCGCCTGACATCTCCGACCTTCGCGTACGTCTTTAATCCCCACTTGCTTGTCAGCCTCGGCGTAGCGGTCTAACTCTAGTGTAGACGCGAGAATGCTGGATATGCAAGGAAGATGAGACGTTCTCCGAGCGTGCACAGCAGAAGAAGGAGTCGGTGAGCAAGTGGATCCACCCGTGCAAGTGTACCCTCGTGGCACATGAGAGTGTGCGTCTGTCTGTATTATATCAACTCATTTTGACTGACTGAATATATGCGTGTAGTGTCTATTGGAATGGATTGCCAGAACGCAGCAGAGTTTGGACCCACCACCACAGTGTCCTCAGTGTAATACCCCGTTCGAATTGGCCACGAAGAGGGGGTTGGTCCTCAGATGCCTAGATTGGTTGGACAGCAGGAAGGGAACAGTAGTGAGCGCACTGATTCTCACCGGTACGCACCGTCTTTTACCACGGGCGGATAATTAACTTACTGTAATGGATGCAGGGTTCACAGGCGGGTTCCTCATACTAAGCACGACGTACGGCGTGCATGCTCTCCGGTTACTAGTGGGAAAAGAAATGTGCAAACTGATGATCGGCGAGAGTCCGAGTGAATGGCCTTTCGAGGCGTGGGTGAACCTCCCACTCATTCCATTCGCGTTGATGACCACAGTGCGTCTTCTATTTCCGTTGAACAACACGAGCTCACATGTAAACAGCAAACGAGTCGCCTAGACCCGTTCCTCCTCTCTCTCCCCTTCCTCGCCTCTCCCTACCTGCACCTAGCCGAGCACCCAGCAGGCTCCTTGACATCCTCACCCTTACTTCCCTCCATCTCGCACGCAAGAGAACCAATAAGCCCCACCTTCCCCCCATCCCCAAGTCTGCTGATCGCCCTTCTCCCTCTGGTCAAGTTCACCTACTCCTCTCTCCGGCAGCACATGATCCGCCTGCTTCTCGCCCCTGGGCATCGAGGGCGAGGTGGCGCTCTGGGGATAGCGGACGTAGACGCTGGCCCAGAAATACGCGAAGAGTTCGGCCTACGCGTGCAGGTCGAAGACCAGAATGGCAACCAGCAGAACTGGGCCCGTGGGCTGGTGCTCAATGGCACCACCGTGGGGACGTTCGTCACCTACTCCCTCTCTCTCCCTATCATCGCTTCCCTATCCGGGCGTGCCCTCCGCTGGGTAGCAGACTACTCCGCAACCCTTCGCAAGTTCCTGGCGATCGACGCACACCTCATACCGAACATGTATCGTCCCGCAGCGCGCATAGGTTTCTTGGGCCTACGTGCACCCATAGGCGTAACAGACTTGGACCCAATATGGTGGCGCAACGCTGTGGGGTTGTGCTTGTTTACGGTGACGAAGGACGCGGTGGCGCTGTTTCATGCGTGGTCGAGGAGGGAAGAAAAACGGACTAGGAGGATCGTGAGTAGGGATTTTGCAGGACTGGACCTGCAGGGGTTGGATCTGATTGTGTGAACATCTATTGAACTGTGGAGAGAGGGAGATGGAGAAGGTGAGTTGTCAGTTCGCTATTATACGTTATTGTTGTCCCCACTCTGTACACCATGATCCCATCTGAGTCATCTAGTGACATATCTACAGACCAACATCTTGGCAGGGTACTGTGCAACCCTTGGGAGTAACCACTGATTTCACACCGACTTGCCTTCATTTGTCGAGGTCCAGAGAGACGGAAACATGATTGTTGGGCGGACAATCCCAACGTCGGAGGTGATCGGCATCGGAAGTTCGGCATGTTGACATCCGGGTGAAATCCGTCTCTGCACACGACGCTCATCATCTGTCCGATATGCCGTACACACCAATATCCACCACAATATCAACTGGCGAAGCAAGTACAATTGCGGATATCTAATCGGGAGCTGGCAAGAAGTCTGCTCTGTTATCATCTTCTGCACATTCGGACCTTCGGACAACCTGGCGAATACGAAGGGCCGTATTAACCCTCGACCCACTTAGAGGAGAAGCGCTGATGCGGACCTCGCTTGCAACGAACCTCTTATACCACGGCTATTGCATACCTCTCTGCGAGGAGGCGATATTTATGACCCGCGTTGGACGGTGAACTGAACGACGAGAGATGGACAGTGCTCTGTACTTTCTCACTGTCGAGCTGCCTTGGCTGCTATTCTCACAACTGGACACAAGCGAGTAAGCGATGTCCACACACAACGAGAACTGAACTGATTGGTGTTACAGCCATCTCTCACTTCACACCACCATCCATCCACCAGCCAGGCCTTTCACCTTTCACCATCTCCCATTCTACGTCCCTCTCGCCTTCGCCCTCGTCTCGCTCGTCCTCCTCGCAGCGGCGTGGTGAACGTAAACCTCTCCTCGCCTCTGATGTTGCGGACATAGAGGAGCAATTCGAGAGTCTGGAAGGGGAGAGGCTGGGGTGGGCCGTGCTGGGGTTGGTGCTGCTCTTGGCGGCGGTGGGGGTGAAAGTTGCAGGGATGGTGAAGTTGAAGCGTGAGCGCAGATGGGAGGGCGTCGCCTGTTTGACAGTACTGGTGCGTCTATTGGCCGTTCTTAGCAGTGCTGAGCTCATTTTACCTCAGGTGTACACGCTGCACCTTGCCACGCTCCGCCTGCGGCCTTCCTTCCTCCGACCGCGGTTAACCTGGCATATCAACAGCCTGGTCATCCTCCTTTCCCTAAGCAGTCTCACCACGTCTCTCCTCCCACTTCTCTTGCTTCAGCCCTCTCCGCTTACCCACCTCTCTCCGTACGGCCTCATCCTCTTCACCCTCCTCCTCCTGTTCATCATTTGCGTCGGCCTTACCCCGCGGTATGCCCATCCCATCCCCGGCTACCCCATCTCCCCAGAACAGACGACCCCTCCAATCCAATACTTCTTCACCTACCTCTGGCTTCAACCCCTCGTCCGGCTAGGATACGCTCGCAAGCTCGAGTTGGACGACCTTCCCCCTCTTCCGGCGTACGACGACCCAGAAGTCTGGAGGCGGGAGGTAGAATGGGCGAGGAAGGGCGAATGGCTGCCCAAGTGGATCAGGAGATGGGTACCAAGCAAACAAGGAAAGATCCGTAGAACTGTGCGTCCCGCTTTTGCGCTCAGACAGCCAGAGCTAATCCAAACAGCTACTCACCGTCATCCTCTGCCTACGGCGAAACATTGCTGGCCAGTGTCTCTTTGCCCTCGGCATGGCGCTCTTCGACCTAGGCGGGCCGATTGCCATGAATCGCCTGCTACGGTATCTCGAAACTCCGTCCTCAGCGGGGATCAAGCCCGCCATCTGGGTCTTCTTCATGTTTGCCATGCCGGTGCTGAAAGGCGCTTGCTGGCAGGCATACCTCTTCATCTCCACCCGGCTCATCGTCCGCGTCCGCCTCGCTTTCATCCAAGAGCTCTATGCTGTCACTTTGCGTGCTAAGTTACTCGCCCGCCCGGCGAGTAAGGAAGACGAGAGCATCGTCGGGCGTATCAGCAACCTCATGTCCACTGATGTGGAGAACATCTTCGGCGCACGCGACATAGTGCACATTTCCGTCACTGCCCCGATCGAATGCACCATCGCAGTTATCTTCCTGTACAACATCATGGGCGCGTCCTCTCTCTTCGGCTTCCTCGTCATGCTTGTCTCTATCCCTCTGCCTGCATTCCTCACCCGCCAGCTTACGGCATGCCAACGCCAGGTTCTGCGGTACACTGACGCCCGCATGGGAACGATCACTGAGCTGCTCCATAGTATAAAGGTATTCAAAGCTTTTGGGTGGGACCCAGTCGTCATCGAGCGCGTGCATGCCGTGCGTGCTAAGGAGCTAGCAAGGATGTGGATGCGCAACATCTGGTCTGTCGCTATTGTCACCACCGCGGACTGCACGCCTATGCTCACTATGCTCGTCACCTTCTTCTTTGTGCGCACCTATCTTTCGGACTTCTCTTCCAGCCGCTGATCCCAGCATATAGCACACAGTTGTCATGCACCACCGGCTGGACAGCAGCGTCGCCTTTACCGCCATGGCAGTCTTCGAGCTCCTTCGCCAGCAATTCGTCTACGCAAGCAACATCGCCCGCCTGTGCGCAAACGCCGTTGCGTCCATCGGTCGACTCAACGCTTTCCTGCAAGAGCAAGCTGACCATGAGATTGCTGAATCTCGCCGTGCTGGGCAGGTCATCCAGATAACTGACGATGCCCCTTGGATCCAAGACGGCACGTTCGAGTGGCCTTCCACTGGCTTCAGGCTCCAGAAGCTCAACGTCCGCTTCGTCAAAGGCGCGCTTAACGCTATTGTCGGTCCCACAGGAAGCGGCAAGAGCTCGCTCCTCCTCGCTCTGCTCGGTGAGATGCCTATCGTACAGGGCCAGTGCTGCCTGCCCAGGATGCCCAGGGGTATCGCCTATGTTTCCCAGAGCTCATGGCTGAGGAACGCGACTGTAAGGGAAAATATCCTCTTCGGATGCGCTTATGATGAGATGAGGTATCATCGCGTACTGTTCGCATGTGGGTTGATTCCCGACTTGAGGCTGATGGAGTACGGCGACCAGACGGAGCTGGGCGAAAAAGGTGTGTCTGGTGTCTAGGATCATTCTATGTTTGCTGAACAGAACCAGGCGCGACCCTTTCCGGAGGTCAACGTGCCCGCCTATCCTTTGCCCGAGCTGTATATTCTTCGGCCCACACTCTCCTGCTTGATGACGTGTTCTCTGCGCTGGATGTGCACACCGTCCACCATGTCTTCGACAACTGTATCCGCGGCGAGATCCTGCAAGAGCGGACGGTCATTCTCGTGACCCATTTCGAGGACTTGGTCGCTCCTGTTGCGGCGCTCGTTTTGCGTGTCGTGGATGGGCGCTTGGAGGAGGTCCGACTTGCTGAACCGGCTCAGGATACCTCCGCGTCTGAGGAAACTGTCATCGAGCCTGAGTTGCCGCCCATCCACTCTATTCTGAACGGAAACCCGAATGCGATCAGACTAGTTAAAGACGAGGAGCGCGCTGTTGGCCGTTTGCCGAAGACGATGATCTTCCGATACATGCTGCAGTTCGGTGGGTGGCCCGTGTTCATCCTCGCTATCAGTGTGGCGTGTGGTACTCAGCTCGCGTTCCTGTCGACCACATTCTGGGTTGCACTCTGGACAAACGCTCAAAACTCGATGTCACATCTTGGTTACTATTGCGGTGGATTCGCGATCGTCCTGGCCATTTATGTCTGTCTTAGTGCCACATCTTCTATTATCCTCTACTCTGGTGCATGGAATGCTGCTAGGAAAATCCACATGTGGGTCACCATTGCCGTCTTCCGTTCGCCAATTGGCTGGTTCGACACCAATCCTCTTGGTCGCATACAGAATAGGTTCTCTCGTGACTTCCTGTCGGTCGACACTCTCATATTACCTTTGCTGAAGATGGTCGTGGACAATGCCCTGCGTGCGATTTTCCGGCTGGCGGCTATCACAACTATTCTCCCCGTCTTCGCCGTCCCAGCGATCTTTACCACCTACTTCGCATATTGGGCAGGCAATCTGTACACAGCTACTCAGATGTCTGTCAAACGAATTGTTGCCGTAGAGCAGAGTCCCATCTTCAATTCCATTGCAGATACGCTCCGTGGTGCGGAGACAATTCGAGCCTTCGATGTTCAACCAATGTTCCTCTCTCAATTGCAGGCGGCTCTGGCCCGTAGCAGTCGTGCCCTCGAGGCAAATTTTAACTCGAATCGCTGGTTCTGTGTACGAATCGATTGGGCCTCTGGCATCGTTGCCGTATCCGCTGGAGCGCTAGCTTTGTATATGAACAACCCCAATGCTAGTCTGGTGGGCTTCTCGCTCAATAACGCAGTTGGAATGTCCTTGGTATGCACTTGTTCTTCCTCATGACGCCGCTCGTAACTTTACTCCTAGACTCTCATGACTTTGCTGCGCGGTTTGAATGACTTCGAAGTTGAATTGGTGTCATACCAGCGGCTTATGGAATACACTATGTTGAAGACGGAGCCGACACCCACGCCCCAAGGGAAACCTCCTGCAGCGTGGCCGATCGCCGGAAGGATCGAAGTTCGAAACCTTCGTGTGCGGTATTTTGACGATGCCCCCGATGTCCTGAAGGATCTCAGTTTTACCATTCGACCGGGAGAAAAGGTTGGCATAGTTGGACGCACTGGTTCTGGCAAATCAACTCTTGCCCTTGCGCTACTGCGATTGATCCCTAAAGCAAGCGGACAAATTATGATCGACGACATTGACATCGATACCCTAAATTTGGACGACTTACGCCAAGCGATATCCCTCATTCCTCAGGAACCCCTTTTGTTCTCGGGTACAACCCGCACCAACTTGGACCCGTTCGGTACCTACCTATTTCTGTCGCTCTCCCAGCACGTACTGACAGGAACCCTAGATGCTCATGATGATGCGGAGCTCAATGTAGCTCTGAACAGCTCCGGAATTGTGGAATCCATGCGACCTTCTCGAACGCAATCCAGAACAGCATCAACTGTTGGGCTTGAATCGATCACCAAGGGTTCCAGTCCGGAATCGCCGGAAGGAGAAAAAGTTATAACCCTGGAAACGCTAGTGGCAGAAGGAGGTCAGAATTTCTCTCAAGGTTCGCATGCTACTTTGATTTAGTATACCTGTTCTTAATCCCAACAGGTCAAAGGCAAATTTTAGCCCTTGTTCGGGCAATCGTGCGAAGATGCAAGGTTGGTGATCCGTTGATATCTAGCCTTGTTGGCTGATTTCATGGGAAGGTTCTTTTATTAGACGAAGCTACTGCAAGCGTCGACAGGGACACAGATGAGAGAATTCAAGCATCTCTGCAAGCTGAATTTGGCAACTGTACCATCCTTACCATTGCTCACAGGTGAGAACCTTATGGTTCCTATGGAACGTTCTGTTGACAAGTGTTCGGTAGGTTGCGCTCCATCATAACATTCGACAAGGTCCTCGTTCTTGACAAGGGTGAGATTAAAGAGTTTGATACTGTGAGTCTGGTCTTTGGCACGTTCTGTAGAATCACTGATCATCGGTTTAGCCTTCCAATCTGATTCGATCAGGAGGAATTTTTGCTAGCCTTGTCGAGAAGGGTGCCGATGCGGATGAGCTCAAAGCGTTGGCGGGAGTCCAAGGTGCTCGTTCGTAGGCATATTTTCTTGTTCCGAATCTATCTTGTCGTCTGTCGCTGTTGAAATACGAGATTGTACCTCATGTAGCATCTGTTTTGTAATGTGAATCTCGTTCGATATTTAGAATACTGTTAGTGTACACGCGTGAGTCTACAGGACTTTGGCCCAGTCACATTCAAGATACGATATTCAAAGCATACAACCCATAGCGTTTCCACATAGGCATGCTAGCGTAGTCCGGCTCTGGTTCCTCCGCGACCTCCTCTTCAGAAATATGGTAACTAAGATGCGACGGCATATTTTCGACCTTCACCATTTTCGTTTGGTAGACGAGTTTGTAGCCAAAGAGCAGAATGAGAAAAGCAGGGACTGTTAAGCATGTTTGAGTTAGTGCGTAATGTTATAATAACATGGAAGATGTACTCGGGAGATAGGATGTAATGAAAATAGGCACGACTGGGCCAGAAACGGCCTGGTACTCGGCGGTCGAGTCGAAAGCAGGCGGCCATGTCTCCCCTGGTCCCAAGGCTGCTCAGAAATCAGTACATACACAGAATTTCGTTAGTTGTCGTACCAAGCCGCCAATCAGTGGCCACAAACACCGCCCTGATCATCCATTCAGACACTTGATGGAACATATCATTGACCGTCTACATACCAACTATTTGAAACCAGGACGAGACAGCACATTCCAAAGGCGTAATACGCGGCCTACAAACTATTCTTAGCGAGATAGTTTAGCCGGAGAGGTTATTCTCACATATGGTTGAAGCCAGTGCCGATGGAAATCTTCTCTTCTCCGTTGGCCGTCCTGGATCGCACGCCTGGTTCCCTGATACCATCTTCCTGAGAATCAGACCATGAATGTGCCAGATGACGGGATGCTTTGCGTACCGAATGTAAGTAAAGAGGATCCCAATCCAGGCCTGTAGCGCCGCTGCGCTTGTCATGGATGAGAGCCAATGGAACGTCTTTCCTCCAGGGTCAGCATTTGTTACTACGAGTGTAGCAATGCAACACACCTCAGCAGTCTGGCCGCCTCCGTCTTGCATCAACGCTAATCCGCTAAAAAGTCCGGCAACAGCAATTCCAACCCAAGGAATGGCGATCTTCCCCCTCCCTAATGGCTGGAACAGCCAGCCCATGAACCGAGGTGCGTGGCCCAGCCGGGCGAGGTTGAACATGAACCGGGAAGAGATGTACACATCGGAGGATGCTGCGGACCAGGCGGAGGCGAGAAAGAGGGCGTTGAAAACGTGCGGGAGGCCGCGCCAGGAGGCGAGGTTCAGGGCGACTGTAGAGGTTCAGATGCGACCACGAAGGTGGGGAAGCGTGCACGTACTGACGAAGGGAGATTGACTTGCTGTTCCGCTGGTGTTGTTCAAGTCGGGATTGTCATATGGAACTAGGAGTGAGACTATAAACACGCCAATCACATAGAAAAGAGTTCTGAGTCCCTTTACATCAGTTTCTACTCTATCCCATCCTCGAAGAAGAACGCACATTCTGATCCAGATCCACTTCAGCGCAATAGGTATATTCTTCCCCGCGTTCACCACTTCCCCCGCGGCGATAGCAGGTACCTCACTGCCAAAAAAGGAAAATGCGGCTTGAAGGAGGACGCTGAAGAATCCGAGGAAGTTCCCAAGCGCACCGGGGGCGAACATCTGCCCGTTGAAGAGCCCGGGATCTTGCCAGTAGCGAAACCAGAGGGGCCCACGGGGAGAGCCACCGACATCGATTATGAGGCCCATGACGACTGCCAGGAGTGAGTGACTGCCTACCGGCGATAGAGGAAGAGTAAACTCAGTAAGAGGATCGTGGCTACTTTGAGTCGGGTGAAGCCGACTTCAAACCGACCATACCACGCCGTGCCGAGACAGTTCGCGAGTAAGACAGTAACCATGAATGCGGCTGTCACGCCCCACTGCTTTTCTATTAGTGCCCTTCCTTCGCCGGAAAAGGCTGCTCACAGCATAATTACCTCCCGACCAATATCCAACCAGCAATACAGCAGCGCTAATCTCCGCAGGGAGCACAATAGTCCAATTATACCATGCGTTCCATCCCAGGGCAAAAGCAAGAGCCTCGTCAACGTACAGATGCGCCAAGCCGACCGGCCCCCCGATGTGGGGCTGGAAAGAGACCATCTCCCCAAAGGAGATGACCGTGCAGTAGACGACGGTACCCATAAGCGCGTAGCCGAGGACGAGACCTAGTGGGCCGCCGTGCTGCAGCGCAGTGTTGAGACCGAGGAAGAGTCCGGTTCTGCCAGTGACGTGAACGAGCGTCAGTGCTGTGGAATGCCAATCATTCCTAGTTCATACCCGATAGCTCCTCCTATGGATATCTTCTCAACTACGACACGTATCAGCTGTCCATCCCAGTCTGAGAGATAATAGAAATACTCTGCTGTCTAGTGATCTGCGCAGGGAGTGTGTCCATCACGTTCTTCCACCGAGCATGCCAAGCTTCCGCCTCGCTTGTGCCCGGATCTTGGTTTTCATGGGGACGGTTGACGCCGTTAGTTGGTGACCGACGTGGGAGAGGTACAAGCCGATAGGCAGGGCGGGACAGACGGTGTCGGATTGTTGTTGGCATGTTTGAGAACTCTCAGTGGTTGAACAGGATTAAGATTGCTAGTTAGATGGCAGGTATACTTGATACCGACGTTGTTCATAGGCTCGATAGAAAATTGGAGCAAATTCAACTCCGCTGAGCCACTTCCCTTCCAGATACACCGTCGATATACGTGGTCCCTCCAGAGCAAATTGCACAGCAATAAGCGCCCGCAAGTAAACGTAAACGTCAAGAATGATGCCTGATGATCATCTTCGGCACCTGCCCGGATTCTCGGGATTCCGCAGTTCCTTTGTCTTCCCCTGAGTTGCATGCGGTTGCGTGCCACAAACGAGGCGTTTGATAGCGCCCATGCAGATGATGAGGGAGCAAAGGAAAGGGACACGTTGAGTCACTGATGAGTTGTGCACCGCCGCCGGGAATGCTCTTATCTCTTTCGGCGACTATCACTATTTGGAGCACACTGCTTACAAGGTTGATATCACTCTAGCGTAATGGAGGATATCTTACGGGTTGGCCGGGTTGAGAGTTGGGTCACAGCACGCTTGGTGCATCCCTGGAATGGAGGACAGCGGCAACTCAAAGCTGAATCATTGTTCGTCACCCGTGCGGCCGCCGTAGTACGGTACCGTTCCAAATATATCACGGCCTGATAATGCCCAAGCACGTACTTCACCTTCCGCAGAACTTATGAGAACGATTTATCGAATAGGCAAGCGTCGTAATGGCCAGCCTGACCGCGCCCAGCATCACAACCCTGCTCTCCAACTTATCCCAGGATGAAGGATTTGCCGCCTTGTTGAACGACAGTTCTCTGCAAGCGCTGTACTGCTCTGGAGCAGGAGGTGACACAGGATCGATATGCGCAATATGCGCGAACACCGACATTGCAGGTATAGGCGTACGAGTCGCCTTCTACGCGCAGGCCATCTTCAATGGTACGTGTTGATACATTCCTGACCCACATACTTGATGGGCATTGTAGCTCTCCAAGTCCTCTACTCACCAGACGACTCCACCTCCGGCCAATGGGCCGCAGTCATCCTCACTCTTGCCCTCCTAATCCCTGCAACAACCCAGAAAGCGCAGGGCAACCTAACCCTCTTCCATGCCTCGCTCGTACTCAACTTCGCGACGCTCTCGACTCTGGCCAGTCTAGCTGTGGCACCGAGATGCACCGTTTGGCGGGCGGAGGATAAGGGATCTGGGCGGAAGAGGGAGACGAGAGGGAGGGTGGTGTTAAGCCTAGCGCTGGTCATCCAGGTGAGTGCTCTTCAGAAACCTGTGGGGCATAGCTGATAAGGAATCAGCTCGTCCTCCAATGGTCCTGGGCAGTATACATGTTCACCTCGCCCTCGTATGCCCAACCCGTGTGCAACGGTCCCACCCTCCTGCTCTTCTTCGGCTACCCAATATTCGCCTCCTCCATCGACCCGCACCTCCAACCCCCGGGTGCCCTAGCCCACAAGAGTTATTTCTTCATCTACCCATTATGGCTACTCTTCTCAATGGGCCTCACCATGGGGTATTTCGCGATCCTCTCCATATCATCGGGAGACTCGCGTCTACGCCGCCCATCAGGAAGCAAACTCATCACCCCCTACCCAACCGGAACAGCGTACAACACCCCCCGCAGCAGGGGACAGAGCCGAGTACGTCCCTCCCGTTCCCAAGCACGACGTAGTGCGAGCCCTTCGCTAGCCACCAGCCGCCCTCCCATACCTTCTCGCTTCCACAAGCTCGCTGCTCGCCTTCCCCGGTTCTCTTCCTCGCCCACTCACTTGATCCGGGACCTCATCGCTCTCCTCCTCTTCGTTGGCCTAGTCACAGCCACTGAAGTGCAACACGCGATCCAGCCTTACCTCCTACCTGGAGAAGACGAAGTAACGACTTTTGGCCAAATGGCCGCCCTGTTGCTCGCTACGGCACCGCTGTGGAGTCTAGGGATGGCGTGGTTTCGCGGTTACGAGGTGGGAGAAGGGACGAAGGATGCAGAGCTCAGGCTGCCGCTTGTTGCGGTTCAGAGGCAGACTTGGGGGTTCGTCCAGGATGGAGCTGGGGAGGGGCCGGACGAAGGGGAGAACGAGGAGGAGGAAGAGGAGCCTCGAGACAGGGGCAGGATTCGGAAAGTCGTTCTCCTCTCTCCGCAGACAACACCAGACGAGTGCCACCGCCTAAGGCTGAGAAACATGGTGGAGAATACTGAGCCGCAGATGGAGGAAGGTGCGAGAGGAGACGGATGGTACGAGTTTCCGGTGCATGGAGAAGCGGAGACGGAGGGTGGCCTGATGCTGGTTCTTGATTCTGCTGAGCAGTCTAGCAGCGAGAGCCAGGACCAAGACATTGAAGAAGAAGCGCACGTGCATGTCCTGCCGTTACAAGCAGGTGATATCTCCCGGCAAGAGGAAGAAGGCGACCAGTATCCGGCAGGCGAAGATGAGTTTGCCTACGCAGCCGGAACAACTTTCACACCACTTTCGCTTGTGGCGCCTGCAGGTCCGTTTTCAGACTTCCCTTCCCCCCTGGTGGGTTCGGCGGCTCGGACTCCATCGGAAGGAAATAGAGATATCGCACTCAGAGAGTTGCGACGATATTGATTCATCTGCTCACATGTTGTCTGTTATCCTGCAATCCTGCAATACCTTCCAATTAGTACCGCTATTGTAACCCATCCATGTGTATATCCACACTTTTATTTATCCCCCAATGTGGTCCCAATATGTTCTACTGCCACTCAATGCCCTGCCTCACACCCTCCCATACGCAATCTTCCCATCGATGATGGTTGCTTTGACCTTCGTCTTCAGGATTTCTACCTGTGGGACTTTCATGATATCTCGGTCAAGCAGAACCAGATCGGCCCGTTTCCCGACCTTGATCGACCCTAGCTCTTCATCCTGGAATGCAGCATATGCTGCGCCGAGTGTCATTCCGTGTAGCGCTTCTTGTCGAGTAAGTTTTTCCTCCGGGAACCTATGACAATATATTGATAAAGAATAAAAAGGCAAGACGTGCTACATACCAACCCTCAGGCCCATGAGGGGATGTGCCATCTGGCCGGAGTCGCGATACGGCAGCGTAAAACCCAAGTAGGGGGTTGATACCTTCCACTGGGAAATCCGATCCTATCGCCAACTCTGCGCCGCTATCAAGCAGTGTACGCCATGCGTAGGCGCCTTTGATGCGTTCGGGACCCTATCAGACGGTTAGCATAGTCTCGCAATACAGGGAAAGGGGACGAACTAAGCGCAACTCTGCGTAGCCCATGTCGCTTGTGCTGTCACAACCATGGTAAATTAAAGGAGTGCACAAATGATAGAAACATACGCATGAGTAGGTTGCATACTGGCGATCACTAGGTCAGCGTGCCTCAGCATCGGGAAAAGCTTCGCTAAGACATCACTCACCGCCCAGCTTGCTGAACCGCTGAATATCCTCTTGGGTTAGTATTTGCGCATGTTCGATGCGTGGTCGACGATCTGGGCCTTCTAGACCACTCAATGCGGTCTCGAACGTATCGAGTACAATGCGGTTTGCTCGATCCTACGCAGAACAGGTAAGACATTGTCTTAAAAACATTGGGTAAACTCACACCTATACAATGGACATCCTTTGAGCGATATAAGCACCAAATCTCATCTTCCAGGGTTCACGTACCACTTGCCAGTCCTATGTATCAAACTTCTGTCAATGCCAGAGTACATGTCCATCATCCCGGCTCACATCTTTGATAAACTGCGTGATTAGGTTTGACATCGCTTCAGGGGGACTCAAGAGGAGCCCATTTTCGTTGGGCTTGTCTAACGATCGTGTAATTATGGTCCGGGAAGAGCACCTCATTGCTGACCTGAATACGGTTCTATCATGGCCGCACCCCATGATCCCAGCGCACCTGTGTGGTCGTTAGCTAACATTCAGTTCACGGGGGGTGAAATTAGGTACCATCCATGAAGAGTTTGACGCTTCTCATGTTAAGCCGGTTATCGGCGTATCCGAGAAGTTTTGTGAAGTTCCTTCCCCAGTAATCATCACCATCAATATGGGCCATCAGAGTAATGCGTATCTGACATCATCAGCAGGGGCGTCAATGAGATACTTGATATCACGCACAGGAATCATGTCTTTATCCGCCATTCTGTCATTCTCCGTCAGAGATCACGCTGGTTGAAAATGCGGAACAAGCGCACCTGACGAAGAAATCGACATAGTTCGGATATGTCGCCGCATCTTGGATATGTGTTAAGCCATGCTCAACAGCGTCTCGCATGGTAGTCTTGTAGTACGTGAACAGCTGTACCTCGCTGTCAGGGGGTCGTTTGGCAGCTGGATGACTGCGTGAGGGACGCCAAATAAATAGAACTCGAGGAGGGCATACCGACGAACTGTCTTGCATTGTCCACGAAAACACCAGTTGGTTGTCCGCTTTCGTCCCGGACGATGAGCCCGCCGTCAACCACGGCAGGCAGAGGGTTTAGAATCTCAAGAACTCGTGATGATACCCAATATGCGTGTACGTCGATGCGGTCAAGCACAATTGGTCGACCTTTAAGCACTGGATCCGCATCAAGATCTTGCTACAAACGTGGTCAGTATGTCTTGGCAAGTTGATGAACAAAGTACGAACCCATGACGGAAACTCTCCACCCTCCCATAATGTCTGATCCCACCCTCCTCCTTGTATCCAAACGGATGTGTCGTTCAGCACTTCGGGGTGTCGTAGAACATACTCTCGAGTGCGTTTGACAACCTCTGCCAATTCTGGTCAGCGGCGGACGCCATCAACAACGGGTTTCCCTACCTTCTACTGACTGCGAGCCGGCCAACGGTAGCTGCATCGTCTTCCCATAATCTAGGATGTGCGCATGACTGTCGGAGAGGCCTGGAACTAGAGCGTGGTTCTGGTGTAGCGACTTGAAGACCAACCCGGTTTTTGCGGTCGAAGTGGGCGCTCCAAATATCGGCCCAGTCTTATGCTTGTCTCCCCACCGTTCTGTTATCTCCTCTGCAAGAAGTCAGATAGACCGGGGCATGGAGTGAAATATCCGTACGTCTTGAACCCATGTCAGCGATGAACGATCCATCCACGACCACACATTCGACCGTTGGCCGATCCAGTTCCACCGTGTAGATTTGATTTGCTTTCGAGCATAGAGCGTATGTTGCAGGGAGACTGGATGTAGGGGATTTCCATAGTACCAGCACGCCAGCGATGATGACGGCGCTGACAATAGCCTGCACACGAGCACGCAGGCTCAAGAAGTCTGTACTTGGTCGCGGTTTGGGAGGGAGTGTCCCGCCCACTCGGGCGTTCTTTCGTAGAGCATCTTGCAGCATCAAGCGCTCTTTGGCGCGATCTGCAGCCATCTTTCGTCGTCTGAGCTCAAACATGAGTGAAATAGGAGGACAAGTTGTATACTCTTTTCAACCAGAATATTATGGACATCGTCGACGAAGACGTCGGAGGCAATACGCAGGACGCGCATTCACGCGACGTTCTCCAGATTTCGTCCAACACCCACAGCCAATCCTGAGAGCGTCATTTCCTTCTGACGATCCCTCTTATCCAATCATACTGCTCAGCTCTTGTCCGACAAACAGGCGGCAGCAGCAAGTGTATGCACCCCGGACGACTGGCATATGGCATCGCCGTTACGGGTAGTGTCGCCTGCAGCTGTTAACGGGGCTGATGCAGATCTTGACAATGAGGCACCCTTGACGATTCGATCATCCGACCTCATTGCCTCACTGGATGAGTACGACGGCGATGTAGTGGGATGGATCAACGACTTGCTAGATGGGCCCGCTCAAGCGGATGGTGCCCAAAAGGCTTCACCGCTACCGCTGTCGGAGGTCGACAAACGTGTCAATCAGCTCTCACGAAGGCTCGAGATCACATCTCAAGATACCGCCGTGCAACTGGAGAGGAGCATCGACGATATCACTCGTGCAGTACCTCGATTGACATACGATCTGCAATTCATGCGGGAGAGCGCCATCTCCCTTCGACTGTCCCTCGAGACGTTGCAGACGCGGTCGAATTTGCAAATAGCAGGCACACAAACAGAGGAAACGACGAAGGCGCTGGAGGTACTTCAGTATTTGGACACTGTGAAGACTCGGATGGAGGCGTCTTTGGAGGTCCTGCGTGAGGCTGAAAGCTGGAGCACACTTGAGTCGGAGGTGACTGCTCTGATCGCAGAGCAGCAGTACGACCGAGCATCCGACAGGCTGGCCGAAGCTAACAAGTCGATGCCACTCTTCCAGAACACGCCAGAGTACGAAAGCCGGCGAGCGCTCATGGTTTCCCTGCAGAACCAGCTGGAAGCTTCGCTCAGTTCAGCCCTCGTCGCTGCCATCAACAGCCGTGACACGCACGCCTGCAAGACCTTCTATTCTATCTTCACCCGTATCCAGCGTGAGTCAGAATTCCGCAATTATTACTATGGCTCGAGAAGATCCAACCTCGTCTCGATGTGGCAACGTACTCCATTGTCGGACTGTGCGGAAGAGACTGTCGTACTGGACGCTGCTGGCCTAGATATCACTCCCCAGCAGACTGCAGCACCCATAAAGTTCTCCCAGTTCCTCTCGCGCTTCTTTACTGAATTCCTCATTATCCTTAATGAAGAACGAACGTATATCCCGGCAATATTCCCTGATCCCCAATATACTCTGTCTGCCTTCATCCAATCTCTGTTCGACGCTCTAAACCCCTCTCTGCCTCAGCGACTGTCGGCTATCTCCGAATTCTACGGTGCGAAGGCATTGCCGGAGTTGATTGAGACCTTTCGATCAACCGAGTCTCTCGCAGTGGAGATAGAGAAGATCATGGAGAAAGTTGGCAACTCCGCCTTCTTCGCAGGTACCGGTGACGAGCACCATCGACCACCACTGAGCGGCGCTCAAAAGCGATCGTCCAAGCGGATGTCGATTTCTCGCCGGATGGGGCCTGGTCGTGCATCAATCAGTCTTCTGCCAGGCCAGATTCCGTCGAGCATCGCTCCATGGGAGCAGTCACTGTTTGAGCCCTTCACGGAATTCCAGAACGAGTACGGCACCCTGGAGAGGGCTTTCCTCGAGAATAACTATCGCGCGGCTTCAAAACGAGCACGAGCGGCAGCCACTGAAGGAGACAAACCCGTCGATATGGCACGATTAGTACGTGCTCAGTCAGCAGAAGTTTTCAGCCTGGCGGAAGACGCCATGTCCAGATGTATGATCCTTACCCATGGATACGGTGGCGCTGCGCTCGTGACAGTACTTGACTATCTATTCGGGTTATTCCTCGACGGGTGTCGGTCCAATGTCACTGCTTTGCGAAAACCTCCAACAGGTGTCCCAACGCCCCAGCTGGGAACAGAGCCCCCGGATATCGATTACACCACCGAAGACTGGAACGTTTTCCAACTTGGTCTTCACCTTCTCGAGACTTGCCGAGCCATCAAGGAACGGCTGAATGTGTTGGAAAATCGACTGCGGAATAGTATGGGTCAGATCAGCACCGCACTTCGATTGGCACGTGTTGATCCGGCATCTCACCCTCTGCCCGGAACGACGAGTGGAGAGGCCCTTATCCTCGCCCAGTCCGGACTCAACTCCTTGTCACTGCAAGGACTACTGGATCTCCTTGAAAAACCTGCCGCATCTCGACCACACGTGCTTGATGGGGCGAACTCAGCTATTGTTGCCCTTACCAAGAGCTGTCAAACACTTTTGCAGAACATCATCCTGTTACCGCTTCATGCCCATCTTGTTGGCTATCCATTCCTACCAGTTTGGGCAGCCACGAAGGATCAACGCAACAAGGGCGCCTTTGATCTGAACATCCCTACTTTCTCACTATCCCCCACACCGATCATAGCCCGCGTTGCTGAAGGCTTGCTGAACTTGCCTCGCTTATTCGAGGTGTATGCCGACGACGACGCACTTGCTTTCTCGATCGAGACCTTACCGTTCGTAGATGCGGAGTCTTTGAACGCCCTCGGTCAAGATGATCAAATTGGAGAACCACTGAGCCGGGTACCCTCTCATCTTTCTGGCACAGCACCACCGAGCGAAGCACCCACCCAGACGCAGGCACCCATAGTCCTAAGTGCTGAAATCGTGTCCTCGACTTGGCTCAGCTCGCTCGCACTATCACTTGTAGCACATCTGACAGCCGATATCCTTCCCACAATCGTTTTGTTGTCGTCGGCTGGTGCTGCACAACTGGCGTCCGACCTGTCATACCTGTCTAACATCGTACGAGCGCTGAATGTCGAATGGGATGATTTGGAAAGGTGGAAGGAACTATCAGAGTTGTCCGATGACGAAGGCAAAGAGAGGTTGGGGCTAGCTCCACTGGAGGAGCAAGATGCACCAATGAAAAGCATCGCAAAGATGCGTCGCTGGACTTCTTGAAATAGATGTACAATAGCTCATCATTCGATGATAGTACTATCTCCTACACATCGCATAGTCACTAATACAACTCCGGAACAGTAATAATTATCGCCCGTAAGGATGGTAATTGTGCTGACCCCGACCACCTTGTCGCATCGGTCCAACACCGCCTTGCGCACCCGGTGGGCCACCAGCCCGCATCGCTGCAGGTCCTCGAGGAGCATTCGGAATGTTGCCCCCGGTAGTTCCAGGCAGTTTTTGCGCACCGGTATTTACAGGGCTCTGAGTTGGAGCGGGACCAGGACCTCCAGAGCCTGTGGGGCTCATCACTTCTTGTGCTTGAGCGGCACCCATTGGTCCACCACCCATGCCCATACCTATTCCAGGTGCTCCTGCCCCACGGCCCGCACCAGCACCCGCACCCATCTGCCCCATCCCCATCCCGCCCATCCCAGGAATCCCGCTCATACGTCCCATGCCCATCATACCCATATTCCCCATCATGCCCATGTTTCCCATACCCATCCCGCCCATACCCATCCCCATCCCAGGCATCCCGCCCATCCCTCCCATGCCCATATTTCCCATTTGCTGCTGCATCATCATCTTCTGCCAAAGCTGGGCCATCGCTTGGGGATCGAATGTGCTGCTGCCGAAGTTGCCGGTTGAACCGTTTTGGTTCCCAGGTGCCGGCGCACTTCGATTGTAACCTCCTCCTTGATTGAACCCACCGCTGCCGCGAGTAAAGTTATCGTTATCTTTCTTGATTGCACCGCGCGGCTGTGCGATCTTCACCTCGATCTGGGGATAATGAGCTACAAAGCAGTGTATGACCGACTCCGTTACACACCGGTTTGCCATCGATGGAGAGGATGCCCTGACCAACCAACTTCTCCGCACCCTGACCATCCTCAAAAGTGACAAACCCAAATCCTTTACTACGACCAGACTCGCGATCTACCATTACTGTCGAATCTATGACTGCACCGAACTGGCTGAAGAAGTCTCGCATAGACTCGGACGTGACGGACGGTGCTAAGCCTCCGATAAACAGCTTCTGCGTCTTCTGGTGTTCAAGACGAGGAATAGCTCTCTTAGGATCAATCTATCAAAGAAATCAGTCACTCTGATCGACTGTACTCTTCCAGATGCGCTCACAATCTTGCCGTCCAAGTGGTGTTCCCTCACCATGACGGCATTCACGGCAGCAGGTTCTCTGAATGTCAGGAAGGCAAAGCCTCTGGAGCGACCACCTGCATCTCGCATAATAGTACAAGCATCGACTTCCCCAAACTGCTCGAAATATCGACGTAAGGATTCTACACCACGACGAAAGGCACTCAGTCTAATGGTTACGATGTAGGGAGGAAATCTAATTACCATCTGTCGTATCCCAGTTCAATCCACCGACAAACATCTTCCTGCATTATCCATAGATGTGCACGCAAACAAAGGCGGACGGGTGCACGACGACAAGCGAGCAACGGGAATATAGAAGAAACAAGCAAATCAGTCAGCAAATATTCAACGGTTGTTAGGTAAGGTGAACGGATAACGTAGCGACATGGTATCGAGCGTCTAAGCAGTGCTAGCATATCCTTGACTAGACTCCATCTGTGAGGTATGCAAACGTGTAAGGAGCTACGTATCATCGTGACTTCCCGACCCCGCTCTACGTGCTCGTAGACGACTCGATCCCATGCCGCTCGATCAATGCAAACATGGAAGAAAACTAACCCTTCATCTGGCATCTCGCTCGGGCGAACATTGCTTTGGAAGCCACCCCTAGCTGCAGATTGATCGCCGTCGTCGAGAGGTTTATTGAACTGCGGGAACGGGGGAGGTACACTGTCATTGTACCCTCCAACAGGACCAGAAAGCCTTGTCTGTCTGGGTTGCTCAGATTCAGAAGAGAATGTCATAATCGGCTGAGTATTGAGCGGTGGCTCTACTCTAGGTAGAGACGCTGGAGGGGCAGATACAAAAGTACCGATGGGACTGGGCGTAGACGAAGGAGCAGGAGCAATGCTTGCAGTAGGACCAATACTAGGCGTAATAGACGATGTAGGAGCAATAGGCATAGTAGATAGTCCAGATAAGTCAGCGGCTGCCGACTCCACCACCTTCAATGCCTCGGATGTCTGCTCTACACTCGCATCTTGGGCAGTCGCTGCTTCATTCTCTTCAGTGCCGTACAGGTCTGACTAATGAGTCAGCTGTGAGATTTCGCAGATATTTATTCCATGCGCACCAGCATACAAGTCTGCTTCGTCGTCAGCAGAGGCCATTGTGGTTGAATTACTGAGTTGAGCCTAAAGAGCAGATGAAAGGAGAGAGCAAGAAGTAGAGTGAGAGAGGAGGCGACCGCCGTGCCAGGTGTTGTGCGCCAGAGTGGCGAATCGGGCCGGAACCAGATTGAGTCCTTAGTTTTGTTCAGGGCAAGCCACAACGACGACACAGCCACACATGATTTCACGCTCTTTCCTACCGTCACTTTTATTTCGGTGGACGACTCATCCCTCTGCAGGATAATTAAAACTGCCATGCTTCTCAGTCAGCCATGTGTGCTCGTTCAATTGCATACTGTCAATATTCCCACCCCGAAAATGGCGCCAGGTCTGGCCATCACTTCCGACTTCGCGAACCTCGGCGACTGTGCATTACGTAAGTTGTCAAAGATGTGACGTGTCGAAGCTCACTAGCAAGAACAGAAGGAACACATAAGGATATAATCATCCTTTCCCCTTTTGATAGCCACCAAAACTCGCGGTAAACACCTATTGGGAACATTGAATGTGCCTGAAGTGGTGGAGGTACCGTCTCGTAAATCGGTCAAGGTCCGGCTTATTATCTTGCGAGGTGTTCACAAGATTGTGATAAAAACGATCGGAGGTCTGCCGCATATATCGCGGAATACATTCCGCAGAGGTGTTAGTACTTGACGTGTTGCGCAACATCATCAGCTTAAAGACTATGCCGCTACATCAGGAGTTGGACCTTCGAGGTATCGACTCGTCTCTTCACACGACCGCGAATAGGCTTACAACACTATTCTTAGGTCCATTTGTTCTCAATGACCGGATGTGTATTTATGCCATGTTTAGATTGACGAAAGCCGAAGCTGAACTCCAGAACTGCTGTATACGCCGGCCAAGGGTGCCCTCTACCCACAATCCCAGCTCGGATGAAGAGGAGACATCGGCCTTTCTTCAGCCACAGGATGCGCCTTTACGTGGGAAGCACACAGCCTCTGATATGTGCCCACAAACATATGTTGACGCGTAGGAGCGCGTTCTGACCCGCCCACTCATCATGCCAGCATGCCCGCAAATCGACCAACCGCATGGATAATTATTGCTGCTGAATTCGAATCGGTGTCGCCAGGGTTTATTACACCCGCGAGCCCTAGATCGGGATGCATGCCTTGTGGAGGACCGATTCCGTTAGCTACCGAGACGACGGAGCTGTTCCGCAATTCTACTATGTTCTATGTTCTCATGGCCGACTCGAACATGACTACTAGCTATAAAGCTACAGCCCTCGTCTGGCGAAACTGCCAGGTCTAGTCATCACTTGGTTCATCCCTTTCGCACAGCAGCGTCACGGGATTCAACTCCGACGCGGGCTGGGGCGATAACTTTCTCATTCAGTCGAATTACATCACAGGTAAGCCACTATATGCTCCTGTGACCGATCTTCTCATTGAGAGATTTTTTCTAGCACACATCCAGCCACCCAGCTTCAGCTGTGCGGAAAGCATGGAACCGTCTATCTTCCAACAGAATGATGTGCTTCATCTTATCTGCGGATTTGTTCCTCCCCGGACTCTCCCCAAGCTTGCTAGGGTATCTCGCCTTCTCCACTACTCCGTGCTACCATATATTTGGAAGAAGCTTGATCAGCGTACTATCGCTTGCCTGACCCGTGGAATTGACTTAACGGCACAACTGATGTCGCACTTCAAGTTACATGCCTCTCTCGTCCAAGACCTGACTTTGGACTTCTACCTGCAACGCCGCTTTCGTCCCTCCCTCATTATCGCGCTCGACGAAATCGCCGAGCATGCGCCTGCGACAGAGTCAGTTCTGCCTAACCTTCGAAGATTCCGCATATGCGCTAGCGAAGCGTCCGATCTAACCTACACACATTATTTCCTCGGTCCATCATTATATCAACTGGAAGTGGGTTGCAGCGGCTTCAACAATCAAATCACTGATGATGGCCACTCGGAGAAGGTCGTTACAGAGCTTTTATTAGCAATCAAGTCGCGCTGCACAAATTTGCACACGCTCTCTTTTCGGGGCATGCCGTGGTTACGAGACCTTCCCCTTGTGGAACAGCTGCTGGCCAGTCTCTCTACTGTCACCACGTACGACGGAGATGGCGTGGTTCTTTCGCCAAATCTGTTGAACCCTCTCGCGAGGTCGACGAAACTGGAAGACTTAAAGATCCTTATGCGGCCGGCACAATACGACGTAATTGATCCTTGGGGTGATCTCCCTTTGGACGGTGTCTATACCGATGTACTTCCCCTGCTCGAGAACCTCCGCGACGTTATCTCTCCTGCCAGCTTCCCTTACTTGCGCCATATAGAGCTCAACTGCGATATACAAGTCGCAACCGCTTTGCTGAGCTTTTTACATTCCACGCTCCAGACTATCACCGTGGTTTGCTCAAATCGAAGGGGCCTGATCGCGCAGTCAGACCTCGATAGCCTTGTCGACATCATGACCACTTTCGCCACGTCGCTGCATGACATCGATATGACCATCATCGAACCGTTTGATCCTCTCATGCGGCGAGGTATGCCAATATCTTGGAAGACCTTCGCTCCGTTTCTACGATGTAGCGAAATCGAGCGATTCAGGCTCGTATACGACTCGTCCGACAATTTCGATTTTTCACAGTCCTCCGAAATCTCCCGCGCGTGGAGAAACATAGAGTCATTCTATTTGGATTGGGATCCTCCAGCACGACATCGGACCAAATGTGTCAATCACACCGGATTGCACGATCCACGCAGCCTCAGCATTGTGGATATGCTGCAGTTCGCCTTCCATTGTCCTGGATTACGCAATCTTCTCGTTGCTTGGTTGGACGCATCTGGAAGCTTAACCGTCCCATCCAACTTACCAACCGTGATGTGGCCATTGACGTTGGGCGTTGGGTATGGGCAAATGGAGTGCGCTCCCAACGTGGCGGATTTCCTCCGGAAGGTGCGGCCAAATGTCCAGTTGGAGTGCAGGGCGTCCTACGGACCTGAAGGCCCACGAACAGCATGGAAGAAAGTCCAGGAGCTGTTGAAGGCGACCCGCCCCTAAAACATGCCGTCTTCCTCCTTGTGACTGGGTTCAGAAGTACCGTGTTCTGTATCCATCAGGCAAGTGCTTTTAGAGTTGATCGCCGCATGTCATGGGGCTCCGTCTGTGCTCGCGAAGGCTTCTCGATTATATTATTATATGAGGCACTTTCTGCGATCTCGTTATACTGAGACAGATCTTGGTCGACCTAATTGCTTGCACCCCAGTCCCCTGCCTTCCCATTTGCCAGCTGCATGCCGGTCCGCCAGCGAAATACTCGCATCCTCATATCACATGACTGGGCGAGGCAGAGTCGAATCCATTTGTCCATTCGCTAGAAGAGCAGAAAATGATATTCTGATCGCCGGCACGTATAATTTGCCTGTTTTATCTAGCCAGCATACGGAAACCAGTACTCAAGATGGGAGTTTCGGCACTGACCACAACGGAAACTGGATCGAAGCATATTCCGGGTACAGTAAGGTGTTAGAACAACTTGATTTCTCGAAAAGAGGGAATATCAAGACTGTCAACAACATGCAGCCCTTTCATCCCCCACCTACTAGTAGCTCCCCACCCAGCATTTACTCCGGATCCGAGATGGTCGCCGATAGGACAGTTGTTGGCGGAAGCAAATGCCCCTTCACGAAAAAGTGCACCAAGGAACGCGCAAGACGTCCAAAGGGGCCCCGCTCTATATTGACTCGAATCACATCATTCAAAAGGTCAATAACGGCCACGACCCAATTCTTACGGGACTCAGTACATCTACGTTGACCACGACCACGACATCCATCGAGTGCTCTTGAAAGACCGCAAATCCGATAGTCCAGCACTAATTCGCACATATTACGCGCTCACCTCTCGTATCTGAGCGCTTTCACATACCTCTGTCACAATCATGGCAGAGAGCAAAGCAAATGGTTTGCCGGAACAGGTGGAGATTCCGGTCGAGGAGATGACGCCGTTAACGCCTGGGATTATTACTGTGAGTGAATAAAAGCACAGGGATCAACTGGAATCCTGACACTTGCACACAGCGCCAAGCTACTATCAACATCGGTACGATCGGTCATGTCGCTCACGGAAAATCCACTGTCGTCAAGGCAATCTCTGGAGTATTGACTGTACGGTTTAAGAATGAGCTAGAGCGCAATATCACTATTAAGCTTGGTTATGCGAATGCCAAGGTACGTGAACCCTCACCTGCTGTTCAACGTTCTCTGACACCGCTTTCAGATCTACAAGTGCGAGAATCCAGCTTGTCCTCGACCAGGATGCTACAAGTCATACCGGTCGGACAAGGAGGAGCACCCACCGTGCGAGCGACCGGGATGCAATTCCCGAATGAACCTGGTCCGTCATATTAGCTTCGTCGACTGCCCGGGGCACGACATTCGTAAGCACTCCAGGTGGAATCTCGTGTTTCATCACTGATGAAATGGATTATATAGTCATGGCTACCATGTTAAACGGTGCTGCAGTCATGGATGCTGCATTACTGCTCATTGCGGGCAACGAGTCCTGCCCTCAGCCCCAGACGTCGGAACATCTCGCTGCTGTAGAAATCATGAAGCTCGAACACATCATCATTCTACAAAACAAGGTTGATCTTATCCGAGAACAGCAGGCGCTGGAGCACCATAAAAGTATAGTAGACTTCGTGAAAGGTACGCATACTACGTCATCTCCGCCGGTGGCAATATGTATGCTGAAACGCCTTCAGGCACCGTCGCCGAATCCTCTCCCATTGTTCCCATATCCGCCCAGCTCAAGTACAATATCGACGCCGTGAACGAGTACATTGTAAAGCGCATACCTATACCCGTCCGAGACTTCACCTCGGACCCGCGACTAATTGTCATCCGGTCATTCGACGTGAACAAGCCCGGTGCAGAGGTCGACGAGCTGAAGGGTGGTGTTGCCGGAGGGAGTATCCTCGCCGGTGTATTACGAGTAGGTTCCGTTCCTTAAATCGTAGAACGATGTCACTGACGATGATATAGGTGGGACAGGAAATTGAGGTTAGGCCCGGTATCGTCACAAAGGACAATGATGGGCGAGTCCACTGCCGGCCAATCATGAGCCGTATCGTTTCCCTCTTTGCCGAGCACAATGACCTCAAGTTCGCCGTGCCAGGTGGGCTGATCGGTGTCGGCACACGGATCGATCCTACTCTCTGTCGTGCGGATCGGTTGGTCGGTCAAGTGCTAGGCGCAGTCGGCAAGCTTCCAGCCATCTACACCGGTTTGTTCTCGGAACATCATACCCTATTCCCCCAACTGACACGAATGCAGAACTCGAAATCAGCCTCTTCCTCCTCCGCCGACTGCTCGGCGTAAAATCCGACGACAAGAAGCAGACCAAAGTCCAGAAACTGACAAAGGGCGAAGTCCTCATGGTCAACATCGGTTCCACATCCACAGGCGGGAGGGTCATGAGCGTCAAAGCCGATCTGGCAAAGATCGTCCTCACCAGCCCGGCGTGCACCGAGATTGGTGAAAAGGTCGCTTTGAGCCGGAGGATCGAGAAACATTGGCGGTTGGTCGGTACGTGCTTGCTTTCATCTGCAGCTGCAGGTGTATGGGGTCGGACTCGGACTGACGTGCTTTAGGATGGGGAAGCGTGCGCCGTGGTGTGACGCTTGATGTGGATTAGCGAGGATGTACGGCGGACGGTCGCTGTTTGCTGTGTACTTGCTCGTGGTTAATGACATCATCTCATGTATTCAGTTTCTTTCCGTTGCTCGAGCTGACAGGGATGAACCAGTTCGGACGCAGTGGGGTGCCCATGGATCGGGATCTGTCCTGGCTATCGAGTGGAAGTCCTGTAAATTCCCCAACCAACTGGATGCTATGTCTCCCTCGAAGTTGTATATTCACTCCACTCTGTTTTCGCTTTCCTCGTTCATCTGAAAGTCTCACTCCACGGGATGACCAGCGTTCCCCCTGTCAAACGTTCAACACAAACCCGGCTTGCACCCTTCGCATCTCATACCGCTCGTCCCGTCCCACGAAGCAGGCAGGGCACCGGGCAAGTCGGCAGTGTCGCGCCCAGTCTCCGCCAGTACGAGCGGTATAAATTCACTAGCTTCCTTTCTAGCCGTTTTTTTGTCCTACGATGGACAGGAAACTAGACCATCCAGCAGCAGGTTTGTTACCAGTCAGCTCAGGGAGGATGCTACAGTGCCAAAGAGGTGTGATACTAGTACTCTACCCTTGTTGGGTTTGTGGGACTGGTTTGCACGAGGTTTGATCAGTCCGTGCCGGTGGTCTAGCCTTCAGCCTGAAGGCTTCGAGGAAGTCGTCCGAGATGGTTCTCGCAGGGTCTCAAGACCTGCCACTCCCTCTCTGAGAGTACTAGCGCAGCCCACTCATATTCCCAATGAGGCTGAGAGGAAGAAGACTGAAGCTGTCAAGCTAGTCGCACGGTCATCTCAATTCCCTGCAAGCCCAACGTACGAGTCCCAAAGCACAGATCGTATCTCTCATCGATACCAGGGTACCAGTTTCTTCCTAATCACCGGCGGCGGTTCACCGGTTCAGAGGAATATTAATAATACCCTGAGCTATCCACCGTCTGCTGAGAAGAAAGAGCTCCATAGCCTTCCCAACCCTGATGTTCCCCCACCGGCGCTAATTAAAGCAGGCACGGGTGCTTACGGCAGGATAGGTCATATCTTCCCCCTTTCTCTTTCTTTCTCTTTGGCCGCGGCACGACCCTCCCCTCGAGCCTGTCTCTCGATGCGCTTTGCCTGCTGTTATTGACATCGCTCGTTAGGAATTTGGATTCGAATTCGAAGTCTTATTCTTGGATATGGGTGCTGGGTCTGTAGAACGTGCTTGAATTGGAATGCAGGGAAGGGAATCACGAGTCACGAGTCACGAGTCTCGAGTCTGTTGAGTATGACCCTGCGAAGGCTGTCTTGTCTGCCTGTCTGCCTGTCTGGTTGGCTATCTGGTTGTCTCGACGCTGGCTGGCACTCTGAAGGGAATGAAAGACTAGAAATATTCTCTGCCAAGATCGACTCATTCCCTATATCCAAGTGTGTTTACATTCTCCGTACGTGCTATCACTTCCTCCCTCCTATCGCCTCTCCGCTCCCCTCACCTCAGCTTAGCGCTCCTCCCTCCTCCCTCTATGATACACGGCAGGAAAAGATGCCCAACCTGCTCACTATCCTCCGTCTTCCGGGCCTCAGACAGCGAAGGATGTCAGCAAGCGCTATCCCCCCTCCCGTGCCTCCCAAACCCCGAGCGCGGGCACTGACGCTCGTCACCGGACCAACAACCAGCTCAACTCCTACTCCTACTCCCAGACCTCCTGTCGTCCCTCCCCTTCCTGCCCCTCTTCCTACAGAACTCCAGCCGGGGAAACAGATCCAAGAGCCTACAAACCCCCTCCCCCTCCCCCTCCCCCTCCCGCTCAACCCAGTACACGCCCCGCTCCTGAAGCTCAAACGCCTCACTCTGCGAAGGAAACGTCCTTCTTCCCCCAAGCCCAAACCCCTGAAGCGGGAAAAGACGCTCAAGCTGCGCGGTATGGGCGTGTTCGTCAGTACGACGGTGGAGGAGGTGGGCCCCTTTCCTCTCCCTCTCCTCTACGTCAGGGGTGGGCTGATGTACGCGTATGAATGGTTGTAGACATGGGAGCGCGCACTGGTGTTCGTCCCCTCTCATTCTAGGACACCTTCTGCTGCGGGCCCCTCAGCAAGCCGGACGAAACGCGCAAGCCGCCGCCTTTCCCTCCTCACGCACAGTCGTACCTCCTCCGCTACCCTCCCCCGCACACAGGGGCACAACCGAGCCCGGTCGGCGGGATTTATGCCCCTAGGAGAACGGGCCACAGTAGGGAGGAGGTTTAGCCAGATGGTACGTCCCAGTCTTGTGCTACTGGGAGAGAGGGGCTGATGTTCCCCTTTGGTTGGGCTGGCGCGTAGGTGAATAGGAGGACGAGTCAGCAGCTTGTGGGGGCGTTCGGCTTGCTGGAGTTTGCTCCTCTGACTGGGAGTGCGAGTGCGACTGCTGTAGCGGTATCGGCACCTGTAGCTCTGGATCTGGCAATACCCGCACCAGCGGCAGTGGATTCGACGCCGTCAGCGCCAACACCGGTCCCAGTACCATCAGCACCAGCACCCGCATCCTCCTCATGCGCAGAAAGCCCAACTCTCGCATCACCTGCTCACCCTCTTGCCCTACAAGATCCAACCCCCAGTCCGGTACTGCATGTCCCGCCCAACACCCCTACAGAGCCGACCCGCCCTAGGGAGGACAGACTCGTACTGAGCGACGCAGGAATGCGGCGGTTGAAGGTGGGTTCTTATCTCCCACTAGGACACGCACTGATTAGATGCTTGGCTGCTTGGGTAGACATTGGAACGACGCTCTGCGAGTCGGGTGACGCTGAAGCGTTTGACGGGTTGAGCTTTCCCCTGAGGGGGTTGCGGTGTGAGGTACATGTAATGTTTACATCACTCTTTGGAGTACTAACAGACTTGGATTGATTACACGCTCGTTTACGCACTTTGTACACGCTCGTTTATACATGACACTCGTTGTAGAGGACTGGATATTAACTAGTAATTGTGAAGTAATGGACAGAATGAATTGACTTGTTACCAATGGATGGTTGCTGTGTTCGCACCGCCCCAAGTTGATACGGTTGCCGTCCACTCTGTATGGGCGATGCGATGCGACATTTCAACTGAATTCTCTTACACTGCGTACACTGCTTTATCTCCACAAATTACTCTTCAACTTTGGCATTTCGAACGCTTGTGTGACCAGGCACCGGTGCTTTTCATCGCCTTCGAGGCACTGCTCTCAGGGAACGTCGAACATTGGATAACGACACTTCGAGGAGAGAAACGTTTAACCATTAAACTTGTACTGTCTACACACCTGAAACCAACGTCAAACAAACGAACGAAGACAACCCTGTCAGAGAGAAAAAGTGTCAGATCGATGATCTCGGCGCATATCAACCAATCGGGGGATGCTGCATCTCACAGAGCACGCCCCCCGCCGTTGTCCATGCCCGGCACCCGAACGTCCACAGGTTGGGAAACAGACTCGCACATCATGCTCGAGAGCAGTATCCCCTATTCTGCGACGGGGGACGATGATCCATGGGCGTTGGAGGTCGAGCAGCTGCAGGAACTGGCGAGGAGCGTCAGGGGGAACTTGAGGTTGAGGCCTATTAGGAGTTTTGTCGATCTGAAGGAAGGGGCGAGTGCGGTTAGTGAAGGAGGAGGAGAGGGAGAAGGCGGTGTGCGTGTTACATCTGTCGTGCCGCCCTCTGCGCCAGCGGTCTTGGCCGGACAGAACGTATCGCCCCCAGGAGAAGATGCACTGCCTGTACCGACTCCTCTCGCCGTCACTGCTCCTTTGGACGACCCTCCAAGTCCGGAGAGCGCCTACCCGCCAACACCTGCCAACACTCACCCTGCTCCTATTGGTATTCTACCTCCTGTCCCTGCTCTACCCGTCCTGGGTGACGTACGACCGGTCGGAGTCATGGAGGGAGGAGGTATACAAAGTGTACGAGATGTTGCGGCGCAAGGGGATGTTCGGCCAATGTTCACGTTACAGCCCCTCGCGACATCATCAACTTCCCCGCCTCAACCACAGCTACAACACGTATCACCCCCCATCATCCCTCATCCTGCCACTCGACGACCACCATCCCTCCCCACCCACCCACAAGCCCAGTCCCCATTCGCACTCGCACTCGCTACTGCCATCCCTACCGGGACAGTGACGCCAACAGCGAAGCTTACCTCTCCGCTACGTACAGGTCCACCACCATCGGCGTTCAAGCTTCACCTCTCACCCGCTACCTCCGAGTCTGACGCCAGCTCCCTCCCGTCCATCCTTTCCGCTTCGACAGCCGCGAGCGAAGAGACCGTTATGAGACCTGTGCCAGAGCCGCCGTGTACAGCGCCCCTTAGCCGCCCACCTAGGCGCCCTGCCCCAGTGCAAGCAGGACATCCCCATCCTCATCCCTCCCACCCGCAAACCGCACATGCACATATTGCGCACGCCGCGCACACCGTGCACACCGCCCGAACACCACACGTCCACAGTGCGCCCTTACGCACCTCATTCTCCACCGCGAGTCCACCCCCCGACCCCAGTGGCCCGCAGCCGCTCTCCGCCTCCTCCCTCCTCTCCCTCCTCCCAACGCCTTTCCCTTCGCTCAACTCCCCCTTTCCCCAACCGCTCATAATCGACACTCGTCCCTTGCCGTCCTTCCTCTCCCTCCGCCTGAGGCAAAGTATCAACCTCGCCATCCCCTCTCTCATCCTCAAGCGGTACGCAAAACAGGGTCAAGGGATGGAATGGGACCTTCTCAGAGGGTACGTGACTACCGAGAGCGGGCGCGAATCCTGGGACGCCCTGCTCGGTTCTGCCCTAGGTAGGACGCGTAGCCAGAGATGGAACGGCGATATCCTCATCTACGATGAGGAGATGGACGAGTCTACGCGGGCTTCTGTGCGCGCACTCTCCCAGGCCTGGACGCTCGCTACCGTGCTAGTACCGCTTGTCGGAGCAGAGCATGTCTACTACCTCGTTGGCGGGTTCTCGGCCCTCAGGACGGTGCAGGACGCTCTCCCCCACCTCGTAGCAGGGGAAAACTACCTCGACCCTACACCTCAGCAACAGCAGTACGCCTCGCCCATGCTCAGCGGGCAGGAGCTCACCGTCGGCGGGTCTCCGAGGATGCAGCTGACACCCAATACAGGCAGGAGCAGTATCGGCCCGGGTACGGCAGGGACCAACGGGACGAACGGAAGTGCGGGTCTGTTCAGTCTCAGGACGGATGTGGCCAGCGCGAGGAGGAGGGTGATGCTCGAGGTTGACCCGCAGAGTCCTGTCCCAACAGGCTCGTCGTCCTCTGCTTCTGCATCCTCTGGTTCTGCATCAGCCTCCACCTCGGGCTCAGCATCACATAGCTCCCTCTCGCAAGGCAGAGTCCTCCATTCCCCTGCACCTATCCCGGCTGTGGGCACCCTCCGACCCCTGGGGCTAGCGCTCGTCGACGCTCCTTCTCCCCCGCCTAGCGCGGCGTGCTTCCCTCAACCTCCTAGGCGGCTAGGCAACTCTGCCCCAGGGGACATGCCCATGCTCGGCTTAGCGCTGAACCAGCCTCTACGCAGTCCTTTACCGCCCAAGCTCCAGCTCCGCACTGCGCCAATAAGGAGCAACACTGTCCCCGTCCCGCCCTCCCCTGGCCTGCTGAGGATCACCCCTCCCTCGCCTAACGCACCTGGCCTGCAGCCCCCCAAGAGCCCACTACGTTCCCCTTTACCTCTTCCTCTCTCCCCTATCTCCCGCGGCCCGGCTAGCCCGCTCCCCCCGCCTTCGCCCCACCTCCGCCCACATACGGCACCGTTCGACTACCCCCCTCGGACGCACTCAGACTACCCGCACGCGAATGCCCAGCTACCCCAGACACCGACATCCAGTTCCGCCCCTCAGCCTTTCACTGTCTCCGAGATTCTGCCTGGATTCCTCTACCTCGGGCCTGAGCCGAGCACGGATGAGGAAGTCGAGCAGCTGCTTGATCTGGGTATCAAGCGCATCCTCAACATGGCTGAGGAATGCGATGATGATCAGGGCTTGGGGCTCCGGCGGAAATTCGAGATGTACGAGAGGGTGCCTATGCGGGATACGGTGGATGAGGAGAACATCGGACGGGGTGTCCGCGCGGCGTGTTTGTTCTTGGACGACGCGCGCCTGCATGATTCGCCCACGTATGTGCACTGTAAAGCCGGCAAGAGCAGGAGCGTGACTGTCGTCATGGGCTACCTTATCCACGCGCATTCCTGGCCGCTGAGCAAGGCGTACGCGTATGTGATGGAGAAGCGTCAGGGGATCTCGCCGAACATCGGGTTCGTGAGCGAGCTGATGAAGTTTGAGGAATCCCAGTTAGGGACGAAGAGCGTTGGCGTAGGGGAAGAAGGGGGGAATCATGCGAGGAGCGCCAAGCCTGTTGGGCTGGGACTAAGGAGGATAGGAAGAGGCGCAGGGGCGAGGGAGAGCTTGCCCCCTCTGTCGAGAGGTGCGAGTGTGGAGGACGTGTTGGCGCTCACGGGGACGAGGGACGAGGCTGATCTGCCGAAGGAGGAGCAGAGGACGCCTGTTAGTACCAGGCTTGGGGATGCGGCTACGGAGAAAGAGGTCAAGGATGCTGATGGGCGGTATGTGCATGCCAGGTACGTTTGGTTCTTGTCTAGGTTGTAAGGATGGATGTTGATCGAGTGTGTAGGAAGGTACCGGTTGATAGGAGGACACTGCAGCCACAGCGGCGCGTTAGCAAGGCAGGCCTCGAGAGTGCTTGGCTTAATTATGTGCGGCCTACTGCTTAGCGAGTGCCCCAGTTGGAGCGCTAGCCCTACACCAGGAAGGTCGCATTTCCGATATCCAAGCTTGAGACCGGGACGGACTCGTATGATGCTGAGGACGGCGGAGGACATTTTCAAGCATTTGTATTGATATAAAGCATGATACCCATTGATACCCCCTTTTCATCTTTTCATCTGGTCTCTTCTTTTGAGTTGCTTTTTTTTCTGTTCACACCGGTGTTTATGAGGTGTTTTGTTTTTTGGCCAGTTGAATGAAAGTTGTTTGTGGGTTTTCTCCCTGTGAAATATGTTGCACTAGGTGACAGTTCGCCTCTTGCGCTCAACTATCTCTTCGAGCTGGTCCAATTACCGTGAGAGTGCCGGATTAACAGAAGTACGTACGTTGTTCGGATTCGGCATCGTTCAATCCCGGTCAATTTCCCTTTCCCTATCATCTTCCACCACCTAAGCGCCCATTAATCTCGGCCGTCAGCAGCGATGGGGAATGGAGGACTAAATACGGAACTGCTTGATAAGTGATGACTGTGTCAGAGATGGGGAGTTGTTGCTTGATTCTGCTCACACTTGCGTCTCTTGCTGCTTGATCGCTAGTGCTACGATGTCACTGCTCAGGATTGGAGTCGATGTCGGAGGTGCGTTATCAGGTATTCTTCACGGTGAGATAGCGTTCTGACACAATTGAAACGAAGGAACAAACACCGATGGAGTATTGATCGACGTTTCCCGGTCGAATGAGCCCAACCGTGGGATCTTGGCCCACTTTAAAGCTCCCACCACTCCTAAGTGCGTTGATCGTGCATGTCGATGAAGAAATCATTGGTGCTGAGATTGCCGTAGTGTGTCGGAGGGCATCGAGACTGCCGTACGGACGGTACTAGACGAGGCGAAATGTGATCCCAAGTCTATCACTTCGCTCACGATTGGTGCGTCTTGCCCTTCTAGCTGTCAGATCGTTCTCATTGACCATCCAATAGGCACGACTCACTTCATCAACGCCGTCCTAGAACAAGATGTCCGTCGCTTGCAGAAGGTTGCCGTCGTCCGCCTATGCGGGCCTTATACGCGCAGTACGCCTTTCCCCTTCACTGCCTGGAACCGATACTGATGGCATTGGATAGGCGTCCCGCCATTTATCGATTTCCCTCCACATTTGAGGGATATCATGTTGGGTTATATTGGATATGTTGATGGGGGACTACAAAGTGCGTCTGTTACCCCTATTACATTCCCTCTGTCATATGAACTGACTATCCCCCAGTTGACGGGAGCGAGATCCTCCCTATCTCCGCCTCTCAGCTCCTCGAGCAGTGCAAGCACATCAAAGCCCTAGGACTAAAAAACATCGTCCTAGTAGGAGTGTTCAGCACGCTAGACACCGAGGGTTCCCAGGAGCTCAAAGCGAGGGAGATCGTACAGAGCGAAATGGGAGAGGGGGTCAACGTTGTATGTTCTTGTGAAGGTGGATCATTTTATGTGTCGATTGCCCGGTGCTAATCGGGATGTAGTTGGCCAGATTGGGTTGTTGGAGAGGGAGAATGCCTCTAGTACGTCTCCTCATCATACCGTTCGTACTCGACAAAGCTGACTGGACATACAGTCCTTAACGCATCCATACTCACGTTCGCCCAGCGCACTATGCGCGGCTTCAAGCGAGCCATGCACCGACTTGGACTCACCTGTCCTCTCTTCCTCACGCAGAACGACGGCACGTTAACAACTGCTGCGAAAGCCGCTGCGCTCCCTATCCGCACCTTCGCTTCCGGTCAGACGAACTCGATGCGCGGAGCCTCCTACCTAGCAGGATTGGACCTGCGCAAGCAAGCGGGAAAGAGTGTCATCGTCTGCGACGTAGGGGGGACGACGTGTGATGTTGGAGTTCTGTTACCCTCCGGATTCCCGCGCCAGGCAGCGGCGTACATCGAAGTAGGGGGAGTGAGGACGTCGTTCGCCATGCCCGACCTGCTCAGTATCGGCCTTGGAGGCGGCTCGAGAGTTCGGGTAGACGAGCATGGGAAGACCACCGTGGGCCCGGACTCGGTTGGACACTGGATCACCCGCGACGCCAAGGTGTTCGGCGGAGACGTCCTCACCGCTACGGACATTGCTGTCGCCCTCGGTCGGGCCGAGGTAGGGGACGCAAGCAAGATCTCCGGCATCGTCAGCCCCGAGCTGGCGCATGCGGCACAGGCAACTGTCAAGAAGCTGCTCGAGAATGTCATTGATCGGATGAAAACGACCCCGGAGGACCCGACGGTGCTCATGGTAGGCGGAGGGTCGATAATTGTCCCCGATCAGCTGGAAGGGGTGGGGCAGATCCTCCGTCCTCCCTTTTTTGGCGTGGCAAATGCTGTAGGCGCTGCGATGGCCAAAGTCGCAGGAGAAGTGGATACGATCGAGATCCTCCAGGGGAAGAACTTGGCAGATGTACTTGAAAGGATCAAGAAAGAGGCCGTGGCGCGTGCCATCGAGGCTGGTGGAGATCCGACCAAGGTCTCAGTCGTGGATGTTCAGAACTTGCCAGTGCAGTACGTCACCAACCAGGCTACCAGGATTATCGTCAAAGCCGCGGGCGAGTTGTCGATGAGCGACTCGGGCGCGGTGGATGGGGAAGATATCAAGATGATCCCAGAAGAGGACGAGGAGATAGAACCACCCAAGACGGTGTTGTCGTCTGCGAGGGAGGATGTTTCGTTTGACGTGGCGAGCTACCGTCCATACATCAACGAGAAGAAAGAGTGGATCTTGTCGGAACAGGATTTGGAGCTGATCGCCTTAGGCACTTTCGTGCTGGGTACTGGGGGAGGAGGCACGCCGTACCCGCCGATGCTCATCTGCAAGGAGCTCTTACGCGAAGGAAGAGTCATCAAGGTGGTCGATGCTGAAGATGTACCAGAAGATGCGCTCTTTGCTCGGGCGTGTTTTATGGGCAGCCCGAGTGTTTCGGTATGGCATTTCTCCAGTTATTAACATCAACTATTTCTTACTCGACTAATAGTGCGAGCGTCTGCCAGCAGGCACCGAGATCACCACTGCCATGAAGGCTCTGACATCCCATGTTGGGATCTCCAAGATCAGCGGAACTATCAGTGATGAAATAGGTGGTGGTAACGGGATAGTTCCGTTAATCCTCGCGGGCGAATTAGGTGTTCCTGCTATGGATGGCGATTTGATGGGCCGTGCCTACCCCAACATGAATCGTACGCACTCCAGCTCGGTGCGATGCTGGAAAATTCGTCTAATGTGTGCGCAGAATGTCTTCCTGGCGCCTTCAAAATACCCGGAGGTGTTTTCCCCGCAGCACTTGCTGATGGGGTCGGGAACGCTCTTGTAAGTCTCATCAAATAGTACACGATATCATAGACTCAATTCTGCATTAGGTCATGCATGCAGCGCAATCTGGACGGCGTGTCGAGATCATTTTCCGCAATATCTGCACAACGATGGGCTCACGTGCTGGAGTCAGTGTGGTCCCCCTCACCAGAAAACAATGCCAGGACTACGGTGTCGTACGAACTGTGTCACAGGCATGGCGCATCGGACGTGCCATCACCCTCAGCAGACAACAGAACGACTTCAAGTCGATCCCTCGGCGGATTTTGGAGCTACAGAACGGAAAGTGCCTGTTCATCGGAAAGATTGTCGATGTTCAACGGGAAGTTCGCGCTGGTTTCACGTGGGGTCAAGTCACCATTGCACCGTTGCAGGATGACGAGCAGGATGAAACCAGCACAGGCATTGATCTGCCTGAATATGGTCCTGATGATAAGCTTACCATCCCCTTCCAGAATGAGAAGTAAGCCAGCTCCATCTTGAATTCTTCTCGAGCCCTCCTGACTCTTTTGCTAGCCTGGCTGCCTTCCTCAATCATCCGGATGGTACACGCGACATCCTCATTACTGTGCCAGATCTGCTCTCGGTACTTGATAGCCAGTCTGGCGCCAACCTTGGCACACAAGAGTATCGGTATGGTCTGCGTGTCACTGTTATGGGCCTTGCTGGTGATCCAAAGTGGACCCAGACCAAGGAGGGAATGGAGACTGGTGGGCCTGGATACTTCGGTCTCGATATTCCTTTTGTCTCTGTGGGTACGTACCGGGAGCCGAAGAGCGTCATTCGGGAGTACGGACCGGCGTAGATGTGGTCCTACTTCTAGTGGTATAGACGTCCTTCAGACGTAAAGGACACGATTTATTTGCCTTGCTATATCACGCAATAAGATCGAAATGCAATTTGATTAATTCTATCTCCCCAATCAACCCTTCTTCACGGTGCACATTCACCATCCATTTGGATGGATGAGAACCTTTTCGGTCATCAACGCACGCCTGCTTTTAACCGACCGGGGACATACCTTAGTATACCCTTCCACCCTCTTGTCGAATTTCTCATACGCATCGGGAGCATCATCGATCTCCACGCTCTTACTCACAACGAAGCTCGGCTTCGCTTTCCCGCTCACAATTAGATCCCTCAACTGCCGGTTGTATGTCTTGACGTTCGCCAGCCCCAGTCCCAACATTGCCGTCCGCAAGAGATCGAATAGCTGGCAGGAAGTGCTTTTTGCGTTCAACATCTCGCGTCTTCTATAGGGCAAAAGCGATAAAGTCGGCTTAGGAAACAGTATATGCTGATAGTTCGTCATGTTGGACGTTATTCTTGGGAAGAGCATCGTAGAGTCGGGAAGTGGTGGTCACGAGATGGTAGAACCATTGTGCCAGACCCTCCATCGCCAGTCTCAGCCAGCAGATCATTGGTGTAGAAAAGCAAGAGATGATTCGAGCCAATCCGAATGTTGACCGCAACTCATTAGATATGGTACTTGTTCTGCCTGATATCGCTGGCGAAGGACCGGGGTGACGGAGGCGTAGCAGTCGGGTTCTCCTTAGACTTCGCATCACTGGTACTCCACCTACCAGTAGCGTCTCTGGGTGTGTAGACTTGTTATGGCTCGCAGCAGTAGAGATCTCCTTCGGATTCAGGCGGTATAGACGTATCCAATTGATGTGTGGTTGTTATCCGATTGGATGGTCGCGTACGAACGTAAATTGATTTATTCATACATCCTTCCAATCAACCCTTGTTTATGGTGAGCATTCACCACCCATTTGGATGGATTAGGACCTTCTCGGTGATCAGTATACGTTTGTGCATTCAGCACCAGATATACCTTAGTATACCCCTCGACCCTCTTGTCGAATTTCTCATATGCTCAGGAGCATCATCAATCCCAACCCTGTTGCTGACGACAAAGCTGGGCTTGGCTTTCCCGCTCACAATCAAATTCCTCAGCTCCCGATTATAACTCTTGACGTTCGCCTGACCCGTGCCCAACGACAACCCCTTTTCAAACAGTTTCCCAAAAGGCAGGGTCAAGTTTCCGTTCTTCGTTGCTTCGTCTGCTGCTCCAGGATCGGCGGGGACGTACAATCCGGGGATGCCGAGGCCACCGGTAGGGCGTACAACCTGTATCAACGCGCTCAAGACGGCATTCGCCTGTTCCTTCTTCCCATCGGCGGCAACAGCCTGGTATCCCACAGCGTCAACAGCGCGGTCAACCATCCCTCCGTTCTTTTGGATGATCTGGTCCACAGGGTCGGAGACGGTGAAGTCGACAGGTACACATCCGAGTTGCCGTGCTTTCTCCAAGCGTTCGGGCACACGATCAACCACATACACAGAGGAAGCACCTCGCAGAATTGCGCTGTAGGCTGCCATGAGCCCAACAGGCCCTGCACCCCAGACTGCAACACTCTCTCCTGGTCTGAACCCGCTGAGGGTGACCCCATGCCAGCCTGTGGGGAAGATGTCCGCTAGAAGAATGAAATCCTCTTCCCATTTCTTCCCCGGTGGCAACAGAAGGGCATTGAAGTCGGCCCAGGGTACGCGCAAGTATTGCGCCTGTCCTCCGGCATACGGCCCCATGCTAACGTACCCGTAGGCACCTCCTGCGAAGCCAGGATTCACCGTCAGGCAGAAGGCGGTAAGAGAGCGTTCGCAGTTCTTGCAATGACCGCAGGCGACGTTGAATGGGAGTACGATACGGTCGCCTTTCTTCAGAAGAGCCTGTGTAGGTTCTGTATTAGCAATGGTGTCAAAGGAGCAAAAAAAAGTCATAGAACGTACAACGCCTGGCCCAACTTCCTCCACAATCCCCATGTTCTCATGTCCAAACACGATACCCTCCTCTGCACCTATACGCCCCTCGTACATGTGCAAGTCCGACCCGCAAATAGCAGTAGTCGTTACTTTGATAATAACATCGTTAGGATGCTGGATTGCGGGCTTGGGCACAGACTCGACCGCGACGGTGAAAGGACCTTTGTAGACGACGGCTTTCATCGACATGGTGGTTGATTGAAATCAGCTCATTATCCAGCAGTATATGCTGATGGCTTGTCATGCTGGATGTTCATTCGAATGAGGGCGAGAAGTGAGAGCCGAGGGTCACGAGATGAAGAGAAATGGGATAACAATTGAACCGAGCTTTCATTGTCATTATAGAAAGCATCTTCAGTATTGTAGTAAACAGGCCAAGAACTGGTGAAAATCAACCCAGATACCTCGCTGTTGTCCTCGTTGACAGCGGTTGGTGGTTCGCACTTGAGGATGGCAGTGTGGGAGCAAAGATCCCGTCATTCCCATCCGCACCGCATAGCTTGTCACTTTGGATACAAAGCTCTTCAAATTTCTATTGACACCTTAGGCATTCAATGCCGGACTGCAACGGACTAGTCGTCTAATGGTTTGGCCGGTAGAATAAAGTTAACGAGTACTGAGTGACAGATCGGTAGGAATATGTGGCCCCAAAATTCGTTCACACGCTGTTGACCAGTTCATGCAGTTAGGAAGAATACAATTTCATATATGAATACATGTATCCAATCAACCCTTGCGCGTGGTTACGTTGACCAGCCATTTGGATGAATCAAGACCTTCTCGACCATCAGTACACATAGCCGAGCAGCCAAAGCAGCCATACATACCTTCGCATCAGCCCTCTTATCAAATTTCTCATACGCCTCCGGAACATCATCAATGCCGATTCTTCTCGTTACGATGAAGCTCGGCTTTGCCCTCCCAGCCACGATGAGATCCCTTAGCTCGCGATTATAAGCCTTGACGTTCGCTTGGCCCGTGCCTAAGGATAGGCCTTTTTCGAACAGCTTGCCAAACGGAACGGTCAAGTTCCCATTCTTGGTTTCCTCGTCTTTTGCGCCTGGGTCCGCGGGGAGGTACAGGCCGGGAATTCCAATCCCTCCAGTGGGGCGGACGACCTGAAGCAAAGCGCTCAAGACAGCATTCGGCTGTTCTTTCCCGTTCGAAGCTACGGCTTGATAGCCCACCGCGTCCACGCCACGGTCGACCATGCCTCCGTTCCTTTTGGTGATCTGCTCCACCGGATCCGAGTGTGTGAAGTCCACGGGCAAGCATCCAATCTTCTGCGCCCTCTGGAGGCGCTCGGGAACACGATCCACTACAAAAACGGAAGATGCACCTCGCAGGATCGCGCTGTAGGCAGCCATGAGACCAACAGGCCCAGCACCCCAGACGGCAACGCTGCTGAGCGTGATCCCGTGCCATCCGGTGGAGAAGACATCTGCCAGGAGGATGAAGTCCTCTTCCCACGCCTTCCCTGGTGGCAGGACTAGGGCGTTGAAGTCCGCACAAGGCACACGCAGGTACTGCGCTTGCCCACCCGCGTACGGTCCCATGCTCGCGAACCCGTACGCGCCTCCTGCGAACCCGGGGTTGACGGTGAGGCAGAAGGCGGTGAGGGAGCGTTCGCAGTTCTTGCAATGACCGCAAGACACGTTAAATGGAAGGACAATACGGTCGCCTTTCTTGAGGATGGCCTGTGCCTGTCGTTAATATGATTTGATAAAGAAAAAAGATAGACGTACCACCCCCTTCCCCACCTCCTCAACAATCCCCATGTTCTCGTGTCCGAACCTGAGCCCCGGATCCGCAGGCGTTCGCCCCTCGTACATGTGCAGATCTGATCAGCAGATCGCAGTCGTCGTCACCCTGATGATTGCATCGTTCGTGTGCTCGATCTTAGGCTTGGGCATGAACTCGACAGCCACGCTGAAAGGGCTTTTGTATACGATTGCTTTCATGGACATGGTAGTGGGAGTTGAGACTTGAGATCTGGCAATTCTAGCATTTTTTTGGTCGGTATAAGTAAGCGGACGGCTTATGATCCAGGATGTCTTCAACCGGAATGACGGTGTGGAGCTGAGAAGCGACGGCGACGTGGACAGTAGTGACTCCACTGTTCGACCTTACAAGCAGGATACGCTACCAATGTCGTCAACTGGAATGACGCTGTGAAGTTGAGAAGGCTGGTCATTGCGTAGAGAGCAGCCCTTCGACGAGGAGAACGGCGGTGATACCCTGGTTCATTGTCAGAACACACAAATCATCATCAACACAAAGTAAAAGTTCAACATTTCAATCAAAATCGTACTGGACACCAAAGTTAACCTCTTTTGATTCTGTCGTACTCATTGTACTCCATGGCGCTGCATGGTTCGAACTGGAGGACAGTAGGCGCAGCACAGTTGGGATCCCGCGTAACCTTGCACTGCACCCACCCGCACTGCAACTTCTCTTCCTCAAACTAGTCTGGGAATCAACCACCTGAATTGCTGACATCTTAGCGAATCAATACTAGGCGCATAGCTGGCTAACCGCTTGACAACGTGGCCGGGAAACTGTATAAACAAAAAGAGCGATGTATGACAGACTTGGAGACCGCGCTCGGTGCTGGAGGGGAATCCGATGCCCCTCTCTCCGTCTTCCTTAGCCGTTGAATGCCCATCGCTTACCACTGGAAACTCCCGTTTGGTAACCAGTTGAGTAAGCATCGATCAAATAACCGTGCTATGTTCTCTTGGGGAGTTAGATATTCACGGACTGCGCGGGGTGGACAGCGATGACAATCCTGATGTTCACTTGTGTCGAGACCTATGGCGCTGGCCTGTTGGCACGTATATATCTGGCCTTAGATCAGCAGCCTAGACGATCAGTTCCACCCATCATCGTCCCTCTTCCCGCTGCTTCACAAGAGCCAATACTCTTCCTCTCGGTCGAGTCTCTGCTCAAGAGTCGCACCCCACCAGGACAACAAGGATGTTCCACTTCTTCCCGCGCTCCTCTAGCTCTTCTGCCTCCTCCAGCTCCTCCTCGGGCCCCGGCAACATGGAGTCGAAAAGCCGTTTTCGACTCTTCAGACGTCGGTCGCAGGATGACAAACAAGATCCTGTCTCGGAGGACTTTGACGAGGTCAGCCCTCCCTCCTTTTCTTGCCGTAAGTAGCTGATCGTTCTTCTGCAGCTGTCCCTCCCTGACCCGTATCCGAGCTTTTCCTCAGCACCCCAGTTCATCGATCGGCCAGAAATCGTCGACCGTCCAGAAGACGTCCAAGAGGCGCTCGCACGCCTGCGGGATACACCCTACTCAACTTCCACGCACTCCTTACGACACTATCCGCGAGTGATGCTCGCGCCTTCTGCCTTGTCTCCTCCCCTGCGCACTTCTTTTACCTCTTCGTCAGGCTCCTCATGGCCCTCGTCATCTGCTTCATCTTTCACACCCAGGCAGGGTTGGCGCTCGTACGACTTTGAGGGGGAGGACGAGGAGGAGCTGAAACCCCCTAGACGACATTGGTCAGACCCAGGCCACTCCTCACACCAACGCAAGAGGTCCAGCCCATCCGCCTCTCGCATGTCCTACCCAGCATTAAGTACCCACCCGTCCCACCCGTCCCGCCCAACGCGGGTCTCTTCCCTATCACCTCGCTCACGTGCTCTTCCTAAGCCTCGTCTTCCGGCCGCCAGTTCCATATCATCAACTTCGTCCACATCATCCGTGTTCGTTCAACACCAAGAACCTCTCGATTTTCTTTTGCCAGAGGAGAGGTTCGCCCTCCGGAGACGACACGACGACGCAACATTGGGAATCTCGCCCTGGGAACCGCCTGTCAGGCATGGGCCTGGGAGGAGAGGGAACTATTATTTCCAATGAGCTTGGACTAGGTTATGCTATTCGTTCATGAGTGGTATGAATACAATTCCTGCTTGTATCTGTTGCGGAGAATCGTTTACATTTTATCCCCTACTGCTCGTACTACATGGCGGCACGATCTGCTTCCCTCTACCGATTACACAACACTTCGTCGTCGACAGTGGTACTGCTCCAGACACATTACCCCATACAAAATTATCAGAGAAAGCGTCCCAGATCCCAAATAAGGTATCAAACATGAAGCCCAAAAAAGATGAAGACAGGAAACCAAGTTAATCAGCGTGTACGTTGCGCGATAGCGTGCAGAGATGTTAATAGATTCGTTTCTGTGGGAAAGATTGCAGAAACCGGCAGAGCTGATGACTGGGGCGAGCTTGCAGCTTGGAGAGCAAGTCGGAACATCGAGAAAGCGGTTTCAGCGGCTCATAGGAGTGGATAAGTGACCTTTTGCAGGCGGACGAGACGTGGTCTACAGCCTGGCAAAGCAATTCCCCAGCCGGCGGCGAAGTGTCGCCAGAGCGCTCGTCTGCCGCTTCATCGACGACCGGTCCTGACGCTCCTGGTCCTCCTTTGACCCATGTGGAGGATCGTCATCTATCAGAACTGTCAGACAAATCGCACTACTTCAAAAGGAAATGACATACATTCGAGAACGGGCAGGCAGACAAGAGCGTCAAGCGTCTCCTGCGCCTCCACAAGTTCGGCATAGAGCGCAGAAGTGGGTAACGGCTCGAGCTCTAGCAGCTTCTCTTTTATGCTCTGGATTCCTTGAGCGCATGCTCAGTGATGGACTTGGGACTACACTCACCTGAAGGGGGTAATCGCCCGCAGCAGGCCTGCGGATATGGCGGTTGTTTGCGTCTCCCATTCGCAGCCGCAGCTTAGAGCGCAGCTTTGGTATCATGCCCCTCTGAGTCTTCGGCTTGGAAAAGATTGTGTTCGCCATCGGTTGATCAGAAAATTGTACGATGTGGTGAAAGAGTGAGGTGAGCTGGGACGACTTGCGTGACCGGCTTTTGGGACTGAAGGCAGTGGAGGAAGGGGGAGCGCGTGGAGGCGGGGGAAGGGGGATTATGAGCTCCTTTTATGGGCAGGTGCGAGACAGTCTGGTACTAGTGAGTCGGCCAATGTTTGACGCATTGTGTCCGAGACACGCCAGATTGTGTTCGGCACTGCGAGAATCTCTTCTTCTGCGGGGATGCGCGACACGGGCGGCTGGAGAAGACAATCCAATCGTCCAATGGGGAGTCGCCCAACGATGATAAGACACCTTTCCAGCTCAATGTCGCATATTGTCTTGATCTGGATAGGTATTCAGTCAGGAAGACCTGTCGCGGGATCACGAGTTGTTGTCCACATGGTCTATCAAAATAGAGATCCCTAGATCTGATTGCGTGCACCGAGACATTAGACTGCTTCTTCGGGTTGACCGTGACTGAGCGTCTTTCCGGGTGCTGATCGTGTTATCCGAGGAAGACCGTCCGGCTCATGTACGATCTAATGCGCCATAACGCCCACCGCATCTCCTGGAAGATGTGTTCATGTCCGTCACGCGAATCACAGGGTGTTCGTGCGAGACACGACGTTGGGTCTGAACATGTATTAGCATGCGGAGGTCTTGTGCACGGAGCGAAACTTACTGTGGTCTGTCGTGATCTCCTCTGCCACCCATCGAAGTGGATTCACAGCAGGAGAGTCATGCCGCACTCCTGTTGGGCGACATCTGACTATATGCCACTTTCTCCACGTTACTGTCTATAGGATATGCGTTGACGGCGAGCGCATTACATCCAGACCATTTGTTATGGATTGTACAAGGTCGATACTGGGGTAAGACTGCAGCTGCTCTTGATGGTGGGAGGAAGGAAACAGTCATCCAGCCCCTTTCGGTATTTCTTCGGTTCCGGTGTCCCCGCAACCAAGAACTTCTCGTTTTACCAGCAGTTAATGACATTAATGCAAGATCTGCAGTATTGTTAGGCAAGAAGAATAGTAATTACAATTTGGCTATAATGACAAGAAGAGTTTAGAGGTCTTGTCTATCGTGTTTATGTATCCTAGACAAGACCAAATCCGACTCATCTCAGCGGGACCAATCGTTGTAGATACACGAAAAGAATCGTCGACGTCTGTCAACGCCGGCTCACTCCCTGATATCACTCGTTAGACTCGTTGCATACCCTTCACTCCTTCGTCCCACACCTTACATTCCATTGCTTCTCAGCAACATCTCCTCTTTGAACTGAACTCTTTTCACCAAGAATCCCGACGGTCACACGACCGCGCAATCAAGCTGAAGCGACTGCTCTCATCCGCGTCGCGTCCCCAGATCTCCGGGGTACAACGATGTAGTCCTCATCTGGTGCTGACAGCCGGACCGTCGACGAGGAGGTTCTATGCTCAGCTCGTAAATTCTGGAGAGCTGGGGCTCAGTGAGGATCGAGTGAAACACGCGTATCTGAGCGCTAGACCGACTGCGTGGTCGAACGCGACGAACGACTCCGTTCCGAAAACGAACGACGCTCTACCATTTCCTATTGAAGAACTACACCAGGTGGACGCCAGTACATCAAATCACAAACTCAAGAAGGAACATCGTGTTCACAAGAGAAAGGAAGAGGATTCCATCCTGACAATACTCGACGACGTGAACACCTCCAACCAGCAACTAGCTACGCTCATGCGACATTCCGCTCCCAGCAGGCACCGGCACGACTGGCGACAGCGTGCCTACTCGCGCTTATTCGCCCATCACGAGAAACGCGTCATCAAGTCCATAGAATCCAACTCAAAAGAGAAAGGCAAATCAAAATACAAGGAGATCGCGTCTGCCATAGCGGTGTTCTCTCCACCCCCGCGAGTGAAACGTCTCGGCCCTCCCATCCCCCACACATCCGCAACCCAGCCACTAGGCCCGGAAATAGAAGTCTACAAAACCAAGTTCGACGAGCTGCTCAAGTACGAAGAGGCGACGTGTGCGGACTCGTTCAAGGAACGGCTGGAGATGTGGGATTTAGATAAGCTCAAGGAGGAGGGCTATGTCCTTGTTGGCTTGAGGGGGTTTTGGAGGGCATACAAGAAAGCGGGGAAGCCAATCGCAGTGTTCTCGCGTGTGGAGGGGGATATTGGCTGGAATCGCTTCGAGTATGTGTCACGTATATGCTCATTTTGGCAACAGCTGATAGGTGTCGAAGTGCGGGATCAGTGGTCACGGTATGTCGCCGTCACCCCCTGTACGAGGAAACGATCCCCGGCACGGTTGTGCAAAAAACTACCTCGGCGATCCACGTCGCTTTCAACGACAAGACGCTGTTCGACGACCAAGAGACGCTGCTGGAAGAAGGCGTATGGAGACTCGATTTCGGATCAAATAATATCAACTTTGCACGTATGCGAGCAGCGATCGAAGCCTTGGCGCACAATCCTGCCGAACACGAGTTTGCGGCTCAGGGAGGGGACAGCGAGTATATCCTACGGGGGACGTTTGTCAGAGACGCACTTTTGCGCTCGTTCAAGCCCCTTGCAGGGATGGAGACACCCCGGGCAGTGGAAACGGAGATCTCTGGGCGACCGGTACCGGAGAGACTTGCCGAATCAGCAATGGCGGAGCTGCCCGCTGAACCACGGGCGGGCGAAGTGCATCCTATATTGTCAGCCTTCGACCCGCTCCCAAATCGCCCGCCATCAGGTGCCTTCACCCACGACCAGCTGATCCAATCCTGGGCCCGGCGGTACCGCCGACCCAACCCCATCGTAGTTGAAGGCGACCCCGTGCTAGATCTCAACGAGACTCAAACGCGGGCCGTGGCGCTCATGCTCTCCAAACGGCTGTCACTCGTCCAGGGCCCGCCTGGGACAGGAAAGACGAAGACGATCATTGAGGCTGCACGCTTGCTCAAGCTGCATTTCGAAGTGCCCCAGCCTTTGCTGGTGGCGACGTACACCAACGTCGCTGTGGATAACCTCGTTGCCGGACTTGCTGCTGCTGGGCTCAGGCCGCTCCGTGTTGGTGGGGAGGAATATAGCCAGCAACCCAAGCTCGATAAACACAGGTTGGAAGTAAAGATCGCTGCTCACCCACTGCAAAAAGAGGTCGAAAAGCTGGAGAAGGCGATTGATAAGCTTTCTGACAGACGACGGGAGGCGATCGACGCTGCGAAGCCGAGCAAGAATGAGGAGCGTATCGAACGGGCTAAGAATACGCATAAGGAACATCTGCTGAGGCTCAAGATGAAGAAGTTTGCTATAAGGAATGCGATGATACATGATATTGTCAGCAAGGCGGACGTGGTGTGCACTACTTGCTTGACGAGCGCAAATACGGCTCTTAATGTTATCGACTTTCCTGTGGTGTTTCTTGATGAGGCGAGCATGTCTACCGAGCCTGCATCGCTGATCCCACTAATGAAAGGCGTGAGTACACATTTTTCGTAGCAGGGCAGTGAGCTGATCCCGTACAGTCTAGACATGTCGCGCTCATCGGGGACCACAAACAGCTTCCACCAATCATCACCAGTGCCGAGGCCCAAGCTGGTGGGTTGAGCAAATCCCTCTTTGAGCGCCTGACAGAGGAAGGCGACACCCCCTCAATAATGCTCGACATGCAGTACCGCATGCACCCCTCTATCTCCCGCTTCCCGTCCGCACAGTTCTACAACAAAACTCTGCGAGACGGTACCGTTGACCATGCTGGCAAAGTCCGGCCTTCACTCGCCCCTCCAAAGTCTACTCTGTTAGACGACGAGTCGGTCAGCGAGCTCCAAACGGAGAAAGAACGCCTCTCGGTTGTGTTCGTCGATCATGCCGGGTCGGAAGCAAAGAAAGACCGGAGCAGGATCAATGCTGGCGAGGCGCAGATGGTGTGCTCTATTGTCGAGGAACTGCTGTACTGCAACCCCAGCATGACAGGGGACGACATTGGCATCATCGCTCCCTACGTGGCGCAGATCCGGCTCCTGGACCGGTTGCTCAAGCACGACCAAGAACAAGCGGAGCGGTTCAAGAGCACGCTAGGCGAGCATCGGGGACTGCAGATGTCAAATATCGAGGTCAAGACCGTGGACGGGTTTGAGGGAAGAGAGAAAGAAGTCATCATCTTCTCAACAGTGAGGAACAACCCCCAAGGCGCGATCGGTTTCCTTGCCGATGGGAGAAGGCTCAACGTCGGCCTAACTCGGGCGAGGCGTGCTCTTTTCGTATTGGGGAACGCGGGGACGCTGAAGGACGGGCATGGGGGATTCAGAGGAACGGGAGGGGTGGTCCTCGCTGGAGGAGGGGAGAGGGTGTGGAAGAGGTATATGGAATGGTTGGAGAAGGAACAGTTGATTCGCCGGTGGGCAGGTGGGAGGTTCTTACCCCTTGCAGTGGGTAAGACGGCGCAATGATGATGGGTATTGAAAAGTGTTGTATTATAAAGAGTCTATAGTGTTATTCTTGGATAATGGGGATTAAGACAGCGCACCTTTCTCAACTTCAAAGGCCTGGCCCATAGATAAAGCTCTCCATTGGCTGATTACGGCCTTACACGTGTGCGCCAACGACGATCTTGGGCAATCTCACGGTCTGGGGCTGTGGAGAGGTGCAAAAGGTTCCGGTGGGGTCAAATGACGTATACAACGCGTCAACACACTGAACATCAACGCCGCGCCAATCGAACACCACGAACGAGGAACTCACCCTAACCTTTTTCAGCCTTTAAGAGCCTGCCATCCGCAGAAACCTCTCTCTTCCGCACCACCATCTTCTGTTATTCCTGACTGTTTTCAACAAAAAATGAGAGTACACAATATCCTCCTCCTCGTGATCCTCGCGACGAGCGCGACCGCAGGCTGGTTCGGAGGCGACAAGGGTGCGTCTTCTGCTCACTTCCTATACAGCCACCCTAACCCATCTGTGATTAGACGCATCAGCGGTACCTGAATTTTCTTCCTGGGATGGAGAGAAGCTGGCGAGTCACTTGAAGGAACAGGGGATTTCCGTTCCGCATGGTTTCACCAGGGACGAGCTTGTCGCGCTCGCTAAAGCCAATTACGACGCCGTGAACTCGTGGGAGAAGGCTCATGTTGAGCATGCCCAGAAAGTCTTTTCAGATGCAAAGGAATCACTTGTTGATGGGTTCGTGTGCTTGTACCATAAATTGCTCCCGGTTTCTCATTCGCATTCAGATGGACCGAGTCCCAGCTACGCGAGTTCCTCCTCGAGCAAGGCATCATCGCGCCTGCATCGAGGTCGGAACAGCTCCGCCTTCTCGCCAAGACCCGTTATAAAGCTCTTTCAAGCGCCGTCTCCTCTTACTCCGCTGCCTTCTCCACCGCAATCCACGGAGACGCGACCGCGCAGGCTTCGAAGTCTTTGAACTCTGCAGCAGCAGCGGCATCTCGTTCTGCGACCGCAGCGGCAGCAGAGGCCTCCCGTAACATTCAGAGGGCGATGGACGAGTCAAAGGACTTCATCTGGAGCGAATGGTCCGACTCGGACTTGAGGAACTGGCTAGAAGAACACAGGTTTGTCAAAACTAAGGCTGAGCTGAAACGGGAAGAACTGCTAGAGAAGATGAAGCATGCTTACACCACGGTCTACAACCCTGCTTACGAGGCATGGAGCACGTCTTACATTGTGGGTCCTTTTCTCACCGCGCATGACATCTGCTGACAAGATTTTGTAGCACGAGTGGCTAGTCGCCAACGGGGTCATCAAATCCGATTATCAGCAGGCTCGCGATAAGCTGCTCCATCTCATGAAGGAGAATTACTATTCCACGCAGGATAAGGTCTACCAGGCGTGGTCCGACTCGGATCTCAAGGTGTGGTTGGTCGAGCATGAAGTCATCAAATCCGATGCCCAGATCAAGCGCGAAAAATTGATCAAGTTGATGGATGACCACTATAATCACGCCAGGGACATCATCTGGTCATCTTGGAAAGACTCGGATATGCACGACTGGCTCATCGATCGTGGGTATTTGCGTTCCGAGGCCCAGGCTCGCCGGGACGAGCTCGAGGGGCTGATGCACGAGAAGTATGATCAAGTGCAGCAATATGCCGCGGCCTACCTGACCTGGCCTGATGCCCGTCTTCGTGCCTACCTTCGCAACAACGGTGTTGACGACACCAAGATTCCCGGGATGGATCGCACCACTCTGCTGCAAGAAACGCGCATCCGCTGGGTCCAAACCACCTCCGCGCTTGACGACATTCTTGCGACCATTCGCCGGTACCTCATGACGGGGACTGAGTTTGCAGAGGACAAAGTCGAGGACTTGAAGGAGCTTCTCGGTCTGGGCAAGGCTTCACTTGAGCGCGAGTTCAAGAAGGAGAAGAAGGCTGCGTATGATGCTGCGAGTGACACCGCCAAATCTGCCAGTTCGGCCGCTAGCAAGTTGAGCAGCGTTGCGAGTTCGGCGAGTGCGAAGTCAGAGTTGTAAACGTGGAAAGTCGTTTGTGTATGCCATGCTGCACATTTCGACGGAGGCCCAATAAAAATCGAAGACTGAAGAGACTGTTATAACGCAAGACTACGATCATGTACCGCTACCGTACCGCATGTACGCCAAGTGCATCAACCGCTCCCTGTGTTTGTCATCTGTATCATACTTCTTACGATCGAATGATATGAATCCTGATTCCCTTAGTTCGGTGAGTAGATTGTGCCGACTCATATGACCCCCGAAAGCCGCGGACCGGCGGTACATCAACCTCCCGTCGAAGCTTACTGTAGGACAAGCTTGACAGACCCCTTTCTCTGCCCCTGCCCAGTGCACAGCCTGTCCATTTACGCTTTCTGAGACCTTGTCATCCCTGCACATTTCACGAGTTTCTGGGCAGCAGGCCTGAGCATCGTCAGCTGATGGGAACTGGAGGGAATTTGCCGCTGTTTCGCCGCTGACACCCTTGGGGAGGTGGATGTTGGGTTTGGCGGTGTATCGGGATCGCGAGCCCGATCATGTCCTCACCGTTGACAGAGTTGGCTGTACGCGAACGAGAGTGTTGACCAGAGAGATGTAGACTGTTTAAGTTGAGGTATCTGCACTTTGCAGACGGTTCAGAGCTACAGTGAAAGTTGATTCTTGAAAAGCAGCCGTGCTCAGTCTGTACAGGGGAGTTTGTCTATAGAGAATCGGACATAGCGTGAATCGCCCCTCCAGCCAGATAGACGTCTTACCAGCGCCTGTCTCGCGCGTAGGATAAGCAGCAAACCACCCTCATTTTTGTGGAGGACCGTTCCTACGCATCCCTACTCAATGCTGGTGGACGTAACAATTTCTTGCTACCCCCTGCCAAGTGGACTTCATACTAGTGAATATCAGGAGTCGCATACATCGTCAGGGTTTTTCTGGCAATAAGGTGGGGTAAGGGGTGGAGGTGTCGGAGACGCGGGGCGAGATGTGGGGTAACATTCAACACCTCCGCATTCGAAGTGAGGTGCTTCCTTTCAACTGGCACGTGAGGCGCGCGTGTTTCTTTCCGACAGGGGGCTTCCACTTGACCACCATCGAGTCAGATGGACAATGCGCATCAACGGCCATCTGTCTCTGTGGCTGCAATCCAATTCAGTTGGGATGTCATATGTCCTGTCTCACATGCAGCATGGTGGTTGATGATGTCGAAAGACGCTTCCTCCACTAGCTTGGCTCTGCTTCTCTTCTCACTCAACCTTCGCGGCGCGGCTTCCGGAAAGACTGGCACGAGACCTCTGGGCATCGCATGCGGTGATCAGCTCCATCTTTTCGTCAATCGGTTATAAACTTCGACAGGGAGCTTAATCTCCTACTCGCCGCTTTTGGTGTTTTCTCTCTCCACCTCGAGACATGGCTGGCGGATCCGAGATCGCGGGGCATTACAAGCACCTCATCAATCCGAATAAACACTGGTGGCAGCATACTAGAGGATGGAAGCTCATGTTTTGGGTAGGCCTCTAGTAAGTTGACACGGATGCGCGTTGAGATTGTGCGCTTATGCATAACAGCTGCCTCGGAAACATGGCGAACGGATACGACGGCGCCCTCGTTTCTGGATTGCAGGTAGGTCTCTCGCACGTGTTCAACTTGCTTTCCAGCTGATTACGCCACCGCCAAGATCTTGCCCCTATTTCAGGTAAATCTCTCACAATTGTTCAAATCGCTTTCAACCTGATCACGGCGCCGCCCCTATTTCAGGAGGATTTCAACCACCCGACCGGCAGCACGCTAGGCTTATTGGGTGCTGTCCAGAACATCGGCTCTCTGGGATCAATTCCCGTCGCTCCGCTGTGGAATGATCGCTTCGGTCGCCGGAAGACCATCCTGCTTGGCACGACGATGATGATAACCGGTGCAGCACTGCAGGCAGCGGCAAAGGACGTGAACTGGTTCCTGGGTGGACGGGCTCTGCTCGGCTTCGGCGGAGGGTTCAACAACAACGCCGATCCTTTGATGGTCATCGAGCTCGCATACCCGTCTCACCGGCCCATCCTCTCCGGCTGCTACGGCTCCCTCACCGGTGTAGGCTCCATCGTGGCCGCTGCGATTACCTTCGGAACATACTACATCTCCAGCAGCTGGTCGTGGCGTCTCCCCGCGCTGGTACAGGTCATCCCAACCGTGTTCCAGATGTGCATGGTCATGCTTGGCCCCGAGTCTCCGCGCTGGCTCATGTCCAAGGGTCGGGAGCAAGAGGCATTGGACGTGCTGGTGTACTACCACGGCAAGGGAGACCCGCACGATCCGCTCGTGCTGTACGAATTCGAGGAGATGAAGAAAGCGGTGGAAGAGGAGAAGAAGAACAAGATTGGCGGTTGGATAAGTTTGTTCAACACGCCCGGCATGCGTCGTCGGTCTTGGATCATGATGGCACTGGCACTGTCTGGACAGTGGTCTGGTAACGGCCTTGTCACCTACTACCTCTCCCCAGTGCTCAACACCATCGGCATCACGGACCGCAAGCAGCAGCTCGGTATCAACCTCGGCTTGACGGTGTGGAACTTCGCCTGCGGTATCATGGCCGGGTTTTCGGCTGACAAGTTTGGCCGACGCCGGATCTTCCTCGCAACGACGAGCATGATGCTCGCATTCCTCGTATCGGTCACGATATGCTCGGCACAGTACAACCTGCACAAGGACAAGGTATCCGGCGCGTTTGTCGTGGTGTTCATATACTTCTTCACAGGTTGTTACGCCTTCGGTTGGCCCGGTATCATGCTCCTCTACGTGACGGAGATTGTGCCCACGTCGTTGCGATCCAAGGCCCACTCGCTGTGGGCCATCACACAAGCGTCCTTCCTCGTCTTCAACCAGTACACGAACCCGATCGGTTTCCAAAGCCTAGGGTGGAAATACTACGTGAGCCTGCCCCACTCGCACACAGCTACATAAGTCTCACCTTGATGCAGCTCGTATTTGATGTAGTGATGGTCGTGATCCTGGCCTTCCTCTACTTCTTCATCATCGAGACTAAAGGACTGACACTGGAAGAGACCGGGATTCTCTTCGACGGCGAGGTAGCTGTGAAGAACCTGCAAGACCGCGCAGACCAGCAGGCGGCATTGGATGCCGATGTCGAGGATATCGTGCATCGTGATAGGGGAGAGGAGGAGAGCCCGGGGAGCGAAAAGGGAAGCTTTGTACACACGGAGCACGTGTAGTTCGGATTATGAGCCGGACAAGGCAATGCGCTGTAACGCAGTTGACGGTAGCGAACACTTGGTTGTACACCATAAACGATGTAAAAAGACTTTTTTGAGGCGGTTGTATCATTCCAGTTCTCTTAGGCATGGGATCATGTAGACTCGGGGCAGTCCAGCACCATCCTCACATATGCCACATCTCCCTTCCAAAATGTTGGCCCATCCTCTTTCCCAGCAGGTCGAATAGCGCGCATCCCGAACCGCTCGTAGAATCCCCGGGCATCCCAGCGCGCGTCGCACCATACTCTTACGCAGCCCTTCCCTCCTTCCTCGCTGCTCGGGGTGACTCCCGTCTCTGGATCGTCTTCAACGTTGGCACCGAGAAGTTCTGGCCGGGTGAGGAAATCGAGCACGTGTTTGAGAAGCGCCGATCCGACTCCCTTCCCTTGGTACATGGGGTCAGTCGCGAACTTGCGAAACCTCCCAGTTCTCGGCAACTTCGATTGATCTAGATCGGAGGATAAAACTCCTTCTTCTGGGAGAGGCTCCAGAAAACAGGAGATAACCGATATAGGGACCTCCCCCTCCGTCGCCGAACTAAGGAAAGCGCCAAAATGCCAGCCGTGGTCGTCTTCCTCGAGAATAACATAGGAAAGGGGCTTGTGTGGCCATAATACTTTATGTCGAAGTGCGTGTGTTGAGGAGGGAGAGATTGGGCGGATGAGGACTTGCAGGGAGGACATCGTCGCGGTTGCTTGGCCAAAAAAAATACAAAGTGAGAAGAGCTGATATTATTCATGGACCGGAACCGAGGAAACACCGAAGAGGGTCCTGTGACTCTTGCCTTCTTACCACCACCAAAGAAGTCTTACCCCACTTTAACTTGTTCAATTCATAACAAAATGTGTGGGCGCTATGCCCTCGGCATCAACGTATGCCTATCAAATGCGATATGGAGAAGCGCTAAGGTGCATATAGCCAGATGTCCCCCAACAGGTGCGGCATGACTATCCTGCTGTGAACCCTCGTCGATGGGTGGGAGGAGATCGGCATAGACCACGGTAAGTTCCGCTCCTGCATGATTCCTACGCGTGCTTATGCATGATGTTAGCTTCAACGTCGCTCCTCGATCGAACGCTCCTGTGGTGCGGCAGGATCCGCATGACGGACATGAGTACTTTCTCCAGGAGATGCAGTGGGGCGTGATCCCTCATTGGACGAAGCATGAACCTGATGGATCTTCTCCCCTTAACACGATTAACGCGCGAAGTGAGGCACTCATGGAGAGGGGTGGGATGTGGGCAAGCTTGAAGGGGAAGAAGAGGTGCCTGGTCGTGTGTGATGGGTAAGTAACGCGATCTTTTGAAGGGCTATGCTGAGAAGGGACAGGTACTATGAGTGGTTGAAGAAGGGAAGCCAGAGAACACCATACTTCACACGCCAACCAGATGGAAAATGTATGCTACTTGCAGGGTTGTGGGATAGCGTAACGTACGAAGGTCCGGCCTCAATGTCTTTTCTTTTTGAGTGCTGCTCAATAGGCTGCTCAGGAGCAACCGAGCCTCTCTTTACGTATACGATCATCACGACCGACTCATCGAAGGAACTCTCGTTCTTGCATGATCGGATGCCTGTGGTCCTCTCTACCGAAGAGGACATCAAGACCTGGCTAGACCCGACGATCACCGAGTGGTCGAACGAGAGGCTCGGCAAACTGCTGCGACCATACGAGGGGCATCTAGAGTGGTATGTTCCCGCCACAGCTCGCATATATGTGTTCCTGATGGACGCATATAGTTACCCTGTGGCGCAGGAAGTGGGCAACGTGAGAAAAGACTCGCCGACGTTCATCCAACCTGTGTCGAAGCGGGCCGATGGCATACAGGCGATGTTCCAGAAGCAGGAGAAGAAGCAAGAAGTGCGGAGGTCCCAGACACCGACGACGGGTGGAGCAGAGAGCCCGAAGCCCGAGAGCTCGCAGGCGAGCACGAAGGTCGCGCGGGATGAGAAGGGCGAGGGAGGCGCATTCGTATCGGAGGACAACCAGCCTTCTCAAGCTCTCCCGCCTGCTACTCCCACTAGGAAACGCAAGACGACGGAAGAGAGTGACTCGGACGTCGTGGAGGTGTCCCCTCTTCCTAAGAAGCCGAAAGCCGAGCACAAGAGCGCTGGAAAGCTTAAGCCCACACCTGCTAAGAAGAAACTGCAGGAGACGACGCCTAAGATTACCAAGTTCTTCGGTGGGAAGAATGAGCCGAAGGAAAGCCCCAAAATTACTAGCTTCTTCAAGAAGACCTGAATCGAATGATTCTGGCGGACGGTCCAAACTGCAATATACCCCGGACTCGTTTCTATACTATGAAAAAGTGTTTGTATTCCAGAAGCCCATGGTTTGCTCACTATTATGATATCGTTGTTGTACAATATCCCCGGATTGTTGAATTGTACATATGTAGTCTATCAATTGGGAAACTCAATAGCAGACCCTCAACGGTTTTACTACATGACGTCCCTGATCGACAAGGAGGAATGTGATCGAAACGCGAAATTTCGGTGCACGCGACCTGTCAACACGTCAATCACACGTAGAGTGGACAGAAAACGCGTCCAACAATCTGTTCAACAATGAATAATAATATTCTAGCTTACCAACGCCGTTAACGCTTCTACGCGCTGTTCATTGTGGGCGGCAACCTGTGACGCGTCAAAGAGCCTGCCCTGAAGCCCGGAAAAGGCTTGAGCACGGAGACAAAATTAGGTGCCGAATGCCTGTTACGCCCAAAGCCGCTTACCGCGCCTCTCCTGCATACAACAGTCTCTCCTCATCGTCTTTCGTCCCCTGCTCGTCGTCCTCGTCGTTGTCCACCCCTCTGCTTTCCTCTTTCTTCTACCTATCACGCATGTCACAGAAAGTTGCAAACACACGCCCGCCCAGGCCTTATAGAGGCTCATGGAAGAGCGGGTCACGCTCTACTAACCCATCGAATGCATACACGCCGCCTGCTGCGGATGAGCCAGAGGAACTGCGCGTCCTCAAGGGAAAGCATGCAGACGCGCTCAAGATCATGCGCGAGATGTACCCAGACTGGACAGACGAGGATGTCCTCTTCCTGCTTGAGGAGGTCCAGGGCGACGTCGAGGTGGCAGTGTCCAGGATCACCGAAGGTACGTGCGCACCGTGTGTCGATGGGCGTTGACTCATACCCTGTTTGTGTAGGTCATGCCGAGCGTTGGTCCCAGACTACTAAGAAGAAGGAGAAAAAGCACACTGCAGCTTCTATCCCTGCTAATGGAAAGGGAACTCCCGAAGGTGCTCCTAACGGTCACACTTTCGCCGGAGGCCGCGGTATGCGCGGCGGCAGAGGCGGTGGACGCGGTGGCTTCACTGGTGTCTCCCGTGGTGGACGCGGTGGCTTAGTTGGTGGTCGCGGCGGTGCGCGGAAGCATGATGCAGAAGCTGGATCTGCTCCTGCTCCTGCTCCCGCTGGTGATGTTCCAGGTGCGACTGATAACGGCTGGGGCCCACCTAACATCGACGTCCCTAGTGCTGAAGCCACCGCAATGTGGGGCCCCGTTGACCAGACTGCGACGCCCAAAGATTGGAATCCGATCTCGCTCAAGCAGAAGAACAACATACTCGCTTGGGCGAAGGGAGGCGACAAGACCGGTTGGGAAGACTCAAAGGTTGAGGAACCGAGTAAAGAGGTGATTACTCCTCTTAAGGGTGTAGTCACCGCCGCACCTACTACTGCCGCCGAGGTGGGAAGTGCACCCGGGATCCCCACTCCGGCTCCTGTGAATGGCAAGGGTGTTAGCACCTCTGCTGCCCCTGCTGTGCCTGCCGCTCCCCCCGTCCCCGTACACAAGTCTGCGAAGGTTCCCGCTGCTCCCAAGTTAAGCTGGGCCCAGATTGCCAAGTATGTTTCCTGATAACATTGATATGTCCAGTCCTGATGATACTGTTAGACCCCAGCCAAAGCCAACGCCTCCCCCTGCTCCCGTTGTTGTCCATGTCGCTCCTCCTCCCCTTCCCACTCCACCCATCTCGGACGAAACGCCCCTCCCCTTAATACCTGTCTCTAAGAACGCCACCCTGGACGAACCAGAGGAACCTACTACGATCCCGACTGAACCTGCGTGGGCGTTGGCTGAGCCTACGACCACCGTAGGTGAGATCGGCACAGATGCTGGCGACGAAGAGAATCTCGGTGGCGAAACTTGGGAGCCGATCGATAAAGTGGTCGAACCCGAACCAGTTACCACCGTCGGCGATCTGGATGAGCCTGTGGAGGAACCTGTGGTAACGGTTTCACAGGCCGCTGAAGAACCTCCAAAGACGAAGCTGCCCGTCTCACCCACCACTGCTGCTGCGGTAGCTCCTCCTGGTCTCGCCGCTCCCAAGGCCAAACCTAACGTGCACCCTCGTTCTTCAAGCGCCAGGTTCAAGATCGGCGACGATAGCTCTGCTCTCCCCGCGACTGCTCGGTGGGCGTCGCCTGGCATGAGCATGATGTTTGGTAGCTTGAAGGTTGGAGATGACAGTGAAGAGGTGCCTGCACCCATTGAGCAGGCCCCCGCACCTCAGGCACAGACCTTGCCTGCCCCCGCCCCTGCTCCTGCTCCCGTCCCTGCAGGTCAGGCTGCGCCAAGCCTGCCTGTATCCCAGAGTCAACCTCTCCCTCCCAAGCCTGAATTGCCTCAGGCTGCTCCCTACCAGCCGCAGCCCGTGGTCCCACCTCAGCCAGCTGGTCTACCTCTGCCCGCTGCACCTCAGCCGACTGCCTCCGCTGCAGCTGGCCTCTCGAACGTCCAGCACCTCTTTAACGCTTCCCTCGTGCACCCTCCTCCGGCCTCGGCGCCAGTGTCAGGCTCTCTCCAGACTCAACAGTCCCAGGCTCAGCACCTCCCCCCTATTCCCTCACAGCCCCCTCACCTACCCCAACAGCACGCACCCTCCTATCAGGCGTCTCAGCCTCAGCCGCAGGCACAGCCGCCCAGTTATTTGGCTGCGTTGCAGCAGTCATCCGGCGGCTTGCCATTGTCCGGTCACATCGACTCCCATTCGGCACTGCCCCCTACGCAGATACAGCAGCAACATGCGCCTCTGGCCCAGCAGGCCCCTACTTCTACCCTGGGCCAGAACTACTTCCGCCAAGAGCAGCAGCAGCAATATTATCATGCACCGACTCCCCCTCAGGCGGCTCCTTCGCAGCAAGACCACCTGCCGAGCTCTTATGGTGGCTTTGGCGCTCAGGGTGGACAAGGCAACCTGCCAGGATTTGGTGGCAGTGGCGGGTTGGGCAATGATTATCAGTATGGTGCAAGCGATAGGGTGAGCCTCCATTCAGTGATCATGTCGTCGTGTTCCACTAATCGTATGTCTAGGGCTTCTACGATTCCTACAACCAAAATAACTTCCGTAACCTCGGGCATGATGATCACAAGCTTCCTACGCAACCAAGCCAAGCTTCGTTGCAGGCACAGCAGCCATTACAGAACCAGCAGCAACAGCCAGGTGCGCAGAGCCACACCGGGCCGAACGCCTCTTCCCAGCAGCCTGCTGGGCAGAACCAGCCTGGCCAAGGTCAACAGCAGCAGTTCCCTGGCATGCCGGCCCCGGCGCCCTATTACTACCCCAGCCCCTATTATATGCAGAACCAGTACTACGGCCAGCCCATGCCCGGATATGGTCAGCCGTTCGTGCAGTTCCCGAAGTACGGTGGACCGCCTGCTCAGGCACCCAGCTCAAAGCCGGCGCCTGCGCAGAACACGTCTGGCCCTTACGGCAGCTCGTACCATCCGGGCCAGAGTGCCGGACTGGGCGGCTATGACGATGCGGCACCCACGGGCTACGGTGGTGCTTCCAATTCTCTCGATTTCAAATATAATCAAGGTCTCCAGAACTTCCTCGGGGTCCCCGGTGGCAACTCGTCCCTACTCGGAACTGGGGCTGGTGCTGGTAACCAACCGCGTGGGTCGAACTTGAACTCCGGCCCCGGTGGCCTGCAAGATCGTTACACAGCCGCTCAGTCCGTCGATAAGACCGTTCCTGCTCCTTCTCAAGGCGCGCAGCTCGGGCAGACCGGTCGCCCTGGTGTCGGTACCTCACAGGCTGGTCAGCAAGGTCAAGGTCAGCAGGGTGCTGGTCAGCAGCAAGGCGGAGGGTATTACGGCAATCGTTATGGAAACACTCCTCAGAACCAGAACCAAGGCGGGTATCCTCCCCAGGGCGATAACCAGTACTACCAGCACTACGGTCAGAGGCAGTACTGGCAGCAGTGAAGGACTATCCAAAACAGCAGTCTCGAACAGCAGTCTCGACGGGCGATGGTGACAATTGTGTCGTATCACATTTTTTGTGTCCATTTCTCTTCATGTCCGTGTCTCTCAGCCATCTCCTCTCAGTGCTCCATGCCTCCGCATGAACCAATCAAAAGCAACACGTTTCTCCTGTGTTTTCTCTTTCCCTTTTCTCCGAGTTCCGTCCTTTTACTGTACTTCTTTCTGTTCCGTTTTCTGTTTCTGTCGTCTTTTCCCCTCTCCTGTTTGTGACTTTGATCGCATGCCTCCGCTCACGCATATGTACACAATATCCCGTTCTGCCTCTCACGCTCATTCGTGAAGGTTAACGTCAATGCAGGTCTGTGAAATGATGATCACATGCCATCGACTACACAGTTCTCGGAGGGTTATTCCCGGCGTGAATGCGATTCGGAATGTGGATGGGCTCTTATTCTTGTCCACTTCTCTAACTGACTAAGTTGTGTCAGCACTCGGAAGCTCACGCTGTGCAGATACGTCAACGATGTAAGAATTGTATTGATCCGAAAAGATTCAATCAAGTTATTTTCACAGACAGCGGGGACAGCGGCGAGAACAAAGGGTTCGCCGGTTCCGCAGCCCTTCTCCGACTCTTTCAACTCTACGTCGACCTGGTGTCCCCCGAAGGGCGATGCTCGTCTCAGTTCGCCGGTCGAAAGACTGTTCGTCGTTCTCAGTAGAGAACGCTTCGCATTCATAATCGTCGCTTGGATCGACGGTCGGAACCCAAAAGCCGTATTGGGACAGCCTGCTTATTGCATTACCGGTACCATTCTGCTGTAGACGCCCATTCTTTCTGCGGTCTTACCCACCTGACACCTCACAGAAGAAAGATTTTGCGAGGTTCTTTTTCGGGCCTTCGTAGTCCTTCTGGACGAAAGAGAGAGGATAAATACGGGACAATTCTGCGACTTGCTGACATCACCCTCTCCCACATGCTTGCCCTTTCCAGCATGCTCGTGCTTTCTGCCTTGGCCCAGGCAACGTATACCGGTCCTCCTAATGCCTACTGCACTCGGCAAACCTATCATGTTTCGCTACCCAGCTTTGCGACCGTGCCCTTCACGAACCTGACAACGCTCGACCCGTCTCAGCCCCTTGTCACCGAGCTACAGGCACAGTTCGTCAGCAGTACCTCCAACTTCACGGAGAAGTATAATGTCCGGAACAAATTCGAGCACCGGTGCCTCCTACGATATTTCTGGCGTGTTGTGTACCCCCAAAGACGGCGACAAGCATAACGGCACCATCCAGCTTCTGGTGCACGGGATTGCATTCGACAGTTCGTACTGGGATTTGGGATTTCAGCCGGAGAACTATTCGTAAGTGCCGTTCTCCGGAAATGCTCTCGTACTGAGTTTGATCAGCTACGTGTTACGTGCGGCCGAGGCTGGCTACGTTACGTTCCGCTATGATCGCCTCGGTACGGGCGAGTCCGAGATGCCTTTCGATGGTTACAACCAAGTCCAGGCTGCGACTGATCTGCAAATCCTACTTCAGATCATCTCCCTCCTACATTCAGGAGGAGTAGGTGGCCAGGCATACTCCACCATTGTTGGCGTTGGTCACTCGTACGGCTCCATCCAGCTCGCTGCTGCCTCCGCGGCAGTCCCGGATCAGCTCTCCGCCCTCGTCCTGACCGGCTTCTCCGCCAATGGCTCATACGTCGGCCAGTTCCAGACGTCCAACGCCTTCTCCTGAGCAAACGAAATCATGCCATCCCGGCTCGGTAACCTGCCCGGCAGCTACGTCATCTCCGGTCTCCCACAGAGCAGTCAGATCAACTTTTTCTTCTACCCATTCTACGATCAGGTCGTCGCTTCGTTCTCGTAAGTCACGACTTAGCCTGTGACCCAGGGCGTGCTTTTCACCTTCACCTCCCTGGCCAGTGGTGTCAGTAGCTTCACTGGGCCAGTCCACGTGGTGACCGGTGACAGAGACTGGGTGTTCTGTGGCTCTCAATGTGACATTAAGCCCGATGGTCAGCACACGATCCTCGACCTTATCGGGCCTACCGTGTTCCCGAAGAGCAGTAACTTCAGCGCGTTCTCCCCGCAGAATACTGGACACGGTCTCAACATGCACTTCTCTACCCCATCCTCTTACACAAACATCCTTGAATGGCTCACTTCTGTGGGCTTTTGATGCTGCTGTGTCCCTGTGTTAAAGGCATCGCCTGGTTGTCATTAACGGAGTGGTACATAATATCATGACCGTGCTATCTCTGAAGGTTCAGTGAATAAATACATCTCCTGCGCATTAGTACTTAGTCCGCTTCACCTGCACCCTCGACTTCGGCACAAATATCTCTTTCTTCACCACAGGCTTCTCTTCTTCGGATTCTTCCTTCAGCACAGGAACCTCCATCTCCACGTCCTTGTCCCCTTCCACTTGTCGTCGACCGCGCTTACGAGACGGAGACGCGCGCTTTCTGCGCGTCCCACTGCGAGTAGATTGTGAAGGTGGGAGATCGAAACCATTTTCTTCCTCCTCGGCCTCCCTTTTCACGCGGCTTCTTCTTTTCCAAGCTTCCTCCTCATCCTCATCCGCATCCGCATCTTCTTCCTCCATTTTTACGTCCCCCTTGTTCTCATCCTCATCTTCCTGTTCCCCTTTCACAACATGATCCTCATCCTCATCCTCAGTCTCCGTCTCGCTCCCAACAACCACTTTCTTCTCTTCTTCCTCTTCCTCTTCCTCCTCCTTCTTGATAGCATTGGGAGATGACGTCTCAGAACCCTGCCCGGATGGTCCACTCGGCCCAGCGGGGGAAGACGGCTCTGCCTTCAGAACAGGTGTTTCTTCCTTCACCGAAACTGCTTGACTGTGGGAGCGACGCCCCGCTTCACGGGCACGTGATGCGCCTGAAGGTGTAGGAGCAGCAGGGGGTGAGGGCCCTCCTGAACGAGGACGGGGTTCGTCCTCCGGTGAACGGAAAATGGCGGCTGGACGACACGCGTCAGCGTATGACGGAAAAAAGAAAAGATCCTGACGTACATTTGGTGCTCGAGCCAGAACCGCTCTCTGTCAGCCGACGCAGAGACGTCGTAAATAGAGGCTGGCGGACAACGCTCCGCACCATCTTGTGCAGGTGCCGCTTGGCGGTCCGGCCGCTCGCGTCCAGGTCCTTGCATGCACGGTCAGCCAGATAGAGGTGTTCCTGAATCAGGACGGGCGCACCCGTTCAAGTTGACGGATCTGGTGCTCTGAGGTGATCCCCTCCATATAATTGTCCAATACGTATCCGCTCCAGTTGAGCAGAGGCATGATGAACTGGCCCGAGAGCAGCTCTGCTCCTTTTGCACGTGGAAGCGCTTCCAGCTCCCATTCCCAGGTAAAGGCGTCGCCCGAAAGCCGCAGAAGAAGGTCCTACATCTTGTTCAGTATCAGCTAGGTCTGGTGGACGACGAAGAACGCGTACGGCTTGCGTGGTAGGAGGGAACGTCGGAGTAAGAGAGTCGGCAGAGGAAAGGGAATGAAGGGTGATGAGGGGGTGAAGAATATGTTCAGGGAGACATTCTTGGACATCCTCTTCGATTATATGTAGCCGTTTGGCTCTACGCAGGATGTGCCTCCACGCCATGGCTGAAGAACGGTCGGTGACTGGGGCAGAAGCTAGGAAATGAGGAAAAGCGTACCTTCTACCCATACTCTCTTCGTATCCGTTAACAAAAGGCAGCAAAACTTGTCATCGTTCAAGCACGAGAATTTCTGTATTTATTGAATAAATGAAATGTATGTTTAACAGTGCGCGACGTACAAACAAGTAAGGCGTCGAAGACTCATCGTCGACGATCGCTTGCCATGTTGAATGGAGTAGCGCCTCTTCATGATTCTGTATATCAATGCACCAGCATGAGCTACCGCATTTATATCCGTAAATATTACTCACCTCTCCGAACTCCATGGTGATCAATATTGAAATGTAATATAGCAAGTCGGTGTAGATGTTGTCGTTGTCGACCGTGACGAACGCGTTCCTGACGCCCAACAGGGTTCTGCAACAGCCTCATTCTTGAATTCAACCACCATCTGCTTGCTGCCTATCTATTAGAGCTGCATTTTACAGGTCTATCTGGATAACGCATTGTCACATTTGTCTATTTGGGCCGCCGGTAACCGCCGGCCTTGATAAAGCATGAATGCGGTCGCTGGGTACTCCTGGCAACGGTTGCAATCAACGAACCATTTTGCAATCTACGTCCCCTTCCGGATACTCAGTGTTGCAACTTCCTTTCGTTTGCTGATTGAACATGCTCCTGGCGCTAATCGGGCAGTAGGATATTGAATCTTACCTTCTCGTGACAGAAGAAGATAGAGAATTTTCAACATTGGATGACACACGGCATATCAACCTCAAAGGTGCTCTGTCGAATGATCGGTTACAGACGTCTTCCTGGTTCTCTTGGCCATTGATAACCCAACTCAGTCCAAGTCATTGTTCCTCAATCCTCGGGGTACTTCGCCATTGAACCTTCGGGTTGCTAAGGCTTCGTTTCTTGCCTAGTAACCTACTCCGCGTTCGTACACTCGCAGCCCGGACAGCGCACAACACCGCCTAGCGCTCTTTGTCCGTCATCTCTCAGCTCACCGGGGTCGTCGTCAACGTTATCGCGTGTTCGTTGAGGATGGAACTTTGGAGCCTTGCTGTTGTCTCTCAAATACGTGCTGGTCCTTGTGCAGACGTACCCCAGGGCTGGTTCGCTCCCCGTTCTCGTTCGCCATCAGGTTCCTCTTCACTTTCGTTTCCTCTTCGATTTTCTAGGCCAGGCGCCTGAACTGTCCTTGCTCACTACTTTTGACTTTTTCTGGGTTTGCCGTGTTTGTGAGCCTGATCGGATATGTCAACGCTTTGGAACTTCACCTCCCTAGGGCTGGAGAACCCTACCTCGGGGGAATTCGTCTACTCGCCCCAAAAGTGCGTCCTTCCCAACTCTATCTCTTGCAATACCAACCTATATCCAGCCATGTCATTGCCGCTTTCGCCTTGGGGGCCGTTTTTCTCCTCTCACTGTACTACATCCTCCGATCTATCGGGCACTCCCTGCTCGGCGCCCGACTAAGACGATACGTCAACGTCCTGCCCGGAGAGCACGCACACGTGAACTCCCAAGAGTTGCCCGAAGATCGCGTGCGGGACTGGCTCGTCAACACCCTCGGCGGCGCGGCGGGTGTTGCGGTCTACAACCCTAACTCGGATATCAAGAGCGTTGGTGCGCTGATGAGCTTGAGTATCACTATTGGGAGCGCGATGCTTTGGGGGTCGTTGATGACGTTCCCCATGGTGAAGGGAGGGTCGTTTGCCTGCCGTTAGTCTGCGCTATCATCTGGTATCCTCAAACTGACGCCTGCCGCAGAATTCGTCGTTGCAACTGGGTACATCGCCGTAGGCATGACGCGTGCCAAGGGCTTGTACAAGATGTCTACCGAGATGGTTGAGCTCGGGGTCCCGAAGTGGGAGACGATCGTCTTCCGCGTCTGTATTCTCTTGAGCATGGGTAAGCCCGCACGGTTTGGGTTGACTTATTGCTAAGCGGATAACAGTGGGGATGGTCATTTGGAGATACTTCAGTACGGGTGTGCTGGTCATGGTGTCGACTGCAGTGCCATATGCGATGTGCTACAACCGACAGTACGGTCCCTCTTCCTCCCCATCTCTCATCATCTCAACCCTATCTAGCTTCATCCTTCCAGCAGCGATCATAACTGTCGCGAACCTGTTTCTGGAAATATACGCCCTCGTGCGGTTGTTCGTCCTCCTCTCACCCTCGTTTCTCAGCCTCTCCCATCGCCTATGCTCCGTCTGCGACATCCGGATCTTCTGGGCACTTGCGCTTATCTTCTTTGAGCTCTGCACTGCTGTGGGGAACATCTACCCCCTCGGTCTGGTGGTGGATTTCGTGCCTTACTCCCTGTCAGGGATGATCTTGCTCAGTACGCCCTTTGTTTCCCATTCAACGCACAGCTGACCTATTAACAGTCGTATTTAACTACCGACGTGCACCTCCACGTACGCTGCCCACCGCCACCCTTGGTCCGCTCAGCACCTTCCACGCTTCTCAATACGACCGTTCCTCAGTACGGCATTCCGCTTTCGTATCAGAGTTCGACCCAGGCGCAGCAGGGTACGAGAACTTCAAGCAGAAGTGGGAGGCGGAGGAGTTGGCCGGAATGCGCCCCGCGCTCCCACCGCCGGTGGTGCAGATGAGCAGGCTGGGAGAGAGGAGGAAGAGGAACTCGGCGCCGGCTGCGCATCCGAGCTATGATGGCAAGGTTAGGGGCCGGTCGTTCCTCATGCTCTAGGTCGGTTTCTTAAGGTGACGTTGTTGAAAGGGCTGTAGCGCTGGGATGCTTGACATTCTTTCTGGGTTGATCCCATTCCATTGACAAACTTGGTGCATATGCACATCTGCGCGTCGATGTACTGTAATGTACAATGCGTTAAACAGTCTCCACGTGTGCCTTGCGCTTGGTTAGGAAACCCTTGTCCCCGGAAAAAGGCGCCACGCAGGCTGTACATCGTGGTTCCCAGCAGGGCAAGGGATGAGAAAAGAGTGACTGTGGCCTGATCCAGATTTAATGTTCATGATTCACTAGTTATATAGTAGGATGATGAGTAGTAATATTTCAATTGCAACGTAGCTGCCGAAATAATTATATGCACGGGACCAATCACAAAAGCGCCCAACGTTGGAAGGTCAACAAAAAGCGACAGGACGTGCTTTTCTCTTGCTTTTCTTCTTAGTGCACTGACAACATTAACTTTTATTATTATTTATTCACTAACATTATCGCAAAGAGGAGAAGAAGAAATGTATGGTGGACGATAGCTGGCTTGTGATCGGCCAACACTCACGCATTTTGCACTGATTCCCGAATTAACATTCAACGTTTGGGTCCTCATCACGCCGCATTGCCAACAACAGTCGCGCATCCCAGCCCCCTTATCATCTCCATCTCTCTTCCCTCCACTCACACTGGCGACAGGCTACTGAAAAGCCAACGACCACCTGGCGCATCTCTTGTTCTGCAACACTCATCATCCTATACCCATAACATCATGCAGGGAGAGATGTACTGCTGGATCGTCTTCCTCGACCGGGATCCCAGCCAGGAGGTGTGTATCTCTATTACACGGTGGAGCACCCTTAATCTGTTGAGCAGGAGTTCAATATAGCTTCTGGACTTTTGGACTCTACTACGAAGGAGAAGCTGCGCAAGATGAAGGGTGACGGAGAGCCGCAGGATGAACTGTTTCGTGCGTCTCCTCTTCGCTGCTGTCAATGTAGCTGGGACTGAGCACGATCCTCTGGAAAGGCATCATGATCTCTCGCATATTGCCAATGTGGATGCTCCGGAATCGTGGAGTACTCAGAGGTAGCTGGATCCTCAGCGAAACGCGGGAAGGAAAGCCCTACGTTGTACGCCTCGCTCGTCCTCTTCCTTAACCTCTATATTGAATCCTCCACGAAGGCCTCGCCAGTGCTCTCGCCCCAGCTTGCGTTCGACGTAGCATACTCCAATCACGCCGCAGGCATCGTCTTCTCCGAAGTGGCCAACACGGTCCCCGAACGCATCGGCATCGACATAATGCAGCTCATGCCCACCCCTCCAGAGCCGAACATCCAGCCTTGGATCCAGTCCTGCGCGCATATGGTCACCCCTCTCGAACGATCCATGATCCACAACCAGCCCGAACAAGTTGCTTTCCGCCGGATGACGGTGATATGGACGATCAAGTACGCGTATATCAAAGCTCTGGGCATCAGGCCAGAAAAGTTCAACTTCCTCACAATGGAGTGCGACGTCCCACGCGGTGCGGTGCGCGTGGACAACGCCCCCCTCCTAGGCTGGGAGTTCAGGCTGTTTAAGGCCAGTGTCGGGAGCGCCGCGAGGGGGGAGATGAAGCCCGAAGAGTACCAAGTCGCATGCGCACTCTATCACGGACCGACGGGACTGCCTACCCGAGTCAGCTTCGGCGAAGAGTACCTCAAAATGGACCAGTGGATCAAGTTTATCAACCTGGATGGGGTGATGCAGTTCGTCCGAGAAATGTACAAGGAAGATCCGGCGGAGAGGAAGGCGAGGGCGAGGGCGGCAGCGATGCCTGACGTGCATGGCCCCGGGGCACAAACAAATGCAGCCCGGTTTGTGCAGAGTCAGGCTGGGCACACGGCTGCACATCGTTGAATCGGAACTTGGCAGATTGGGAGAAAACACGAAGAGCGGCGGCAAGATGGACAATCAATCGTCTGTATCAATTGTACAGTATAGTATATTTGCACGGATACCTGGAATATGAACATAAGCTTTTAACTGGTCGTCAGCGTTACAACGGCACATAATGGGCAACAAGGGACAAACGTAAGAGTACAGAGGCAACGGTCGGTACAGTCCAGGGCATAAAACGTACAGCATAAGTGAATGGCAACCTCAGAAGGACTAAGGTGCAACTTGCTTCAGCATCTCCATCCCGCCCCTCGCCCCTTGGACGAGGAGGTCCACTCCACTCGTCCCACATTGGTAGACGACAGCCCACCCCATACTAGCGTACTCACGCACGTCGTCCAGCTGTATCTCCCAGCCGACCCTTTGTGCACCCTCCAGCCCCAGCCAGATAGCCAGAAGGAGCACGACCACCGCACTGCAAAAGCGGATCCACGCCCACCAGCGGAACCTCCGCCTCCCTTCCATAACACGGACGATAGGCTTCACCCCTGCCCCTGCTTGTGCTAGGAGATCGTGTTCCTCACGCTCTGCCGACAGCCCGGGGAGGGGCGAGCTCGGACGGATGGTAGACGAGTCCGAATCCGACGAGCGTGACCTGCTCCTCCCATTAAGACGCCGTTTCTCCTCGTTCGCAGCCGGAGCGATGGGAGAGTCGCGCTGTGAGCCTAGGTTGAGAGCGTCATCCCGCCTGGCTTCGAGTCGCGCGAGAACGGCCTCTTCGTCTTCTTCGTCCACTGTTAGTGAGGCTTCTTGCTCCTGCTCTTGTTCTGCTTCATCCTCGAGTGTTGGCTCTTCCTTGTCCGTTGGAGCAGGTACCCCTATCTCCGCAAGCCTCGCCTCCAACTCTTTAACCCTCTCTTCAGACGCTTCCAACTCCGAAAGCCTGAAAAGAGTAGCCTGATACCTCCCTTCCAACTCCTTAAACCTCTCCTCCAACCCCACCTCCACGACTGCCGGCGTGTGCGCGTCCCTCTGCTGATGCGCCTCAATCCCGTTCTCCTTTCCCTTGGGAGAGCGAGGTGGGGTGAGCTGTTCCTGCTGGCCTGATTTTTGCGGGTCCCCAGGCGAAGGGGAACCGATAGGTGTCAAGCCCGGTACTGGGGAGGGGTTGGCTGGCACGCCCTGTAGCCAGGTGCGCATGCCTTCTCTTGCGGGGGCATCCAGAGCGGCAGAGAGTGCACGCAGGTGGAGGAGTACGAGGGCGTGGGAAGTCGTCAGCGTGAAAAGGGAGTGGAGCGTCGTATGCTGCGGTACTGGCCCGTGACGTCCGGCTGTGAGAGGGTGTCCCGGGCCTTGGGAGTACGGGGATGGGGAGAGAGTGGTGAGGGACGTGAGAAGATCTTCGAGCGCATAGGTCGACTCGTATAATAAAGAGGGGAAGGCTTCCTGTAAGGAGACAGATGCGGGCTCTTCGAAGGTCACTGTTGTTGGCCTTGTGGGCTTGGACGCTACCTGGCTGTCCCTGTATTCTTCGTACGCGCTGCACGACGTCAGGAAGCATCCTGCTACACATGGAAAGACTCACAAAGCAGACCAGATGGTAACCTTCTCCCAGGCGCGAAGGAACGCTTCCTCCCTCGAGGACGGGCTTGGGCGGGTGTTGAGCGCAGGTGAGCGTAGTTGTTGCAGCTCGAAGGGGTCGAGCACTGTGGTGTGCCGCGAGTCGCGGACTTCAATCTTGTAGAACGGGGCAAAAGGGCGTGGGCACAGACTTGCGTACCAGCTTCATTGATTGTTAGATCTGGTGCAAGGGAAAGAATGGAAGGGAGACGCACTTCTGTGTAAGGACACATCTCCCGCTGTCGTCGAATCTTGCGTCTGTCCACGCCCTCCGGCCACCCCACTCCAACAATGGGTCCAGCTCTCCCTCTACACCTAGTTCACGAGCAACGCACCTCGCAACCCTCAGAGACACCCATATGTCGTCAAAAGGCGCAAGGTTAGCCAGGGAGACGTCATATGTCAGAGGAAGGGAGAGAGAGAAATGCTGCAGCCCGAGGGAGGGAGGGATGTCGCATAGGAGGAATATACGAGAGAGGGAGACGAACGGCTCGCCTAGATCTGGAGAGAGGATGCTGCTTGCGGTTAGCGGAGACGTGGAAGGCGGTGAGAGGGACATACCGGACGACGTCGACGGCTCGGAGGGTGGAGACGAGCGCTGGACAGAATGCACGATCTGGAAGGCGAGATGGCAGCAGACGCAGCGTCAGTGCGCAGGGGCCGTTGGGCTCTGTTGGAGGCACCATCTTGCTACGAGGGAGAGACGATGAGGAGAGTCATTTGGTCAACGGGCGTTCAAGTGAGGTCAACGTCTCGGATCCCTATGCACAAAGTTGGCGGCTGTGCGACTGTCGAGTGTGCCAGAAGTGGCAGTGCAGAACCCTTGCGCAGCCTTAAGGCACCGGAATTTGATTCCATTAGACTATCTATGTAGCCTATATGTATATAGGGACGGATTGGCCTGCGGCAGGCCAATTCACGCCACTTTTACTATTCTCCCCTAATCGACGACTCGACAACGACAACGACGAAGACGTTCCCCTCGCATATATACATCCCCTCGATAATGTCGACCATAAAGCAGCAATGCCTTCAAGAGTTGCAGACAGCTTCTCTCCTTGCCGTCCTCAACACCATTGACAGCGTGTTATCAGTCAACTCCATTCCCAAAGACCTGTAACGTCGATCTCATCTCTATGCTTTCTCATTCATGGACGTACCAATCCCTTGTTCACGACGTCCTCGAGATGAACCGGTGCGTCTTACCTGTGTGTTCCAGCATGCCTCGACGCTAACTTCATATCAGTCTATGGGAGCCATCCTGGAGATGCTCAGAATGCAAAAAGAAGGCGTTCAGCCGACGAACGAGGACAAGCTCCGACTTGCTCTCAGATGACAAGGTCGACCTGGGAGAGCTGGAGAAGGAGCTCAAGAAAGAAGTTGCGATATCTCACGCCGCCATGACCAACCTTGCCGCTGCCGCACCTGTCGCCCAACCGTCAAACACGACAAATGAGCTGTTCCGAGGCTTTTCTTCTCTCTCAAATCGCTTAACCGAACGATTGAAAGAGGGCGGGCTGAGGGAGAAGCGGGCGCAAGGTTACCTACGGGGCCACAGAGCTTGTAAGACCAGGCGACTTTGTGAAAGTGCTGGCCGAGCTTGGGTCTCAACAGCATTAATTACCACAGCGTGTTCTCCGAGTCAAGGCTCACTCGAAATTGACTGTTTCCCCTTGTGCGGTGTTGATAACCAGCGTCTCCAATGCCGGGAACAAGCGCTGAATGACTTCTGCTGCTTCCTTTTGATCCCAGATTGTGGGACCACTTGTAAGATAAAGTTCTTTCAGTCCTGAGTTGGTCATGGGACGCAGCCCGGAAATAAAGTCGGCGAAGCAGTGTTCGAACTTGACAGGACCTTGCGTATATTGTACATCATGATCGACATTCCTGATGACACAGCGATGGAGAGCGTTACAATAGCGTTGCAGTGGAAAGACGAGGAGAGATGCGGGGCACCCGACTGCGAGGGGATCGTCTGGATGTCGTGTACGTGTTTGTTATCGGTGGATGATATGGTAGATAATAATTGAATGCAGGAGGTGGTAATGCATGTGCAAATTCTTCAAGTCCATCCGCGAATATCCGGGAGGGCTCGTATTTGTTATTGGCGAGCGGCACGTCGTCTGACATTGAGAAAGGCTTTTGACGCCATGGTCGCCTGAAGAGTATGACCCACCCCTGTCGGTCGTCAACGGAAGTCCTGGACGGGTCCACACCAACTCACTGCAGCAGTGGACAGGATGAAGCAGCTCAGATTCCAAACCAGTCCCAGAAGCGTCCACAAGGATCGGAACATCGGCTCACTGATCATATGTTGCCACAGCACGGGGTGAACTGTCCTCCACGTCAATACCAGAGCCGGGCAGACGCCCTTTCTGTAAACGTACGATGGCCAATCCACATTGCCATCCAACCAACCAAGGAATCTTCCCAGACTCTCTGTCTCTGGTTTATTAAAGTGGAATGGACAGATTGAGCAGTTGCGTTCAGAGTAGATAGATGCAATTCGGCTTGATCTGCCAGGCCTACCAGTCGGCCAGAAAGAAGTGTAGCATCTTCTCGACTTGACGCCAGGAGGCGCTAACCAGATGATTAGATATGGCATCGTGCTGAGCATTCTCATTCTCATACTGAATGACCCTCTAGCATTATCGTCGCCTGTTGTATGTGATTGGCCAGATACTCCGTCGCGTCCGCCAGGGCTCCTGCAACCTCAATTCCAAGGATTAACCTCCTTTATCACGTTAGAAATGGGACGGACAACAGCATACTTCTTGTGTTCCTCTAAGCCTAACGGCTAGTTCCTGAGTTGAAGTATCAAGCGCGTCCTACAATCTGTCAACGCTCGTACTGCTCGCCAGTTCAGGATGCCTACTAGAGAGTTGAACGTTTCCCGACTTCGTTCGATGATGCCATCAAACAGTGTGGTGAGAACTCTCCCGAACTCCGCTTCCAATTGATTCAGGGCAGAAGACGACAGATCCATAGAGAACTTTGTTCAAGAGTGAGTAACCATAAAAGGGGGAAGAACGATTCCAAACTTTGTCAATCGCACTCTCGATGGCACCTTGGGTATTATCCACAACTTTGAGCGAAGTCGATTCAAGCGTGTTTGCAATAGTATCCTGAAGATCCTGACTCATTTGAGCGAATGTCCCACGCAGAAGCATGGACGCATCGTCCATCGCCTCCTTCAGTTGGGCTGATGCCCCATTCATCAGCATCATGGCTGATTCACTATTGATTGCGATATCATTCTTGGCAAAGTTCAGCTGTTCGAGAGCATCGGAAAGTACCTGCGAAGAAGGTTTAGTCTGTCCTGTTAAAACTTGTCTTTGGCATACTGAGAAGCTCCGGTCCCATGCAGCCTGGCTTGATACCTCGTGATCCATCGCCTTGCTTTCCCTCTCACGCAAGATTTGAAGCAATGATATTTTCTCCATCGTCGCATTGTGATATATAGACTTTGCGCGATCTGGTTTGGTTTGAGCAATTGATGTACATGTACTTCCCGAAACTGCGCGCATACCAATATCATGCCAGCGACGATATGCGAAGCACAGTTGCGCTGCTTAAGAGTCAAGCCGTAAGCTCGTACAACGAGGCAAATGTACTTACGTATTTCTCTAAGATATCCTGAATAGCTCGACCAGTGCTGCGTGCTCCGAGAGAATGCTCTATATGCGGGTCATTCCCCTAGCGTTCCCGCATATAACCGGCTATACCCACTCTACACAACCGGCCGCAGAGGTGTCTTGCAAGTCCAACTCGATATCATCTCCCAAGGAAGCAAAAGACGCGCATTCTAGAGGATACGAGTGTATCCTTGCGGTAGAAAGTTCGCACAGCGTAAACTGGATAGCAGCTGCAAATATATGCGGGTCAAGGACCACACGTTCAGGCTGCTGAAACGGCAGACCTTGGACACGTTCCCACTCGGGCATGTCCTCGCCGCATTTTAGTTTCAACCTTCCAGCGACGGACTTGAAACAGTCTGGCTTATGCTTGAAAGAGTCGAGGTTACCTCATAGGCGTAGGCAGCTGAACGAAGGCGGCGGGCGAGCAGTGCTTACTCAACGAGCGGAAGATCAGGCCACGTTCAGCAGGAGAGACAACAGAGTCTAGCAAGCACTCCATTGAGAACATTGTTTAGAGCTGAGTTATTGAAGCTACCCAGAGCATCAAGTCCGGAGGTTGCTGGTCTCCAAGGGCCGTCCACTTCAGGTATAGAGTCGCGGGCGTGTCCTGATCCCCAGAAAGCACCTTGTACAGCAGTAATATACGGACTCCAGAGCCCTATTATAATATAAAGAGGTATAGCGTGCATGATAGTACATTTGAGAGTCGAGAGAAGAGGAAAGCCAGTGAAAGATGGATGAATGCGCCAGACAACTGTTTGAGAAAACGGGGCGCCTACACGTCACGTGCTATCTGAGACGCGTGTATGCGCTGACGGTCGAAATAGTTCCTCACACGTTGATTATCACGAGTCGTTATATCATTACACTGCATATCAAATGCATGTATTGTAGAGGGAACTAAACCAGTAAAAAGAGAGAAATTGCCAACACCCCGACACAGATGGCTGGGGGCTCGTTACCGCTTCTTGACCTCAAAGCTCCGCTGTTGTTGGACGTTGTTGACGCACTTGTTGAGGGCGATGCACCCGAAGCTGAACTAGTTCCGGCAGCGGACAAGCTGCCTGACATGGACGGCACTCCAGACGGTGAACCAGAGGCGAGCGCCACGTTGCACATGCTTTGGAGACCAGACACTTTGAGTTTATGTCAGATGAAGTTCTTGTTATACGTAACAATACGTACCAGTAGTACCGGACTGCTGGAGCAAGCAGCTGAGACAGCCTTGACTAAGGGCGCTATCACCAGTAACGTTTGTAGCCGAGCAGATGCAGAGGGCACTATTTCCACACCCCTGTATGAGTATTAGTAGGCGTGCTGGTATCATTCCGATAACGACGTACGACAATGACGTCTAGACCAGCTATCTCGGTCTCATTGCCACATTGTGATAGACAGGAGCCTGTACCGGTTTCGAGAGCTTCCTCTGCAGAGGCGACAGCCGTGCCGATGGCTATCACGCTTGTCGCTGCTCCACATGCTGACCGAAACGTAGAAGCTTACTCTTGGTCAATACTTATAATGTACAACTGAAAGAAGTCAAGCGCACTAGTATATCCCTCGGCGGCAAGAATGCAAGTCTGGCAAGCAGAACTGAGTCGATCAATCCCATTGCATACGCAGCCCGTGTCAAGGGCACAAGTCTTCTAAGAGTCAGTCTAGCAGTTCCGTAAGATAGACAAAACTCACAGCATTGCCGATAGAGTTCTCTAATATGGCAGAGTCTCCAGAGTCGCTGCAGGTAGTCGTGCAAGCGTCCTGGCGCATCTGCACGCTCGTCTGGTCGGGTGCGAAGGTCAAGAGTCCGAGACCGCGTTTGTACCTCATTTGAGACCGCGGAATGGTCATTGATCGACGTACAGCCCGCTCAAAGGTGCTGAAGAAGTCTGAGGGAGCGGGTAATGCATGGACACCTGAAGTGTCCGCGTCAGTCGTTGTCCGCTGCATTGTGATATGATACGCACCGACAACCCAGATGGCGAGGGCGCAGAGGAGAGCAGAACAGACGATCTTCATGGCGGACGTGCAACGGAGTTGTGGGCATCATGACACACTTATGCTTTCTTTTATAGGTCGGACGACCTCCATGAGGCTACCCCAATTCTGAGACAGGAGGGCTGACCATGCAGTTGGAAGCCATAGAGCACGAGACAGCCTCCTCGGAACAGCACGTCGACATCAAGCAGACATAGAAGTACGACGAAGTGAGGCGGCTACCAAGAACACCCCAGACAGCATGAACCTATAGAGTAAAAAACACCCCAGATTTGACATACAATAACATGTCAAATGGACGTTCAGGAAGGAACCCTAATATTTTGGCGAGAAGGGGTAGCAGCCTGCTGGAACGAGGTCGCTGGCGGGTTCAATTGCCGGAGCCGAAAACGCCGCCGTATATTACGGCATGCCTCATTTTCATTGCATTTTTTGTTTCGTTCGGCTGCCAACTAGAACACATGCGGAGAATATCATCCATCCCTGACCAAAATCAAAAGCGTTTGTTCCCTGACATTTGAGATAACGTGGTGAACTAATCCATCCTCTAGAGTCTTGGAACAGAGACAGAAACACTGCTTCATTTTGTCGGTTGCCTGTTGTGCAACAATCAAGTGCACAGTGACAGTGTGACACATGTCTACGCAATAGAGGCCCAACTGAATGCTAATCATTCAACTCATGCATCTTGTTCGTCTAGTGGTTTCTTTAGGATCGGTCTCCCTTCCGCCTTCTCCGGGAGCCACCTCAACACCACAATGAACCCGACAGCAGTCACAATCATCACAGCCCAAGCGAGGTACCCAGCAAGGATCTGGTGTTTGATACCGAAAGCGAATATAGAAGCGAACGTGGCGGGAGTAACGGCCCTCACAGCGGACATAAGGGAAAGAGCGAGGCCGTTGAGCGTACCAAGTGCTAAGTGGGAGGGGGCGATGTCGTTTAGGGCTAGCTGAACAGCGGCTGGTTCACATCAGTTCGGATATACTGGTTGTGGAGGAAGACAGTACGTACTAAAAGCCATGCTGACACCACTCGGTCCAACCACGGCAACAGGGACAAGAGTCCAGTAGAGTGTTTCCTGCCCGTTCCGGATGAGCGCGCTCAACAGCGGGAAAAGGGAGAACGAGATCGGCCACGCCCATGCACAAGCTCTGAGCAAGTTCCCTGTGCCCCACTTGCGCTGGAATATGGGGAAAGCGACGAGGAGCCAGACGGCCTGGGAGATGCCACAGCCAGCAAGGAACAGGGATATCTGTGGGGGAGAGTAGCCGAACCCACCGAGAGGAATTGGGGTGTAGAAGAAGATCGGTGCGACTGCAGTGAAGGCTATGCCGAGAAGGAGCGCGTATTGATAGATGATGATGACGGGAATTACCCCAGGGGCGGCGAGGATCTCCTTTATTCGAGGAGGTTGGATAATCGTGGCGTGGTCGTGCGTCTTCCCGTCCCGAATAGGTCGCGTTTCCTTGAGGAACAAGACGGACAAAAGGGCACCCACTCCGGACATGGCACCCGCTGCGATACAAGGCAAGAGATATGGGTATTGCTCGAATAGGGCAAAATTTCCGAAAACGGTCGGGTATTGGGTACAAGGCTTTGAAAGCGCACCCCCGATGAGGGGGCCAACGAAAATACCTAGGTTGGTCGCAAAGGCGAAGAAGGAAAATGCCCGCGCTTGGTTCTTTGGCGTCGAGTTTTCGGAGATCATAGTTCTCACGGTGCTGATGGGGGCGGATACATAGTCAGCACACCCGGTATTCTTCAGATATCAGAATGAAACCCACACGGTGATCCCAGCAAAAACACCGGCCACACTCCTAAGTACAATCATTTGCCATACCGTTTGTGAGAAGCCGAAGAATGTGCTAGCAACTGTGACACCGGCGAGTGAGATGACAAGCACAGGCTTGCGGCCGTACCGATCGGCAGCGCGGCCCCAGAGAAGCATGAACACGGTCTGAGTGAGACTGAAGATACTCTCCTATTTCGTACGAACCGGAAGGTTAACATTCAGGTTTCAAGCGCAGAATGGACTTACAATCACCCCGCTCAGGAATCCGACGCTCGCCTCGTCCACCCCGCCCGTTTCGAAGATCATCTGGTTGATGAACGGGAAGATGCTGAAGAACGCGATGGGTTCGACGATTGCACCCCAGCAGAGGAGAAAGATCTGCAGCTTGGGGAGCGGGTGGTCGCCATCTGCCTCGACCTCTGCTGCAGCTTCGGCGACCAGATCATGAGGCGCGGAGGACGTGTCAACCAAAGTCTCGTCTGGAGAGGGAGGGTTGGATGAACCCAGGAGCAGCGGAGTCCGCTCATCCGATGCAACTTGGTCGTCGATCGCCATGGCAAGTAAGGCTCGCTGCGAGCTACCAGAGCAGAAAAAGCGGACAAGCAAGTGAAGAAGACTGATGAAACGAAACGAACTGTGACAACCATTCTCTAAGCCGCGCCATTTATCCGTACTTGATGGAATTGGAACCCGGATCCGCTCTGTCGTGCTAGCGCTTGCGCGTCCCAGACGCTTAGCTCAGTGGCATTATATTATCCGGAATCCTCAGATTTCCATCAATCAGGAGCAAGTCCAGAGGGAATGGCGCAAAGAGGAGCCCGTTATCTACCCGCGTCCATTTGAGGGAATTGAGAGAAAGGTGGAAAGGCTCCGGAAGCCGGTGAGGACCCGCACGTGAGAGAAGAACTACGGCGAAAGGAAACAATTCATTATACTTTTGACCAAGGAATGTGAAATCTTCCAAGTAGAGTCGACTCAGGAACGTTCCATCACACATTGATGAGGGATAAACATGCCAAACCTGGTTCTATTGTCTGCATTTTTGCTACTGCGTTCTGGTACCACCAGCCCAACAAGAAAAGACACGTACAAACCTCTCTGGACAGACAAGCCAGCACCAAGACAAGAACAAGACAGGAATTACAGTCATCACGAGTCATGAACCTCCTTCGGAATGGGAAACGTGGCCAGCAGGTAGCGGACCATGCCGCTGTTGGTCCTATACAGCAGCTGCCTCTTCCACCTTCACTTTCTTTGCTTCGCTGCCGTCCGCCCCTGCGTCCTTTTCTCGCTTCCGCTTCAAGCCATTTTCAGCGGCATCTACATCCATCTTCACGGCCGAGGCTGGCTCAGTTAAACGTGCCGCAGGCACAGGCAAAGCCGACTTGATCACGGGGACCGCGTCCGGACGGCCAGATGCCTCTTTCTTGACTGGCGACCCCGCGCCTTTTCCACGATCTTGATGCCCACCTCCCCTTCCATTTTGCCGCCCCCGACCACCCCGGCCTCCTCGACCACCCCCGCCTCCGCGGCCGTGCTGGTTGTGTGACGGCCTGTACGCTTTCTCAGCCATGACGGTGGCCCGATTGACATAGTATTTCTTTTCCTCCTCATCTGTGGCGTGACGCCAGGTGACCGGTTTACCACCGATCGTCTTCATCTTCTCCCGAACGATGTTCATCTGCTCTTCCGTGATCGGTTGGGTTGGCTGCTCTGTAGAGGTTCCACTGTCAGACCCAAGGTAGACGAGTCCCATCTTTGAGCCTCTTTGGTAATCGACGTAAGTCCGAGACCATGTGTCCTTCAGAGCATCCTGCCGGCAGTGTAAGAATATTGCGCAAACTTCTGGCGGAAAAACAGCGCACCTTAATCTCAACAAAAGGCACATTTCCTTCAACGCCCTCAAAGGCAACCAGTGCACCCTTCTTATACTTCCCCTCTATCTCCGCGGGGTCTACGGTTCCATCTTTGTTCAGCTTGATCTTCTCTCCGTCCATCTCAATGTAAATGTCTGGCTTCTCAGCTTGGACTTTTGCCTTCTGTTCCTTCTTCTGCTGGTAGATGAGCTTCCACCCGCTGAAATCAGCACGACGCTTCTGCTCTCCCTCGGCGCCCTCCGCCACACTTGCACCGCGACCACCCCGCTTCAGAGGATCTTTGGTGACATCGATTCCCTTCTCGGCGATCTTCATGTCGCAGTAGGCTTTCTTAGACATGGTCGTAAGCTCGGTCCCTTTCCACCGGGGTTTTGGCTCTTGCATTAGGAATTTACTTGCTGTGATCATGTCTACCCACTCCACGAAGACAGATCCCTATCAGAGAGTTAGCATTAATTTCTCTCTACCGACGTAAAACACACCTTAAACACTTTTGTCTCCTTGTCCCTCCTCATTCTCACAACATTGAACTTGCCAAACTGGGAGAAGAACGCTTCCAACTCCTCCTGCAGTCCTTTTGCCTCCTCTCCAAACCCTTTCGCATATATGCTCCTCGCGAAGGCGTCATGCGATTGCCGGCTTTCCAAGTTCTCCAGTGCAACCTTGCGGCGTACCTTCTCCCCGCTCTCGGAAAGCTCAAGCAGAGTGCTGGGCTTGAGCGCATCCGCAACGTATGCTGTTCCTTTCGCGGCGGTGTACTCTCGCATCCGCTTGAAGGAAGCGATTGTCCCAACAGGCACCCAATGTTCCGGGTTGTCCTTGTACGAGAGGGTGAACAGGAACTTGTCGAATGGTAGGTTGGCTTCAGAGAAGTAGAATTCGACTGCGTACGCAAGATCGAACACAAAGAAAGCGCATATAAGCCTCATTATCATTGAACAAGTAGCGTATACGGACCTTGCTGAAGGATCTTCGCCTTCACCTCTTCCTCTGTCATATCCTCTACTTTCTTGACGAAAGTTGAGGGAACAGCGGTGTCTTCCAGCTTAACATCTGGTGCGGCATCGGTCTTCGCTTCAGGCTCGACTTCTGGTGCGGCGGCAGGCCCATCCTCTTCTGACTTGATCTCCGGTACGGCTTCAGGGGCCGGCGCTTCTGCAACAGGAGCCTCAACTTTGAGAGCCTCAGGAGCGGCTTCGGTAGACATCTTCAGTGATTCAGCAAAATAGTGGAAAGCAAGCACAGAGTAATGAGAGTATATAAGCGTGAAGCAGGTGCCAAGGTTGAGTAACAGTATACAGCAGTCGAGTCAATAAAAGCTGCAGTTGAAGGAAGTGGCGCAAACGGAGCACGCTAATAAAGCCGACCAAATTCACAGGTCCGAGATTCTACTTCCGTTAGGCGCGTGGCTGAGTCACGTGCGGTTTTTGAAAGTAACCCAAAGGGAAAAAAAGACCACTAGGATTTCAGATCAAGTAAACTACAGGTATAGAGATATACTAGGTATACAATCCAGATGCACTGTAAGTACATCATAGTCTAGGGCGGAGTGTCCTTGCAAGTCAGATGCACGTGCGCATGAAGCTCTCCTCGTCTATCATAACTCACAACAACATCATCCCCACAATTCCAAGTACGGAGGTAGATACCACCAGATACACGGGAAAGGGGACGTTCAGACGAGCGTCGCCCTCCTTGCTCGTGCTACCCAGACCGCCGCCTCCGAGCACTCCCCCATTACTCGTCGCCAACACCCCCGGGTCTACGCCGGTCGCCCCCCCACCCCTTGTACTAGTCGGGGTGAAGCTTAGCGGTCCAGGTGCACCACCCCCACTGCCCGCAATCCCATCCGACTGGGAAGTACTATCCGTCAGTGCCTGCTGTGAGAGGAACACGAGTGCAAAGCTCGGCGCTGGGACAGGTATATAGCAGACGTTGTTCGCCGTGTCGCACGCGATCTGGACCGTGTTCTGCGATCCATGGAGTACACCATCGGAGGACTGGGCACCACCCGGGGAGAGTGTCTGGCCAGCCCACGTGATGTTCCATTTCTCGCTGATGCTCGGTGCTTCCAGGTACCGTACGTAGACGTTCGCCGGCACCTGTGCGCCGGTAATGTTGATCGACGCGGTGTAGTCGTTCGCCCCACTCGGGTCGGAGACGAAGTTGAATAGTCCTACGCGGGTGGGGTTGCCGTTCTCGTACACAGCGTACGAAGGGGCGTAGATCGATGTCTCCGAGGTGCCGAGGTCAATTATCTGTGAGATGTTTGACGAGCCAAACA